AAGCAACTGACACAGAACTGGTGTCGTCAGCCACAACCTGCTGCAGGAATTACTGACGAGGGGATTCAAGCACTTATTGACTATCAGACGGCTCCTATTGCCATCAGAATTGGAACTCTTCGCTTGCAGCTAGAATGGGGATGGAGCACTTATGAAAGTGTCCCGAGTGCTGTGATGTCAATGCTTAATTCAACATTCAACATTCGGACCAAGTGGTTCGATGTGCAGTGAGCACAATCTGTCCGCTAACTAACTATCTTGGTAGTGAATGAATTAATGTTTGTGAATAATGACAGAAGTCACATGTTAATGATATTGTGTATTAAGTTCTCGTGATAGTATCTGTAAGTACACAAGGAACATGGAATGTGATTAACAATGGTAGCGATATATTTATATCTGAACACAAAATCCACATTTCAAATATTGCAGCCTGTGTAACGGATTTCCAACAGCCTGTGCAACAAACTTCAAACAGCCTCTTCAACAGGCTTCATACAGCCTGTGTAACAGACTTCAAACAGCCTGTGCAATGGACTTCACACAGCCTGTGCAACAGACTTCAAACAGTCTGTGTAAAAGACTTCAAACAGCCTGGGTAACAGACTTCAAACAGTCTGTGTAACAGACTTCAAAGTGGCATAAAACAAATATCAATGTGACAAATGTAAAACATAATGTGAAAGATGTAACAAATAATGTGACAAATGTAACACATTATTTGATAGATGTAACACATGATGTGACAGATGAAACACATAATGTGACAGATGCAACACATTATTTGATAGATGTAACACATAATGTGACAGATGTAATTCATTATTTGATAGATGTAACACATAATGTGACAGATGTAATACATTATTTGATAGATGCAACACATTATTTGATAGACGTAACACATAATGTGACAGATTTAATACATTATTTGATAGACGTAACACATAATGTGACAGATGTAATACATTATTTGATAGATGCAACACATTATTTGATAGACGTAACACATAATGTGACAGATTTAATACATTATTTGATAGACGTAACACATGATGTGACATATGTAATACATTATTTGATAGATGTAACACATAATGTGACAGATGTAACACATTATTTTGATAGATGTAACACATAATGTGACAGATGTAACAAATGCCATTGTGATGGATGTAATAAATATCAATGTCGCAGATATTTAAAAAAATAATAATGAAACACAACATAACTTGACTGATTTAAGTCATATCAATAAGACAGATATAAGAGGTACCAATGTAACAGAGTAACAAATATAAATACAACAGATAAAAAAATAACGATAGCTGTAACATAATTTGAAAGGATTAAAAGATATCAATGTTACAAACAAAACGGATATCAATGGGAAAAGTAAAACAGACTGCAAGTGACAGATGTAAAAATAATGAGAGATGTAACATAATGCGACAGATTTAATAGATATCAATATGGCAAGTAGTTATCAATGTGAAAAATGAAATGGATTTCAATGGGACAGATTTTAAAAAAATGAGACATACAACATAATGTGACAGATGAAACAGATGTCAATGTCACAAACGTAAAAGATGACAATGTGACAAATGTAACAGATAACAATGTGACAAACATAACGGATAACAATGACAAATGTAGCAGATAATGTTGCAAGCATAACGGATTTCAAAGTGACAGACTGAACAGACATCAATGTTACAGAGTAATGAATGACAATATAACACAAAATAAAATGACGAAAGATATAATAATGTGATAAACATAACAGATAACAATGTTACAGATTTAACTGACATGAATGCCACAGACTAACAAATATCAATATAGCAGATATGAAAATAATGACAGATGTAATAATATGACAAACATAACAACCAACAAAGTGAAAGATTTCACAGATATCTATGTGACATCAAGTAAAATTGTTTACAAAGAATGCAATACACTCAGTGGGGTAATCACCAAAATAAACTGGGGAGGAAAGGGGGGGGGGGAATATGGTGGTATGTGTGAGTTTTTCCAATAATGGGTACCACCAAACCCACCTTGTGACACAGAGGTCTAAAGTTCAATCTTGTCTGAACTGTCCTATTTAGTTTGGTATATCAAGACTGTGTGTTTAAGCAATCAAGTCAAAAAAAAAAATTTTTTTTTTAAAACATTACAGTAAGAAATCCCTACACCCTACAGTGAAAAAGGAAAGACTATTTTAAAAAAAAAACACCCAATAAAACATTCACAAACCATAAATGTTTCAATCCATACATTTAGGAATGCAAAGACAAGTATGTCAGAATTAGATCAGGAATGTAAAGAGAGTTGTGAAGGAAAGTAACACTGTTAAAATCTGAACTAATGAAATTTCAAGTTTCCAGAAAAATAGCATTCTTAAATTTGTTAAATGAATATTTTAAAATGTCTGACATATCTGCGAATGATGCACCCACACAGCGTCTAACCCACTTTAACAGTGGTTGTGGTCCTCTGCTGTTAGAATCTATCAGAAATGTCAAACTGTAAATGTTAACCTTGCATATTAAGGTTCCTTTACCCACCAACAATGCATCGGGCATTTGAGGCCCAGACTCATATTCTTACTGATCAGTCAGTACTCGGTGGGTGATTTGAGCCTGCATAGTGGTTCATCTGTATTCAGACTAGATGAACCTTTGTTCTCAGAGTACTAGAGACATGACTTATGTTCATACTCATGTTATCTAAGACATGTCTTTTGATTCTGCTCTTGACACAGTTCAGTGATATTATTAAGCAAAAGGTAACTGGTCGAAATGGGGCAGAAAACAAAACTGATACAAGCTGATGAATAGAAAAAAAAAAGTAACAACATAATAGAAGGTTGTGAGTGAATACTGATAATTATTTTGGGTACAGTATTTGGTTGTGTTTGTGACATGTTTTGGTTAAGCCAGCTCTTTCATTTTCAATGTCTATCCTTTCATATTCAATGTCTATCCTTTCATATTCAATGTCTATCCTTTCATATTCAATGTCTATCCTTTCATATTCAATGTCTATCCTTTACATATATGCCAACAGTTTACCATCAAATGGGACTGAATGTAATTGTTTTCTATGTTTAATATCAACACATGGAAAAAAAAGTAAGTGTGCATACCATCATTTTATGTGTTCTTGTACTTTCTTTCATTTTACTAAGCACATACTAAAGAAACCTGGCATGCTTCTGCTTTCTGATATATATGTGCTTGATGGGTTAGTAAAATGTGACTGATATCTGGATATTCATTTATTTGCACAGTGAGTTATACTTGGTGTATGCATTAATCATTCCTGAGATAATCAACCACATCCAACCCACCTAAGAATTGCCAGGTACTCATCAGAAATGAAGGGCAAACAATATCAAAACTTAAATGTTGCACTGTTTTATCATCCGCTGAAGTATCTTAAGCACATTATAAGTAAATCATAAAAAAACATGATGGTTACATTACAGATGTTGAAGGATTACTCTGTGAAAGTTTTAATACTGTCAAAGAAACAACTGGGTTATTTCTCATGCTCATTTATAATGTCATACAAACATTATAAAGTTACTTGTGTATAAATCCTTCCTTTACAGAACATCAGAAACCAGCTCCCAGCATTTACTGGCTGTTTGTGGTATCACTATCCAATTTTACGTCCAGCAGCTGTCTTATGTTGGTGTCTGTGGTTTAGGTATTGTGAACATGCTTCGTAATGCTGCAGTGCTGAGTTCAATCCCAGCTGCGAACCGTCTGTCATGCATTGGTTTCGACAGTGATACAGAGAGTTGACTGTTTAGACAGCAATGGCAAACTACTGAAACATAAAATTAGCCGAGAAAAACTATAACCACCACCACCCCCCCCCCCCCCCCCCAATGCTGCTGTTGGTTCTGCAACGCCCTGTAAAGGATACAGAACTAACTAGCTGGCTATTGCCTCTGAATGGTCGATGCTATGCAACTTTCAAAATAAATGCAATGAAGTTTGCGGTCAAACTACCTGCTGCTTACTCAAACCTGGGATGCTGGAATTATGAAACTGCATTCATAATCACTAATCTGGTAAGCCACAAGACACCACTAATTGACAAACATTCTTTGAGTAATTTCTGTTTAAAATGTCAGTCACATTCTCAAGATCTTGTATATGTACTTTCATTCTGTCAAAATAATTTCTTGACTCTTTAGGTTCTCTCAAGAATTTTGGGCAGATGTCAAATCAAAAAAATTGCTTAAGAAAATAAATTGGCACTCTTTAGCAAGTTAAAATATATCACATCACAACTGTTCTGATATCAGTCGATGATAATGGAAAATCTGCGGGTTAAAAAATTTGGAAATTAGAAAATAAATGAGGTAGAAAATACAATCAACACTAAACTTCAAGCCATAATATACATCAAACTTTACCAGTATGATATCAATAACATGAAATGGCTTGGCCACGTTATGAGAATGACTTCTGACATCCGCCCTAAAAATCACATATACCCAGAAGGAAAGAGAAATCAGGGGCGCCCATAAAACATATGGAGACGCAATATAAAGTGACAATTGCGGCATCTTTGACATGGATAGCTGTTCTAATATCAATATAACCAGAATCACAGCTATTTCAAGCCTCATCAAGGCATAACGATAAAATGATGTGATCACTTATACTATATAAAATCATTATTCCAATCTTATTTTTTAAAAACAACTATAGGTCTAGTCGGCAGCTGTGGCTCAAGTGTTGCGAACACACTTTGTAATGCTGGGGTGCTTGGTTCGATCCTAGCTGCAGGTGATTTGGTGGCAGAACCCTTTGCATTGGTTTTGACAGTGGTTTCAAGAGCCAATCATTCAGAAAGCAAAGGAAAACTACAGAACATTAAATTCGCATAGAAAAACCACAGCCCAAAAATGCTGGGGTTGGTCCTGTAAAGTCTTGTTAGGGAAACACAACTAACCTTTATTATAAACTAACCTTTTCCAAGTCCCGTCCAATGATCAGGCACATGTAAAAAGTATCGGTCCATAGCCTCGAGAAACCTGCCTCTGTACAGCTGTGGAGACACGACTGTTGGCATCTTGCCTGTTCGGATGAAAATACTTTTAGTGAAAAAAATAATTACAAATTGTCATCAAAGCTGTTTGCATCACATAATTTGGGGCCTATGCAATATTAAGGCTTCTGTGATGTTGACAGACTTCTGTGGGATCTCAAGAGTTCTATGATGTGATCTGTAGTTCTATGATGTGATTTGGGAGTTCTATGATGATCTGTAGTTCTATGATGTGATCTGGGAGTTCTATGATGTGACCTGTAGTTCTATGATGTGATCTGGGAGTTCTATGATGTGATCTGTAGTTCTATGATGTGATCTGGGAGTTTTATGATGTGATCTGTAGTTCTATGATGTGATCTGGGAGTTCTATGATGTGATCTGTAGTTCTATGATGTGATCTGTAGTTCTATGATGTGATCTGTAGTTCTATGATGTGATCTGGGAGTTTTATGATGTGATCTGTAGTTCTACGATGTGATCTGTAGTTCTATGATGTGATCTGTAGTTCTATGATGTGACCTGGGAGTTTTATGATGTGACCTGTAGTTCTATGATGTGATCTGGGAGTTTTATGATGTGACCTGTAGTTCTATGATGTGACCTGGGAGTTTTATGATGTGATCTGTAGTTCTATGATGTGATCTGGGAGATCTCTGATGTGGTCTGGGAGTTGCAGGATGTGGCAAAAAGATAACATGAAGAGATGGACTACACAGAGGATGACAGACTAATATCATAGGAGACTCATTGTAGCCAACCTCTAATGTGAGAATGACAACTGATCTGGTCTTATCTGAACATAAGTAAAGAACTCTTGAGGATGACTGAGCATATGCTTACCTCATGTTTTTCACCGACCAACTGACACTCAATGGCTAGTGTAGTCAATATCATACCAACCGCAATTACTTCCCAGAAATTTCTTGGTGCACATTTTTATGTTCAACAAACCTAGGTAAAATTTAAAAATCCCAAACCCTTTTCTGCGAGTACCAGGCTGCCAGGTAAGTCTGCTAACCGCTGCACTATAACAGCTTCCCTGTACCTGAATTTACCTTAAAAAAAAACTGACCTGTACACCCAGACCCACCCACAATGGACGACAGTTTATTTTGTAACCATTTTGTGGTGGCCCAATATAAAAGTGCTATAAAGTTAAAAGAATGAAGGTTAAAGTCAAGATAATCGACTTCACTGCACTAGTTTTTTTACCAGGTCGCTCTGTCTCTCTCCGCAGAACGGCTAGTCGCTTGCCGAGAACTCAGCGCATAGCACATAAATTTGTTATATTGCTGTATGGTTGAGCAGGGTTTCCATGAGATGTTAATCCTTCAGATGGCAACCAGCGCCAGAGTGGTGGTGGGGAACAGGGGGGGGGGGGGGGGGGGGGGAGTTTAAACAAATATACTGACCTTGACCTCCTAAGCTGACAGTCGACTTGACAACCATTTCCAACTTTTTGTCCCAGGTGAATGTGCGGATATAATCTGCATGGTGCAAAACATTATGTGCATTAAATAAATGTCATACAAACGGCATAATCTACACATTACAAGATTTTTTAACTAGACACACAAGAAAAAAGACTTCTGTATCAAACACATAAAACAGGTAATATTGTTCTTCTTCCCTATTTACATACTGATCTTAACACTAACTTTAATAGATTTTTTCTGTAAAAGTTTTTGGTTTCTGATTTCAGATTCATGACATTCTCATACTTTTTGTTGAAATGACATTGGGTGATGCCATATTCAGGTAGCTCAGATACCTTCTCAGATACCTTGCAAATCTCAGATACCTTGTAAATCTCAGATACCTTGCAAATCTCAGATACCTTGCAAATCTCAGATACCTTGTAAATCTAAGATACCTTGTAAATCTCAGAAATCTTGTAAATCTAAGATACCCTGTAAATCCTAGATCCTACTGCCATCATTGTATAAATTATCAAATCCGTTGGTAAAAAGGAGTCACTGGAAAATTCCATACAAAGGGACATGGTATAATATGTTGCAACTAGTGTGAAAAAACTATACCTTTATCAAATCTGTATATGTTGGGAGTCATTCTAAACTTTGATTTAGAGCAACAAGGCATAATATTATGTAAATTAATTAATTAATTAATTAATTTTGTAAATTAAAAAAATTTGTAATCAAATCTGTTGGTAAAGAAAAGTTACTGGAAAATGTTATTTGAAAGGTCCCGGCAAGTGTGTCAAACAAGTATAGCTGCCATTACTGGATGCATCTATCACTTTTACTGTGTAGGTGAGGAAAGGGGGGCGAGGGGTTTAGCCTGAGAATGTAGGCTTTCGCCACGAACTGTGCAAATTAGAATTTTATTTTTGCCCTAACAGACAAAAACCTATGACCATACCAAGTGTTCAAACCTGGGTCTCCAGCATGAAAGCCTAGTGTTCTTAACCATTTGGCCAGCCCCACCTCATCAATCTAATATATCTGTATCACATTTGTATATGTTGAGCAGTCATTTGAAACCTAGATTTGCAGCACCAAAAAAGGCATGATATTTAAAGCAGAATGGTGTATCATGTCAATGGCTACAAATCTACAGGCACCATCAGTATTAGAACTCTGCGCTGGCTGCTGAAGATGAGGACGGAGCATGAATGGGAATGCCCCGAGTGCTGTGATGTTGGCAATTCTTGACTCAACTCAACTGGCTACAAATCTCTGGTCACATCTGGATAAACAGTGATTCAAACCTATAATTCCCACCACAAGCTCCTGGGTGTCTTCATCCACCCCCACCAGCAGTGAGTAGTCCATGACCAGGTTTGTGGACAGAAATGCTGAGTCACTGGTGATGGCTGACTTTAGGACATGCTTGCTGTGTGGTCTCAGGTACAGTGGGCTCTCTACGCTACCTGTTAATATCAAATATTAAAATAATGTAAAGTTATGAAATTTAAAAATAAAAAATATAAAATATAAATTTTTTTTTTTAAAGATTATAAAAACATACAATATATATTATATATCAGCTTTACAGAACCAATAACAATAAACCAGCAAAGTCTGTGATAACTATTTCACCCTGAAGAGCCGCAAAACCGGCACTTCTGGTTGGCTCCAATTCCCCCTAAATGTCACTTTTCTGACTTGCCTATAGTGAGTTGTTTACAAGATGCATAGTAAATGCTTTTAGCTGTTTTCACACTCAAAGCAAATGTTTAATAGGTCAGGACATAAATAAGTTTACTAGAAAAAGCATTTGGGGGTTTTCTTTGAGCTGAGTAACTTTTCAAAACCAAGCTGATGTCAAATTTTCCCATAAGCCTATGGGACAGAAATCATCGGGTCACGACAAAAATCACCTGATGAATATACATTTTTTTTTTTAAAGCTCCAGAGAATGTATTTCATTTAATACTTCACACCTGTTTGTGTTTCGTAATTATTCCCTCCATATAAATTCATATATAGAAAGAATAAATGTAGATAAATAAATGTTGTATGAGTTTTTAGTGGCGTATGTAAAACTGTTTTTGTTTTAAGGATTTTTGTTCTGGAATTCCTAACAGGTGTTGGCCAATTTTTTCCCCAGTGTTCCCGGGGGCAAAAGGGTTAATTTTTTGTTTTTTTAATTCAGTTTATATGCTTGTTTATTGTTACTGGGCCCATAAAGCTGACGTATACTTCATGTTGTCAAATCCATTTTTTTTTAAGACTGTCAGTGGTACACAATCAGTGTAGAAACTTAGCAGTTTTAAAACAAATAAAAGTAAAGTAACGATCCCTTTTCACACCTTTTAGGCACATCGGGCCTATGGGAAGAGCATCCATATTTTTACAGACCAATCGGCACTTGATGGGTAGTGTGGTCAGCATTACGCAGGCCGTCTTGACTTCCCCAGGACATACATCCTGGTACCCATTTTATGGTTATGACGACCTGCAACAACCCCATACCATGATAAAAATCCACGCAGCCAGCAGTGGGTTTCAATCCTGGTATGTTGGAATTACGAGTCGGACTCGCAACACCTAAGCCAAGGACGCCGCTTCAATACAAATACCATGACAGTAAAGGTAACCCCATAGCAGATGCTGCAACTGCTGTGGGAAGTGTCAAAGCTCCACTATTCTAGGCCTCAATATTTCTGTAACCAGTGCTTGCACATAATAGCAGGAATTGAATAGTATGACTGAATAACTGACAGAGAGCTAGGAGACAACTAAACAAATTCCAGTGAATCGAGAGGTGAGGAAAACATGCTGACATTGGATAGGGTACACTCTGAAATAACTAGAATGTCTTTGCACTAGAACCTACAGGGTCTAAGGAATATAGGCAGACTCAAAAAACATATGAAGAAAGGAACTAGAGAGTGAGGTGAAAAAGATGGGGAGGACATGGGGTGAGCTGCAGATGAAAGCAAAGAATAGGACCAACCAGCATTAGTTAGTTGAAGGGCCTATCTTCCAATAGGGAATAATGGTTAGAAAAAGAAAGAAGAAGAAAAATGTAACAATTTATGAGGTGGAGGGGGGGAGGGGAGGGGAGGGGGGTGGCAATTTCCTCTCCAAGCTGCTTTTAGTAGTTTTGTCAGCCTAAACAAACTTTCAAATTTTAATCTTATTACTACTTCTTCATCAATTCTTCTTTGACTGCCTCAAGAGTCAAGGGAGAAACAAGATTCTGCTTCCTGCTCTTCTGGCTGCCTTGACAACAGACATGTAGTGCTACTGTAGAGTTTCTCTAATGATATCTTTCCACCCTGTTCTTGGTCTACCTTGCACTCTACGTTCTATTTTAGTGCATGTCTTGTTTGGTATGACGTCACTGCCTATCCTTTATTCGATTAGACTTTCTCTGTGTTAGAAACTCTCACTACCTACCCAAAAGCATGACATAGGAGCTGACTAATTGGGATTTACCTTTGAAGTTGGAGTGCATCTGCCTGAGAGGCAAGGAACCAACAGTCAGCATACACATGAGTCTGATCTGTAAAATGGACACGCATGCAACACTTAGGTTCCAGAACAGAACTGCAGTCCAGAAGTGGATGAACAACCAGAACATTCCTCCAGAGTTTACAGCTTGTGAAAGCGAAGAAGAAGAAAAGGCAGCTATGAGGGTTTGCTGAAATCAAATGTGTTGGGCCAAAAGGTGCAGATATTGCAGCCTAGTTGTAAACCATAATACATGACAAACACCCCTTTAAGGGCAAAAGAAGAACAAGGAGGAGGAGGAAGAAAAGTGAGCATACAAAAAAAAAAAAGAAGTTATATAAGTCACAAATATGACACTCTTAAGATATTGGCGACGATGACAGACGACTAAACAACCTATTAAAATATGATTGATCAGATTTTCAAATACACATCTGTTTTCCTCTCACTGAATCTGCTATAAAAAAAAACACTACCATCACTGCATTTACAACTTTTGTGGCACAGGCAGGGTGGGTATTTTTGGAGACTGAGGACTTAGGGTTGCATCGCTAGTGCTATCACCATAAAAAATTCACAATCTTACTGATGAATCGATCCTGGGTTTACCGCATTAGAGCCCAGTGCTCTTACTTGTTCGGGGAGCCCTCCCCCCCCCCCCCCCAAAAGATGGTAAGGAAATCTCTACCACTCACATTTCAACAGGTTCTCATCCAGCAGCACCAGTTCATCCTCTGCTCGTTTACTGGTTGTGTTCACTAGTCGGTTTCTCAAAGAGCCCTTCAGGTCAAATTTCTGAGGAAAAAAACAAAATAAGAAGTGCTACAGATGTAAACGTCGGCATCTGTGGCTAGGGCATTGTGAAGGTACTTCGTAATGCTTGGGTGCCAGGTTCGATCCCAGCTGGATAATACCTCTCCACCGTCTTCTTTGTCTACTTCACGGTCTATGGACATTCAAATCCACTGTGTACAAAGTTTTTGGCCCTATGTCATTCTTCTCTCTATATAATGCCCCACCTATTTCAGTCTATCAGCTCTCATGATGCCAGTGACCAATGGTGACTTTAACAGATTATGAATTTCACTGCTGCTTCTCTCTCCATTTCCTGCTGTTTGCATCTTTGAGTCTGTTTACATTTAACTGAAATCAAGGCTTGAATATCTGTTTCATAATGAAATGAAGTTTCACAAAGGTGGAGGTGTCGGCCTCCACATTTCAAAGCACATAAGCAGTTGAGAAAAGTATTTTATGCCAGTTGCCACCAACAACCTAATGGTAGATTGCTTAGCACTCAGTGAGTTAAGACACAGTGGTAGACGAATAGCAGAAGGAGAGGAGGAGATGAACAGGTTTACATTTGATTTCTTGCTCAATTAAACACACGCAAAAATCCTGGCTACTGTTATAGTCTCAATAAAACAAAACAAGGTAATTTTAAATATGTTTTCGCTTAGCACTCAGTGAGTTAAGACACAGTGGTAGAGGAATAGCAAAAGGAGAGAAGGAGATGAACAGGTTTACATTTGACTTCTTGCTCAATTTAACACACACAAAAATCCTGGCTACTGTTATATTCTCAATAAAACAAAACAAGGTTATTTTAATTATTTTATCCCTCTATTTAACAAACAAAACAAAAACAAAACAAAAAAACAGCTCACATTTTCTTATAGACAACTGTGAACACAAACCTGAGAGATCTTGCGACTGTAGAACAAATTCTCCATGACTAGAACATCCTGTCTGAGGGCATGATTGGTCTGTGTGTTACGGAAGCCAATGCGATAGACTCCCATGATTTTGGCTAGGGCTGTGGGCTGCTGCTCCAAAAACAAAAACACAGGGACAACAATTTAAAGACAACTTGCCTACTGGTGACGATCTAATGGCATATTTAGGTAGCGATGTGTACAGAGATGGAAGAGTAGGGATCTAAAATTGGAATATAAATGGAACAGATAGCTTTCACTGTAAGAAATCGGTAGAAGGCAAAGGAAACAAAAACTAGTACTCAACTCAGAATTTCTATATCAGCACAAAAAAAAAGGCTATGTGAAACTAAACACAATGGAAGGAATGACTAAAGCAATTACTAATAAACTGCAAATGTTTTGTTAAACTGTGGCTCTGTAGATTACAGGGGGAAATTTGGTTTAACAGAATCACTAATGTGGAGCTTAGGGAGAGAGCTAAGCAACTTCGGTGAGTCAAGAGGTGAGGAAAAGACGCTTGTGTTGGATAGGAACAACACCAAGAAAACCTTTAAAAAAAAATTTAGAATGTCGTTGCACTAGGACCTATGGGATCAAAGGAACAAAAGCAGACCACACAACAAAACAAAACAAAACACCAAGAAGGGAATTAGAGAGGGAAGTGAAAAATATGGTGAAGACAATAGGTGAGCTAATCACAACAGAAAAAAATAAGAACATCTGTCGCGAGTTGGTTAAAGGCCAGTGTTGCACTGCGCGATAAAGAGCACAAAATAAAGAAAAATTTCAAACTTTTTTTTTTAAATGGACAGTTATGTTTTTGATTATATTTTAAAATAAATGCTACAATATTAGTTCTTATTTATTTACTTACTTCAGGTTTTAAAAAAAATGTGTGCATGCATGCATGTGCCTGTTCACAAATACACACATGAATACGTAAATTCATTCGGTAAGTAATGGCAAACTACTAAACACACACGCACATGTGTATTTGTGTCTACGTGCATGTGTCTGTTTAAAGTATAATAGACATAGGAGAGAACATAGCATAATAAATGTAGTAGAGAAAATGCCTTTGTTTCAGAACAGCATTGTGTACTGCACGTAACAGAGAACAATATGTGATATATGTAATGAAAGAGAATACTGCATCATTAATGTAGTAAACAAATGAAAAATGTGTGACAAATGTACTGAAAGAGAACAGTGCATTATACAAGTAGCAGAGAACTATGCATGATATATGTAAGCAGAGAACTATGTGTGATATATGTAGCAGAGAACTATGTGTGATATATGTAGCAGAGAACTATATGTGATATCTGTAGCAGAGAACTATATGTGATATCTGTAGCAGAGAACTATGTGTGATATATGTAGCAGAGAACTATTTTTTGATATATGTAGCAGAGAACTGTGTGTGATATATGTAGCAGAGAACAATGTGTGGTATATGTAGCAGAGAACTATGTGTGATGTATGTAGCAGAGAATAATGTGTGATAGATTTAGCAGAGAACTATGTGTGATATATGTAGCAGAGAACTATGTGTGATATATGTAGCAGAGAACTATATGTGATTTATGTAGCAGAGAACTATGTGTGGTATATGTAGCAGAGAAGAACTATGTGTAATATATGTAGCAGAGAATAATGTGTGATAGATTTAGCAGAGAACAATGTGTAATTATAATAAAAGAGAAAAGTGCATAACAAAGGTAACAGAAAATAATTATGCAGTATATGTCATATGTCTATAAAACCACATCTAAAAAGCTTCCAAATAATTTTCTTCACTTATCTACCAACCGTACATGATTCGCTTCAGTGTATCAAGACAGGATTTATATAGCTTTAAAGTATTCTCTTTCTCGTCAATGTGTGACACAAAACAGATAATCACCTGTTCAGAAATGCACAGCTTCATGTACTGAAAGTACTGGGGCCCAAACTTCTCAAAAGAATCCACCTCCATGTTAGACATCTGCTTCAGAATGAAACGGTCATCTGCAGAAAACAATGAAAACTCTGGATATAGTGGAACTCTTCCAGTGTATCAAATCTCCCCAGTATTAACTCTTTCGACACTAGAGGACAGTTAATTATATGCATCAGCATGTGATGCTATCCTTGGTACCTAAAGAGTTAAACGTCTATGTCATCTACGACTATGCCATGTGGCAATGGTCATCATGTCCTGTCTACTGTTTTGTGAACTGTCAATATTTCTGATCTGATGTTCCTCCATGCCATGATACTAAACTGTTTAAACATTCTCTCTGTCAAAGTCTCTCTCTTCTCCTTCTCTCTCTCTCTCCCCCCCCCCCCCCCTCTCTCTCTCCCTCCCCCACCCCTCTCTCTCAAGGTCTCTCTTACCCTAAACTGTTCCTGTTAACATAATACACCGATGTGCCCACAGAATATGGACTGTCTGCTTCTGATGTGAGTAAACCATCTGCACACACTTGTAACCAAAAACATTAAATAATTACCATCTGCATACACTTGTAACCAAAAACATTAAATAATTACCGCCTACATAAACTGTAACCAAAAACATTAAAATAATTACAGTCTGCATACACTATGTAACCAAAAAACAGCTGATAAAATAAACGTACCGTCTGAAATGCTACATCACTTGTAACCAAAAACATTTATAAGTTACCGTTCTGCATACACTTGTAACCAAAAACAAGGTGTTAAATAATTTACTGCCTTCATAAAAATTGTAACCAAAAACATTAAATAATTACCGTCTGCATACACTTGTAACCAAAAACATTAAATAATTACTGCCTTCATAAACTTGTAACCTAAAACATTAAATAATTACCGTCTGCATACACTTGAACCCAAAACCATTAAATAATTACTGTCTGCATACACTTGTAACCAAAAACATTAAATAATTACTGCCTTCATAAACTTGTAACCAAAAACATTAAATAATTACCGTCTGCATACACTTGTAACCAAAAACATTAAATAATTACCGTCTGCATACACTTGTAACCAAAAACATTAAATAATTACCGTCTGCATACACTTGTAATAAAAAAAACATTAAATAATTACCGTCTGCATACACTTGTAACCAAAAACATTAAATAATTACTGCCTTCATAAACTTGTAACCAAAAACATTAAATAATTACTGCCTTCATAAACTTGTAACCAAAAACATTAAATAATTACTGTCTGCATACACTTGTAACCAAAAACATTAAATAATTACCGTCTGCATACACTTGTAACCAAAAACATTAAATAATTACCGTCTGCATACACTTGTAATAAAAAAACATTAAATAATTACTGCCTACATAAACTTGTAACCAAAAACATTAAATAATTACCGTCTGCATACACTTGTAACCAAAAACATTTAATAATTACTGCCTTCATAAACTTGTAACCAAAAACATTAAATAATTACTGCCTTCATAAACTTGTAATCAAAAACATAAATAATTACTGCCTACATAAACTTGTAATCAAAAACATTAAATAATTACTGCCTGCATACACTTGTAATAAAAAAAACATTAAAAATTAATTACTGCCTTCATAAAATTTGTAACAAAAACATTAAATAATTACTGCCTTCATAAACTTGTAAACCAAAAACATTAAATAATTACCGTCTGCATACACTTGAACCCAAAAACATTAAATAATTACTGCCTTCATATAACTTGTAACCAAAAAACATTAAATAATTTACCGTCTGCATACACTTGTAATCAAAAACATTAAATAATTACTGCCTTCATAAACTTGTAACCAAAAACATTAAATAATTACCGTCTGCACACACTTGTAACCAAAAACATTAAATAAATTACTGCCTGCATACACTTGTAACCAAAAACATTAAAATATTACCGTCTGCACACACTTGTAACCAAAAACATTAAATAATTACCGTCTGCACACACTTGTAACAAAAAAACATTAAATAATTACCGTCTGAATTACACTTGTAACCAAAAACATTAAATAATTACTGCCTGCATACACTTGTAATCAAAAACATTAAATAATTACTGCCTTCATAAACTTGTAACCAAAAACATTAAATAATTACCGTCTGCATACACTTGTAACCAAAAACATTTAATAATTACTGCCTGCATACACTTGTAATAAAAAAAACATTAAATAATTACCGCCTGCATACACTTGTAATCAAAAACATTAAATAATTACTGCCTGCATACACTTGTAATCAAAAACATTAAATAATTACTGCCTCATACACTTGTAATCAAAAACATTAAATAATTACTGCCTGCATACACTTGTAATCAAAAACATTAAATAATTACTGCCTGCATACACTTGTAACCAAAAACATTAAATAATTACTGCCTGCATACACTTGTAATAAAAAACATTAAATAATTACCGTCTGCATACACTTGTAATAAAAAAACATTAAATAATTACTGCCTACATAAACTTGTAACCAAAAACATTAAATAATTACCGTCTGCATACACTTGTAACCAAAAACATTTAATAATTACTGCCTTCATAAACTTGTAACCAAAAACATTAAATAATTACTGCCTTCATAAACTTGTAATCAAAAACATTAAATAATTACTGCCTACATAAACTTGTAATCAAAAACATTAAATAATTACTGCCTGCATACACTTGTAATAAAAAAAAATTAAATAATTACTGCCTTCATAAACTTGTAACCAAAAACATTAAATAATTACTGCCTTCATAAACTTGTAACCAAAAACATTAAATAATTACCGTCTGCATACACTTGAACCCAAAAACATTAAATAATTACTGCCTTCATAAACTTGTAACCAAAAACATTAAATAATTACCGTCTGCATACACTTGTAATCAAAAACATTAAATAATTACTGCCTTCATAAACTTGTAACCAAAAACATTAAATAATTACCGTCTGCACACACTTGTAACCAAAAACATTAAATAATTACTGCCTGCATACACTTGTAACCAAAAACATTAAATAATTACCGTCTGCACACACTTGTAACCAAAAACATTAAATAATTACCGTCTGCACACACTTGTAACCAAAAACATTAAATAATTACCGTCTGAATACACTTGTAACCAAAAACATTAAATAATTACTGCCTGCATACACTTGTAATCAAAAACATTAAATAATTACTGCCTTCATAAACTTGTAACCAAAAACATTAAATAATTACCGTCTGCATACACTTGTAACCAAAAACATTTAATAATTACTGCCTGCATACACTTGTAATAAAAAAAACATTAAATAATTACCGCCTGCATACACTTGTAATCAAAAACATTAAATAATTACTGCCTGCATACACTTGTAATAAAAAAACATTAAATAATTACCGCCTACATAAACTTGTAACCAAAAACATTAAATAATTACCGTCTGCATACACTTGTAACCAAAAACATTAAATAATTACCGCCTGCATACACTTGTAATAAAAAACATTAAAAAATTACCATCAGTTTTGCTAAACGATGAGCCAGATTTTCCTCCTTTGGCTTCCCACATCTTGCATCGACTCAGTGATCGGATAAAGCTAGGATTTAAAAAAAAATTCATTTGGTATTTCAGAACACAAGAAATGAAACTGTCCTGCTTCACTTTCAAATAAATGTTGAAAATATTTTTTTGTTTAAAGTGTGCAGACACAAGCACATGCACATGAATGCACACAATAAAGGGTAAGAGGACTGCATACTTTAAAATTCAAATTATCCAGCAGATAATGGTTCATTAATGTAATTATCAATGAATGAATGAATGAATGAATGAATGAATGAATGAATGAATGAATGAATGAATGAATGAATGAATGAATGAATGAATGAATGAATGAATGAATGAATGAATGAATGAATGAATGAATGAATGAATGAATGAATGATTTAATTAAGAACTGACATCACTGCATTTAGGGCATTCCCACACAACCTGTATTCATTTGCTCACCAGCCAACAAAGAGTTACCATACTAATAAAGAAAGCTAACATAACTCTTCTATAAGCCAACAGATCTTTCAAAGAAAATACTGCAATGCTGGCTGATAGACCTACTATACTAATGAAGAAAGCTAACATAATTCTTTTATAAGCTAACAGATCTTTCATAGAAAACATTGCAATGCTGGCTGAAAGATCTACCATACACTAACGGATCCTTCATAGAAACACTGCAATGCTGGCTGATAGACCTACTATACACTAACGGATCTTTCATAGAAACAATGCAATGCTAGCTGATAGACCTACCATACACTAAAGGATCTTTTATAGAAAACACTACAATGCTGACTGATAGACCTACCATACTAATAAAGAAAGCTAACATAATTCTTCCATAAGCCAACAGATCTTTCATAGAAAACATTGCAATGCTGGCTGATAGACCTACCATACAGCAACAGATTTTTGATAAAAAACATTGCAATATTAGCTTAAAGAAAGCATACACTAAATGAGAAGACAGAAGCAGAGCATGGGGTAAACCTAGAAATCATAGAAAGATCACATCAGAGAAACTAGAAGAACATGGCAACAAGTATGGATCACAGACTACTGCTTTTTACAGAGGGAATCTCTGCAATAAGCCCCTGGAATGTCAGAACTTTGTATGCATTGGGAAAGACAGCAAAGGCAATAGGGACGATGAAATAATATAAGATTTGCCTTTTAGGTTTATTCTTATATATGCTCAGCAACTCTCTCTCTCTCTCTCTCTCTCTCTCTCTCTTTAGTCTTATTCTTACATTCACAACACAAAATCCTTCAGTTATATTCTCTTGCATAAAAGGTCTGTCTCATTTACTATTTCCCTCTCCTTATCCTCTCCTTCCTTCATTCAAACTGTCTTGTGCACTCTCTCCTTTCCAAACAACATTCTCAAAGAAACTAGGAGAATGTTGATGCCTCAACTCACAAGTTATCACTGCCTGGCAATATCAACTTCCGCAGTTTTCTAAACTGATCAGCAAAGTAAACTCTGCAGTAGAACTTGGCTGCTGAGTCAGAGAATTCTGTAACAAGCAAGATGTATCACCAATTTAGCAGTCTTATGTAATCAAAGCAATGTTTCTTCGTTGTGAATTTGAACAAAGAAGACGCAAACTATATACTGCACGTGGCTTACATGTGGAAGAGCATTCAACCTTTACAAACCGCAGAATGCTGCACTATATGAAAGCCACAATAATAAACTGTGTCAGTCCAGAATTATACCGACAAAAGGAAATGGTCATGAATCTGTGTTTGCCCTGGTGAAACAGACAGTTACTTACTTCTTAATGTAGACAGTTTTGTGTTTCAGATAGAAGCATTCATTTACTTGCTTTATTTTAATCATTACATCTGGGTTCATCTGTGTAAAGATTCAACATCACAGCATTCAGGACAAGCCTTTATTATCTCTGTCTCCCTCCTAACAGACTACAAGAGGTTCCATACAGATGGTGCCCGTTGTTATCCGGTTAACTACTCATCTTGCCTTCCTTCCGAGTCTCAAGTGGTGCCCAAGCCCACAGCCACTCCCGGCTGTATCGTTCTCTCAAGGTACAGTAAGTTTTCAGTATTATTAGAATTTATTGTTACTATAGTAGGCATAGAATAGGATACAGCAAAATATGTGAAAAAGTAAAAGTAAAGGACTCTTATCTACACCTTTAGGTATATAGGGCACATAGGGCTAGACCTATATTTTATAGAACAATTGGCACAAGATGGCTGATGTGGTCAGCATCCCGCCGGCCGTCTTTACTTCCTGGGACTGCACCCAGTACCCACTCGAGGTTGGGTTGACCTGGGAGTCAAGACAGCAAAATATGATAGGCAATAAACTGTGCAATCTTTTTGTTGTGTCTTCTATGTTCAAATTTAGCAGCCAATAAACACTAATGAGGCAAAACATTGCATGTATAAAACTTAGACTTAGGGATGAGACTTTACAGACATGTAATGTTATGGCAGATACAATTTTTGAGGCATAAAACTGTCCCAGCAATTGAAACTTTCCAGACAAATCACTGTAGGCCTAAAACTATGCCACAGAATAAACTTTTCATGAACAAAATGTTGCAGAATCAAAGGGACATAAAATGTTGCAGATATAAAAGAGACATAAGATGTTGTAAATATGTTTATGGTTATGTTTATTCAACGGATCAACATCATGGCACACGGGTGTAACCGTATTTCTTCTAACTCAAGCCTGATTCTGAAGAATCTCAGTGCAGTGCATGAACTCTGTTACACTGGCGAGGATCCGGAAATATTTTTTATGTAGAATTTCAACTCTAAATGTTGCCTGGGCAGCGTCATTAGGCTGCTCTTTTCTTTTTCCAACTGCCAGGGGATTTTTTTAACATGTGGAACAACACACACGGGCATCTGGTCTTACTACCCAGAGACCAGGGGAAATTCCTAGAAGTCCACGTGAAAAAATCCCAGCCTTTACTGAGGCTTGAACCTGGAACCTCTAGCACTCAAGGCGGACACCATGCCTCGAGACCAAGCAGTTCCCCTCCCCCTGTTGTAAATGTGAAAGGGACAAACATTTTGCAGATATGAAAGGGACCAACATTTAGCAGATATGAAAGAGACAAACATTTTGCAGATATGAAAGGGACAAACATTTTTTAGATATGAAAGGGACATAAAATGTTGCATATATGAAATAATGCTGACATGAAAGGAACCAACATTTAGCAGATATGAAAGAGACAAACATTTTGCAGATATGAAAGGGACAAACATTTTTTAGATATGAGGGGACATAAAATGTTGCATATATGAAATAATGCTGACATAAAAGGAACATAAAATGTTGCAGCAATGAAAGGAACATACAATTTTGCAGATTTGAAAGTAATATAAAATGGAGCAGCAATGAAAGGGACATAAAATGTTGCAATATAGGGATATAATTGACATTAAGTTCATTCCAGGGATGCAATACAGTTGTGATTTTAAAGCCCCACCCCAGCTGTTGTTGAGGGCCCTGAATATAAGCTACAGGCTGAACAGGGTTTCTGGGCTTGTGCCCGGGTGATTATTATCCAGACAGTGGCACTTTGTGTCACCGGGTGTTCATCGCTCATCGTGTGGTCCTAGTGGTGTTGAATATCAGTCAGTCAAGGGACATGAAATGTTGCAGGTATGAAATGGGCAATATAAAATGTTGCATATTTGAAATGGACAGCACAAAATGTTGCAGATATGAAATGGACAACACAAAATGTTGCAGATATGAAATGGACAACATAAAAGGTTGCAGATATGAAATTGACAACATAAAAGGTTGAAGATATGAAATGGGACAACATAAAAGGTTGCAGATATGAAATGGACAACACAGAATGTTGCAGATATGAAATGGACAACACAAAATGTTGCAGATATGAAATGGACAACACAGAATGTTGCAGATATGAAATGGACAACATAAAAATGTTGCAGATATGAAATGGGACAACATAAAAAGTTGCAGATATGAAATGGACAACACAGAATGTTGCAGATATGAAATGGACAACAAAAATGTTGCAGATATGAAAAAGTCTTAAATCTTCCTCTTCTTAGCATTCACCAGCTGTCAACACCGGTCAAATGTTCTCTTTGTTACACCTCTGGATTTTGGTCTTCTTCAAGAACTTGAGTTTTGCCTATACACCCAATTTAAAGATCTGGATTATTTGCAGCTCTCAAATGTCTCTCCACAGGTCCTTCACAATTTTTTTTAAAAATGTGCATTATTCATTATCATCATCATCATGTAGCAGGTCCTTTGCAGAACATCGCTCTCATCACGGTTACCTAAAAGAAACTTGGTCTCTTGCCAGCTCTCCCACCTCATGTACTTTCATACTCAAGTAGTCACTTATATCCTGTGCCCATCTTCGTGTCAGTCGGCCCCTGCCCCTCCTTCCTAGTACCATGCCTTCTGCTATAATTCTTTTCAATCCATTGTGGCCTTTGATATGACCAAAATATTTCAGCTTCTGAGACAGGATGCTGTTTGTTAGCCAATCTTCCTTGATGTTGAGATCTTTTAAGATGTCAGTATTTCTCTTCTTTGTCCAAAATATTCTGAAAATCTATCTATAGCATGTCAGCTCCCTATTCTCTTTCTTAAAGACTGGGAGATAGTCCACGATTCACATCCGTATGTTGCTGTTGCTACAGTGAAGATGCATGCTCTCAAATTTCTAATTTTTGCATTAATACTGATCACAAAAACTAGCTCAGTATCAGATAAACAAAGAACCAAAATGACCGAGTGCACAAACATAAAATGACATACAATGAAAACATACGTAATTCTATGTGTGGGGATGTGGCAGCACTGCCAACTTTGGGCTTCTCCTCCGGCGATGGTGTGGCATCATCAGACATCACAGTTACATCTGGCTCATCTGTGGGTTGTAGATAAAACAGACATATACTGGCTTGCAGGGGTGGTCAGTTCAAACACTGTACCCTACAGACTAGACTAGGATCCAGAAGAGACACACACGACTCATGCATAAAAATCCCCCCCCCCCCCCCCCCCCACAAACAAACCCAACTTCAGTATATACTGGCCATTCTGACATCGATGGTTCTGTTCATAAGGGTGTACGATCTGGCTGGGGATTTTTAGCTTGTGGCAGAACCAAACGGAGCTTTTTTTATCTACAACTTCAAGCATGAGAATGGAAGTGGAGGCAATCACTCCAGCTCTGAAGTGGATAGCAGAAAGCAAAGTTAGCAGAGGAATATTCGTGTCTGATTCCCAGCCCTTACTGCAGAAGGTTAAAAATAGACTAATGTGGTGTGAGTGGATACTAAGCATCAGTACGCCAACAATGTAGGGAAACGTGAATATACTAACCAGGATATGCAAAAAAGTGCGAATTTTCTGGCTACAAAAGCAACAGCTTCAGCAACATTCATACTGGACAAGGGAGATATTCTGAAGACCCTTTATAAACGAATGCTGACAGAAGATAAGAAAATAGATTAAATAACATGTGTAAGAATGTGCGAACGATGAATTAGGAGTGCATCCAGCAAGGAGGGATGTATGAGAGGATTTGAACGACATATATATAATCAGTGTTCTACAGCTAATCAGTTGGCCATTCTGGTTTTACTGGACTTGGCATGTAGCAGTTTCTTTGCAGAACATCGCTTTCATCACGGTCTGCCTGAAAGAAACTTGTTCTCTCGCCGGCTCACTCACCTTGTGCGCTTCGCTACCCAAGATATTACTATACCCTCTGCAGTCATTAACAAAAAAAGGTACTCTGAGCTGAAATGCTACAGACAGTTTATCAAATACCATGGACCCAGAAGAAAGGAAATACTGACATCCAAAAAGATCTAACATCAAAGGAAGACTGGCTAGTAAAAAGCATCTTTTCTCGGACATTTAATTATTTTGGCCATTTCAAATGCCACAGTGGATTGGAAAGAATAATAACAAGAGGCCTGATAATGGAAAAGAGGAGCAAGGGTTGAACAGCACAAAGATGGGCACAGGATATGAGTAACACCTTGGGTAGGAGAAAGCATAAGGTGGGAGAGCTGGCAAGAGACTGAGTTTCTTTCAGGCAGAACCATGAAGACAGTGATTTTTGCAAAGGACCTGCTATATGATAATAATGATCTACCATACTCAACAGGGTACGAAACTATAGAGGAACTCCAATTTAAAAAAAATACACCAGTGAGTTTTAGCAAAAGAACTCATATGTCTCTGTAAATCAGGGAAGCAATCACAAGAAGAAAAATACCTATCTTTAAGAAAGGAGTAACAGCGTGATTATGCTCAGAAAACAGAAATCATCATCTAACATTATCATTGTCTCCTTTGATAACTTTCCCTTTGGTTCTTGCTGTAAAAGCTCATGCATTTCACTTCTGATGAATCACAGAGCAATCTATAGATACAACAGCGTCTTCAGCAGTCATCTGTGTTCCCCCAGCAATGCTTTTACTTTGGCATCAACTATTAGTGGCACCGAATCACGGCACTATCTTAGCATGGTGATTCATTCCTCTCTCATCAAGACAAAATAGTATCAACCATGACACTGGTATTTAGACACTAAATTACCAGTTGTTGATAATTGTTTCTTTTATGCTATTTGAAACTTTGATTGATGAGGTTTTTCTTCTGTTGACAGTGCATGGCATTTGTCTTTCTGTCCTCTTTTTAAATCACATTATTTTAATAAGGGTGGAGGTGCCTGAGGGTCTTGCCATACAGTCAAGGGGGTTGTTACCTGAAGAAGGTTGAAAACCACTAATCTACATCAAGGTGAAAAAAATCTTTTCAGACTCCATTTCTAGACTGACTCTATTATAAATCCTTTCTGACAGTATATTTTTGTGTGTATTTAAATATTAAGTAAATGTTTCAATGTAATCTAAATATGACCCAACAAAAAAGCTATGATGACAGGATGGATTAAAAATGTAATTTTACAACTCTCACTAAATCTTGTCACCTGCGTGTTACTGGGGTCAAGAGAGAAATAAGAATAACACCACCAACCTACCATGCCAAAAGAGGAGACCAAAGATGGTTGATGTGAGACTGGACTACCTCATCCTTTAGAAACTTTAGCCATAAAATCCAAACAAGCTTAAGATAGCAGGCAATATGTAGTAGGGTAAAGTCAATGACTGCTTTGTCAGGACACAGCAACATGTAGTAGAGGTTCACTCACACAAACTAGGATTCAAACTTCTTGACTACTGTGTTAATGCTTGGCCAGTTATGGTTAGAACAAATTCACACTCAGACATGTCATTCCTTGATTACTGTGTTAACACTTGGCCAGTTGTGGCTAGAACACATTCACACAGACTAAGACGTGACCTTCCTTGACTAATTACTTTTGACACATTAGCATGCAGTATGCTCACATTCATATAGACAGGACATCTACCTCTCTGACACACAGAAGATGACAATATGTAGTATGAATGTTTGCAAAAAGGGAGGGAAAAACTGAGATCAGTTTTTCTTCTTCTTCAGATGCCTTCCATTTACCTCTATTATATTATAATTTGGTGAAGCTGATGTTTTTATTTATTCTACCATAAAAATATTCCTAAAAAGCTTTGTCAGGCCACATCAAAATGTAAGTGACATCCACATTTGACTAGCATATGGCACTTCTGATTGTTTTGTAAGGACACAGATCAGCTCTCATAGAAAGATGGTGCCCTGCAGCAAAGACACATGATTAACCAGGCACCCCTAAAAAAGGTGTCTTGAACAGCCAAGCATATTGTACAGCTTGAACCCATACAATGGAACACTGATAGAGTTCATCTCAAACCACTGAAACGGCACCCTAGGTTAGAGAAATGCATATTAACTCAGCATATGTCAAATAACAAACACAAAAACAGGTGTCAATACATCAGACTGTAAAGCTGTGTCTAAAATATAATGAAATGTTAAAGAAAACATCTGACTGGGTGGTTCAATTTAATATTTATTACAGAAGTACATCAATACAGACTAGGATATCAGACTTCTGGAGTATTTTGTTTGAGCATTTTTAGTGGGGAGGCAAGAGCACATACAAACTGACTAGGATATCAAACTCCTCGACTATGTTTTAGAGTCTTATTAGTGAAAAAGTAACAGCACACGCAAACAGACTAGGATTCCAAACTCCTGTACTATTTTTAGAGCATTATTAGTTGAAAAGCAAGGGTACACACAGACTAGGTCCTAAACTCCTGGACGTATTTTAGAGCATTATTAGTGGAAAGTAAGAGCACATGCAAACGGACTAGGTACCAAACTCCTGGACTATTTTTAGAGTATTATCAGTGGAAAAGTAAGAGCACATCATGCAAACAGACTAGGATACCAAACTCCTAGACTTTTTCTTGGAGCATTATTAGTGGAAAAGTAAGAGCACATGTAAAAAAAACTAAGATACCAAACTCATGGACTATTTTTAGAGCCGTATTAGTGAAAAAGTAAGAGCACATCATGCAAACAGACTAGGATACCAAACTCAACTACTTTGTTAAAGCATTACTGGTAGAAAAGTAAGAGCACATACACAGGCTAGGATATGAAACTCATGGACTATTTTGTTAGAGCCTTATTAATTGGAAAGCAAGAGCACACACACAAACAGGCTAGGACAGCATACGCCTGGAGTACTTCTCTAGAACAAGTTAGTACTAGTGACAGCAACAACCACTCAGTTAATGGCACTACTCTACACAACTCAGCCTACAAACACCTCCCAGCCCCCATTGTTTACCTTGTATATTCCCAGAGTCCCCCCATTCGGAGCCGGGCACATAGCGCACAGCAGCCTCACCCTTGTTGTATGCAAAATGGGGGTTGTGCTGGGGGCTGGGGTCACGAGAACCCCCACTACCACCACGCAGAAATGACAACACACCACCTCCTGCCCTGCGACCTGAATGAATTGAAAAAGGTATTTCAAGTGTGTCAGGAACTCCAAGAAGTACCCAAAGAGAACAAATAAAACAGAGAGAAGAATGAAATGAAGAAGTAACCATTTTTTTTAAAAAGCAGTGCAGTAAATTCTACAGAGAGCTAAGCATAAAGAAAAAGAAACCAAAACACACCAAAAGCGAGTAGGGTGAAAATGGTAAAAAGTGTTATTTAAAATGAAAACGGGAAAAATGTGAAACTAGAAAAAAGCTAGAATTATGTTAACTGAAGTGAAATTATCCTAAAGCGGAAACTAAAAATATAAATCTGACACAGTCACAAAATAAATGATGAAACTGTGAGCGTGAAACTGTGGAGATAACTATTACAAATCTGAAAACATTTCGCAAAACATATAGAACTTTAAATGTCTGAAATCATCACAGTAGTTAAAAAACTTGAGTGTGTAAAACTTTCAATGAAACTATTACAAAACCATAATGTAAGGAAACTCATTGAATATACAACAATTTAGCTGTATACAACTATTAGTATGTGCAACTTGCACACAGAGCTATTACACAACTTTAACCCTGAGAAACTCTAGTGGCAACTCTATCACACAACTTTAACTCTTTAAGGCCCGAGCAATGGTGTGAGCGTTAATTGAGAAGGTCCGTTTTGCCCAAGCAATGCTGTCATCATTGATCGTGTATCCCATTTATTTTGCTTCACACACGGCTCTGTACAGGTTTCTTATGTTTGGACGTACGATTAAACTATTCAGAGAAAGTCACTCTGCTGAAATCCCTACATTCCCTATCAGAGGCCACACGTGCATAATTTGATTAGATTACCAGCATTTTTTTCAACAGTGCATTTTCTAAGTTCGTTTTTTGAGTGCCATGAATACCAATGTTCTAACCACAAGAACAGGTCGCAGAATGTGTCTTTCTGCAGCCGAAGCTCTGAAATTGTTTCAGTCAGATGTTTTTAATTCTGATAATGATAATGAATATTTCGATTTTTGGGAAATTGATTAGGACGATGAATTTTCACCAGCAAAGCTGAGCGATCATCTGTTTAGAATCTAGCGATTCTGATAAGTTTATTACATCGACAATGTCCCATTGCTACCGTATTTATGGTGTAAGAGAAGAAAAGTGCTCTAAACAAAGAGATTGTACTATACTATGGCTAAGCTACATTGAAATCATCGCAGCTACAATCTGAATATAACTACAAAGTTAACAGTAAACAGTGTGTGTGTAATGGCTCATTTTTCAGCATTTTTTTTCTCTCAAATTTTGCCCAGCACTCTGTGAGAACTAAGAGCCTCTGAGTGCTAAACTAACCTAGAAACTTATTATAACTTTGGAATTTGTTAGGAAACTGAACAAACTTTGAAGTTTTGTTCTCAAATTTGGATATTCACTACTCTCATGGCTGCAAAATCATGGTAAGTAAAGAATTTATTTGTGAAATATTGTTGCTTTGAAATGAACACCTGCAGAATTTTTTTTTTTTTTCTACTAACTATAAACAAATTAAACATACACTTATCATCAGATTCAAAATGTACATTCACTTATCTTTAAAAACATTATTACTTTTATTGGGATTAGAATTATATTACATTCTCTACTGCCTTTCTTGTACACCCACACTGGCATTTTTGTAAAGGGAAATTAATGTGGACCAAGACTCAAAATTCATAGGCCTGAAAGAGTTAAGTAAATTATTACAGAAGTTTACCTTTATCAAAACTATTCAAAACATGTACGATTTGTGAAACTATAACTTAAACTGTGTGAAATTTAACTGTGCAAATGCATCACACAATGATACAGAACTTATATTTTGTCCACTTCTTCTTTTTTTTTCTTCTACTTTAGCGTTCGCCCTGAAAAGCGTGGCTGACAGTACAGCGTGTTGGCTCTCACAACAAGGCTGGTATATCTACGTCTTTCAGCCCAACACAACAGATTTTTAGCAAATCTTTAACCAGTTGCCTTTTACGGCATGCGGGGTATTAGGGGTCAGTGGGTCAGTGACCCTTTATGTTTTAGAAACAGGGAAAATCGAGGCCAGCAGAAGGTTAAGCCTTAGAAGAGCTGCAGGAGTTTCAAGGAAAGACAGAATATAAAATCACGAAATCAGGCGAATGCTAGGAATAAAGCCCGTCTTGCAAGTCATCAAAGAACAACAAATAAAGTGGTTTGGACACCTAACAAGAATGTCCTGCTACTGTCTACCGCAGCGAGCCACACTGAAACGTTACAAAGGGTATAAAGCGGAAGACCTCAGAAAAGATGGGGTGATGGCATTAAGAACAGCCTTACAGAAATGAACATCAATCCTAATAGTGCTCCTATCAGAGCTAATCAACGAATGTTACAACCCCCCCCCCCCCCCCCCCCCCCCCCCCCGACACTTCACTGAGGTACAAGGTGGAAGAGAAGAAGTAACCGGAAAGACTGACCCGGTCAACAAATGCCTGCAGAAGTCAGATGTTGGCCGAAAGATGCCAATATCACAGTCATGCTGTAAATGGGCACAACGCAATTACATCTTCAAATTAATGCAGAAGAAGAAGAAGAAAAAGAAGAAATGGGTCTATTCTCCCTGAAACCCACAGGACAAAAATTCACATTCACATTCAAATTGAAATGAGTGGCTATAATATAACCTGAGATTTGTGAATTTAATCAAAACAGAAAACAATGTAAGTGTGTGAAAGTAAAAAGTGAAACAATGAAGAAAAAAAAGTTAATGACCCTTTTCCACTACTTCAGGACTTTACATGCTACCCATGTAAGGCTGGGTCGACCTGAAAGCAAAGGTTTTTTTTAATATTTTTTTTTTCAAGTCAGGCTCTGTTAGGACCTAACCCAGCTCGCTAGAGTAGTTGGCTAAACCGGACGGTGACGGGTGACGAACTCCTTGTGGTCCAGGTTCACGCCCGGGGGTAGGCAGAAAAGCTACATTTCTCCCAGATTTACGGTATTTATCATGGAATCAATGCCGAAGGGTTGTGATTTCCATAATACCGAGCCTAAGGGTTAATAACTTATGGCTTCTGGATACTAAAAAAAAAAAAAAAAAGTTACGACCTGAACCCAAAACCTTCCGATCTGCAGGTGAACATCTAGCCGCTACACCACAGCGGCTCTAATTGTGTGAAACTATCATGAAACTGTGGGTACATGGTGCTAGTCCCATAACTGCACAGACTAATCTGCAGTCATTGGATGATGTGGTCAATATCAGGTAACTATCTTTATTTTTCAGCAAATTTTCTGGCATCCATTTTAGGTTTGGTCAACCTAAAAAGCTCATGTAAGTTATTAAATTTAAAAACATATATCTACATTTGATCTATGAAATCAAACTCTTAACTGCATATATGTTCTACACACCTTACAAAATTAGGCTGTAATATCCCAACAGCTTCAACAAAAATTTACAACAAAAGGTTATTCCCACAACCACAGAAACAGAAAGGCAAGAAATCAACATTTTCATATCTACCAATATATTGATGCAATAACTGACCTGTTTCAACAAAAGCCTCGGTTGTTGCACTGATGATACTGACAGGGTCAGGTTTACTGTTGGGCCTGCCTGGTGCAGCACTAAAAGGTGCAGAGATACAGTCAAATGTTATCTCACTTTTGTGTGGTACAATTTTACATGTGGTGTTCACTTTAACTCTTTCAATTTTTAACAGTTTACAGAATATGTCCAAGAATAACATTAATCATAGTCAAGCACCTTCAATTACTTCATCAAAGAGGAGTTTAAAGAATTAAAAACAAAATATATTTCCATACATAAATAAGGGTCAACTCATATGGTGGACAAGGCAAGACGAGTAGTTAACCAGTTGACAAAAGGTACCATCAGTATAGAGACTTTGGTGGCTGTTAAGAAGGAAGTCAGAGCTAATATGGCTTTTTCCTGAATGCTGAGATGTTAACTTTATCCTCTTCTTTTTCACATTCATTGACTGTACACTCAAGTCGGAAAGTTCTGGTTGTTTGTCTACTTCTGGACTTTAGTCTTGTTCCAGAATCTAAGTTGTGTGTGCACATCCATTTGACAGTTCTGGCATATTTTTTAAACAGACTGTTGGTTCCTTGCCTGTCAGGCACATGCACTCCCTCTTTGAAGAAAACACCCCATTTAGTTGACTTTTTTTGACATGCTTGTTGGTAGGCAGTGTTTCTTTTTTGTTTTGTTTTTAGCTAGTGGGACTCACTCCGGTGGGATGTGGTCAACTTGCGACTTTATCCTAGCAAGCCACTAGTAGTGCATTCATATTGCTCATAGAAATGTAATAAAACTTAAAGGGGCAATTCTAATTAATGATCTATGACTTTGTGGTAGCAATCAACAGAATATTTACGCTTGCAGTAGAAGCTGACAGATGATGTCAACTTCTGTTTCAGCTCCTATCAGAAAGACAATCAAACAAATCAAAATGATTATTATCTATACCATTAAATCAAAGAAAACATCACAAACATCCAGAAAGAGACAGTCATCATTCTTTGTCATATTATAAAAAGCTGGAAAGAACTGTGGAAAAGAGACAGAGGAAGACAACATAAGATGCTTGACAGCTATCTGTCATGGCACAGAGGGGTGTCAGCACATGAACTCATACATGCTGTTGAAGCTCACAGATTGTGGAGAGGCATGATTGCCCCCGCCAGTCGGCAAGGCACTTGATGATGAAGATACTATTAGATCTCTACTACACATGGCTGTGGTACACAAGTAATCAAGTTCTAACAGCTTACCCACTGGTACTGAGATCTGAGCTGTTGGTCCTTGTAGCTGCCTGCAGTTCTTTTAACCGACACAAGTAATCAGATGAACTGAAAATAAAGTCAGTATTTTGGCTATCATAATGATAAGGTGTTTTATATTAGCATAAAAGGTACATCTATGATGCACCTAATGCAACTAATGATGCACCTAATGATACAACCAAGGCAACAAAATGACATAATCAAGGTAACACACAAAACAACCTAGGCAATATAATAACCAAACAAAAGACAACACAATAACACAACCAAGGCAAAACATACTACTTTTGAATACAAACTTATACTCCCTCCAAACCTATGTGAAACTGTGAATGAAAGTAAAATAACAACCCTAGGACTAGACAACAGAGTGTAAAACAATAATGGTGAAACTCACGAATCATTCAATCGACGCTATGTCAATGGTTATATTAACTGTCTGGATCTTTATTCTGGAGCATTCCAATGTGTTGGGAAATGAACAAATGGAGAGACTGGCTGACTCTGCAAAACCTGGTGAAATACTGATATGTGATATGGACAACTGGTCAAGACCCTATCGGAGCACGTGTACAATTCAGAGGAGCAAACTGCTCATCACAGTCTCGTGAGAGTCATGCAACAAGGAGTGATAAGGGGATCTGGACGATACTCAGCACTTAGAGGAAAGGCAGGACGGACGTATAATCAGACAGCTACTGGTATCATTGGCAATGGAACTCTGCACTGGCTGTTGAAGATGGGGACAGAGTGATTATGGGAATGCCCCGAGTGGTGTAATGTCGGTTCTTGCATCAACTTAACTCAACTGACGCTAAAGGAAAGAAGTAAATGGAAGAGACAGGAAACAAAAAAGGTGAAGTTTGTGTTGCTTTGATAACGCAACAAGTTATCTGAAACTGTTTCATTTTAATTTGGTGTGAATTCAGCTTTCTAATCTTTATTTTTCTGTCCTACAGTTTCACTGACAGAACTGACTACAAACAACATAAAAATGTTGAATGTTAAATTAAGAATTGACATCATAAAACTCTAAACACTCCCATAAGCGCTTTGTCCCCATCTTCAGCAGCAAGCGAAGAGTTTCAATTCCGATGGCACCAGTAACTGTCTGATTGTATAGCCATCTCATCCTTCCCCTGAGTGTTGAGCGTCTGCCAGATTTCCTGGTAACTCCCCACAAATCCATTCTCCTCAGACCGTAATGATCTATCTGTGCCTCTGCACTGTTCACGCACTCCCAAAAGGCCCTCACAACATCTAGCTTGACATACATCAATTCACCACCAAGTGGTACAGAGCCGGCCACTCTCTCTGCCTGGTCATTTCCCAACACACCGGCATAGCTTGAAAGAAATATCTAAAGGACGCTAACTACCCGGGACCTCTGAACTGATGCTTGCCACTATGATGTGCAATCACTTTGATATCATGGATGGAATCAATCCAGCACCTTTGGCTTCTCTCATCAACATTCACTTTAGGGTTTCTACTGGATGTCCTCATTTCCTCAGTCCCTCCATTTCCCATTTCAGTGCCTGTTTGGTGATTCTCTGTTGGTCTCTTGGAATGTGTTCCATTATAGCGCCATCTTCTCTGTCTTATAACTGTTGATACCAGTGGTTGTCCAGATACAACACAAATTATCATTCATCATCCCCTTGTGGGATGCAATTTTTCGTTATTGTGAAGCCCCACCCTGGCTCATGCCAGAGGCCGCAATATAGCACGGTCATAAATATGGCCTAATGGCTGAACCTGGTTTCCGGGACCTCACCATGGGTGATCCTCATCCACATGGTGGCACTTTGTGTCATCGGGTGTTTATCGCTTGTGTGATGTCCTAGTAGGGTAAAATGTACTACTACTACACACAAAAACCAAAAGTGACTGTACTAACCTTAAGGCATAAGCTATGATAGAACTTGGCTCAGGGTCATACACAGCAACAGGGACTCTTTCACACATCTGTAGCGTATGATGTTCACATGGGTCGCTGGAAGGCAAAAGAATCAAATCTTTTCACTAGCTCATTCAACAGGTCTTTTCTTCTTTTTGCATTTGCCCTTAAAAGAGTGATTGGCTTGTTAAGATGTGGTTCATAGCTAGGCTATGAAGTATGTGCCTTTTGGTCCAACATAACCAAGTTCAGCAAATCCTTAATTAGTTACCAAAGACAGCGGTGAGTCTATACTTTTGTTCACACAAAAATGTGAGAGTTAAAACTAATATTGGCAAACACAGGTGGTGTGTGGTCTGAAAGAGTTAAACTATCATCATGGACAAACACAGGTGGTGTGTGGACTGAAAGAGTTAAAACTATCATGGACATACACAGGTGGTGTGTGGACTGAAAGAGTTAAAACTATCATGGACATATACAGGTGATGTGTGGACTGAAAGAGTTAAAACTATCATGGACTATATACAGGTGGTCTGTGAACTCAAAGAGTTAAAACTATCATGGACATTCACAGGTGGTGTGTGGACTGAAAGAGTTCAAACTATCATGGCCATAGGTGTAGTGTGGACTGAAAGAGTTAAAACTATCATGAACTATACACAGGTGGTCTGTGGACTGAAAGAGTTAAAACTATAATGGGCATACATAGGTGATGTGTGGACTGAAAGAGTTAAAACTATCATGGGCATAGACAGGTGGTGTTTAGTCTGAGCCAAGAAAGAGGATTTTAATCTGGCATTATGACATACAAGAAAATTTGTATCAGTATTGACTAGCAGTATGCAAGCGAGAAGGTTATAAACACGTATAATAACCAACACTACATGAAATGGATTATCTCTAAATAGATTTTTTTTCTCTTCTTCACTTCCTCTTTTTCCACTCTGGGTGTTGAGGAAGATATAAGATTCTGCTCCATGGTTTTCTGGCCGTCTCTACCATAAGCACTTCATGCTGTGGTAAAGTGTCTGTGATGTTATCTTCCCGTATGGTTCTTGGTATAACTCATGCTCTACATCCTTCTCCTCTTTTTATGTATGCCTTGTATGGTATGGTGTTACCAGGCATTCTCCCCAAGTAGGCAAACCTTTCTTGGTATGTAATTTTCTACATAGACAGTAAACTAAAACAAAACTCACAAAGGAAGTGGCAATGGTGTGAATGAAGATGTTGACAGCCATCTCCTTGTTGCTCCCTTCAGGTCCTGGAACCATCCCTCTGCCGTTTCTTCTGACCCTGACAACAGACAACACCATAAGTGAATACAGCTGTCATGCTAGAAACAAAGGGTAAGTCGGTAGCATAGTGGCCGGATGCTCAACTGCATCCAAAGGTCTTGGGTTTGAATCCGTATTGCGTAGACTATTTTCCCTATAAAAATTTACTTTGGCTCCTAGGTCCACCCAGCCTAAAATGGATACCAGGTGGTGACCTGGTAAGCAAAGGTGGCCAGCAGTAAGTCCACCATATCACCAATGAGTGGCAAAGGATCTACAAAAAAATATTTTGGCAACATATGCTAGATGTGCTATTAGCATTAAAAAATTCTTAAATTTTACTAGATATAAAATGGGTTGACCTACAGCTATGCTGTAAAAACAGATAATAATAAACATATATAATAATGAATAATAAAATAAACACAAACATAAAAACATTTTTTTTTTTAAAACAATCAAATAAACTTAAGCATAACAAGTTGAGGTAACCAGCTTATGAAATAATCCCAAATTACAGAATAGATGGTTTTGGCCAGGAGGCCTTATCAAGAAAAAATGTAATAAAACGCTAATACAAGTAAACTAAAAAACAAAGTCAGGTTTTAAACTGTGGGTCTTGATTCTGGTGATCATTCAGGGTAGTGACAAATAAGAATTTAAAAAGCAAGAGGAACTTTCAGAGCATTAGGGATTTGTGGAGGTCAGAAGAAATTAAAAGAAATACTAAACTTAACATTTTTAATTCTAATGTCAAATCAGTACTTTTGTATGGGGCCGAAACATGGAGAACAACAATTACTAATTAAATAGACATTCATTAACTGGTGCTTGCGCAGAATAGAGGGAATTATATGGTATGATAGAATAACTAATGTAGAACTTTGGGAGAGAACTAAGCAAGATCCAGTAGACCAAGAGGTGAAGAAAAGATGCTGGTGTTGGATAGGACACACATTGAGAAAACCGGAGAACAATATAACTAGAATGTACAGTTGTATAGAAATAAAAGAAGGCCAAAAAGCACATGGAGAAGGGAGCTGGAGAATGAAGTTAGAAAGATGGGAGGGACACGGAGAGAGCTGCATGCAGTAGCAAAGGAAAGAACGACTTGGCGTGAGTTGGTTGAGAGCCTATGCTCCATAGGGAGCTAGAAAGGCAGAAGAAGAAGAAGTGACACAGGACTGTCAATGTTTATTGGCAGGGCAATTAATGATGATGATACAAACTATATTAACCATCAGTGTAAAGATGAAAGTAAAGCCAAAGAAACCAGCAGAGATTACCTTCCACTGCTGGAGTTGTTTCTTTTGATGCTGATGCTGATGTGGGTACTGCTAGTGATGCAGGTGATGCGTCAGTTACTTGTAGTTCTGGGATGATAACAGTGACTACCGGTGAAGTAGTCACAACAGCTGTGTTTGTGTTCAGGCTGGTGTCATCAGTTGGGTTGTTTCCACTGACAGCAGCTGGCACTTCACAATAAATTATGACAAAGACAATTATGAATTATTCTAGAGTATCTTGGCACAAAAATGAAACTGATTCCTGTCAGATAAAACTTCTCCAGAAACTCCAACCACCATCTTCAAACCCATCCTATCTCAATATTCTCAAACAAATTCATGGAGTCAGTTAAAAAGCATGCACGGGAAAGAAAAAAAACTGTCTTTAGCTAGGCCACTGCTTTTGTTACCATCATCATCTTCATAGTCCGAAAAAAGAAGAAACTGCATTACAGAACAAGAGAGTATAAAATTGTGTGTCGGTAAGTAAAATTTAGATCATCCCTTTACGATGTTAGGGCTTTCAGAGGTGCTGATGTATTTACTGACCATTTCCTGGTGGTAAGTAAAATCAAGTTGAAACTAAAAAAGATATATAACATCTTATAATCATAGAAACCAATATAATGTAGGCTTTCTCAGGGATAAAGTAGTTAAGGGACAGTTCTCAATTACAGTCTCTAACAAGTACCTGGTGTTGCAGCAGTTAGCTGAAGATGTCAGCACAGAAGTATGCTGGGATAAGATCAAAGGAATCTGGAATGAATCTTGTGTAGAAGTTCTTGGCAAGAAAGAAAGGAAACATAAAGCATGGATAACACCAGAAACCATTAAACTGATTGAAGATGGGAAAAGTAAAAAGGCAGACTTAAACAACAGCAAAACTAGAGCTGCTAAAGCTAGAGCTCAGGAGAAATACACAGAAGCCAACAAGGAAGTTAGCAGGCATATAAGGGCAGATAAAGTGAAATATCTAAATGATCTAGCACAAGAAACAGAGACAGCAGCAGCAAAAGGAAACCTCAGAGAACTTTACAGTAACACAAGAAAATTAGTAGGTAAATATAGTCAGCCAACTGGATCAATCAAAAACGGTCAAGGAAAGGTACTTACTAACACTAAAGATCAAATGGACAGATGGGTTGAATATTTTAAAATGCTTCTAAATAGACCAGGCCCAGAGGTTCCCCCAGATATCCAGCCTTTAGAAATGGAACTGGATATCAACTGTGAGATACCATCCAAAGAGGAAATTAGAAAAGCTATCAATCTTCTCAAGAAAGGAAAGGTGACAGGCCCAGATGGTATCCCAGATGAAGCCATCAGGGCCAACATAAACACATCAACAGAATTGCTACATAGATTATTCAGTAAAGTCTGGGAGACCGAAGAAATACTAGCAGACTGGAGAGAAGGATATCTTGTGAAACTGCCCAAAAAAGGTGATCTACAGGAATGTGAAAACTATAGAGGAATTATGTTGCTGTCAGTTCCTGGAAAAATATTAAGTAGAATTATTTTGGAAAGATTAAAAGATGCTATTGATAAAATGCTAAGAGATGAGCAGGCAGGTTTTCGGTCAAACAGATCCTGTACTGACCAGATAGCCACATTACGTATTAATAAAGTGAAGCATTGAACTGAACTCACCACTTTACATTGGATTTATAGACTATGAAAAAGCATTTGACAGCATTGATAGAGAATCTCTCTGGAAATTGATGGGGCACTATGGAATCCCACAGAAAATTATCAACTTAGTAAAGGCAACATATAAAGACATGAAATGTCGAGTTCTTCATGAGGGAAAGCTAACAGATGCATTTGAAATAAAAACAGGTGTGCGACAGGGATGTCTTTTGTTGCCTCTCTTATTTTTACTGGCTATAGACTGGACTATGAAAACAGTAACTGCTAACACCAAGAATGGAATTCAGTGGACCCCTACAAAACAGCTTGATGATCTGGACTTTGCTGATGATATTGCTCTTCTGTCCCATTCACAGAATCAGATGCAAGATAAACTAAATATATTTGATGCAAGATCACAGCAGCTTGGTCTGAAAATCCATAAAGTAAAGACAAAGATAATGAGAATAAATCAGGCAAATAGTAGTGTGGTTTCTCTTAATGGCACCCCACTCAAGGACGTGGAGTCGTACACCTATTTGGGCAGTAATGTAGATAAAGATGGAGGAACTGATAGAGATATTAAAATAAGAATACAAAAGGCAAGAGGGGCTTTCATAGCACTAGGGAATTTGTGGAGGTCAAAAGAAATTAAAAGAAATACTAAACTAAAAATTTTTAATTCTAATGTCAAATCAGTACTAATGTATGGGGCGGAAACATGGAGAACAACTAAGGCAGTTACTAATAAATTACAGACATTCATTAACTGGTGCCTGCGCAGAATAGAGGGAATAAAATGGTATGATAGAATAACTAATGTAGAACTTTGGGAGAGAAATAAACAGGCTCCAGTGGACCAAAAGGTGAGGAAAAGACCCTGGCTTTGGATAGGACACATACTGAGAAAACAGGAGAACAGCATAACTAGAATGTCTTTGCATTGGAACCCACAGGGGCATAGGAATAAAGGAAGGCCAAAAAACACATGGAGAAGAAAGCTGGATAATGAAGATAGAAAGATGGGGAGGACATGGGGAGAGCTCCATGCAATGGCAAAGGATAGAACAACTTGGCCTGAGTTGGTTGAGGACCTATGCTCAATTGGGGAGGATAGAAAGGCAGAAGAAGAAGAAGTAAAATAATAAAATATTGTTAGCAGGGAAAGTTGCAGTAGTTTTGTGGCTAGCACTCTTGCCTCTGGTCTGGTAGTAACATACATATATATATATATATATATATATATATATATATATATATATATATATATATATATATATATATATATATATATATTATATATATATATATATATATATATATATACACACACACACACACATACAAATATATACCAAGCAGATGCTAGAGATTAAATAGATGTACACTTACCATTTGACAAATCTTCTGAGGTACTATTGACATTAGAAGCCTGTGACAAAATGGATGCTGTTGCCTTTGTCGATGCTGCAGTTACCACTAAAGTTGGTGATGGTGGTGGTTGTTGTGAAAATGAACCTGATGATGACTGAGCTGCCACTGATGGTGAGAGTGAAGTCTTACTGCTGCGGTCTCCGCTGGACTTCCAAGATTTCTCCAGCTGGGGGATAGATTGCAGAATTAAATAACTGTAAAGTAAAGCACCCTTGATAGAATGACTTGGCGTCAGTTGATTGAGGGCCTATGCTCCACTGGCAGAAGAAGAAGAAGAAAGCACCCTTATCCTACCATCAGCACATCAAGCAAATAGTGCTAGACTCAGATTTTGTATAGATCAATCAGTATTCAAGGGGTGATGTGATCAACATTATGCCAGCCACCTTTACTACCCAGGAAACTGCCTAGTACCCATTGTAGGCTGAGCTGAGCTGGCAGCCACGGTCAGTTTATAAAATCTGTGTTACTGCAGTCAACCCTAAGATCTTCAGCTTGAGGCCAACAGGCAAGCATGCAGACAGTGCACCACCTCAGCTCCTGAATTGTAGATTAAGTTCTCAATTGACCAAGTGAGTGCCATCTCTGTTTTGAAGACTGGCTGCAGTAAATCTGCAACAAACACTCTCTGTCTTCATGGTGCTTTCAAATAAGGTTTTTCCAGACAGTTTGTGGACTGAATAGTTACCCATGCCACACAGCATGGACTATGAGAAGAAGAACAACAGTATGAACAATAAATTACAGATGTAGAATATCAAGGTACAGTCAGTATCTGCATATGTAGAATATCAAGGTACAGTCAGTATCTACATATGTAGAATATCAAGGTACAGTCAGTATCTACATATGTAGAATATCAAGGTACAGTCAGTATCTACATATGTAGAACAACAAGGTACAGTCAATATCTACATATGTAGAACAACAAGGTACAGTCAGTATCTACATATGTAGAATATCAAGGTACAGTCAGTATCTACATATGTAGAATAACAAGGTTCAGTCAGTATCTACATATGTAGAACAACAAGGTACAGTCAATATCTACATATGTAGAACAACAAGGTACAGTCAGTATCTACATATGTAGAATATCAAGATACAGTCAGTATCTACACCTTAAGACATCTGCTGTGGGAGACGGCCCATGCGCTGTAGGCTATGATGTCAATTCTTAAACCATAATCTTCCAAATAATCTCTGGGCATCTGTTAAGCTGCTAATATGACCTCTACATTCTGGATCAAAAAATTATTATGTATATCTGTAATGATGTTATAAATAGGGATAATGTCAGGGGATGATTGGCATAACTGGGGAAGTCCCTGAGAGCATGGGTTTCACGGAGATATGGTGAAACGACAGGAAAGAGTGTGTCACGTGTGAATGAGGAGATCTGGGGGATTGAGAATCAGGCGGGCATTCGGTGACTGGGCCCCAGAGAGAAAGGATGGAAAATGAAGCTGTGAAGATGAATGGAGAATGACTAGAGCATGTGGATCTGAATCGGCGAGGAATGAATGATCGAGAAGGCCAGCTGTGATGGTACCATGTTTGATTGTCAAAGCCAGCTGTGAATATGTCAACGTCTATTGTCCGAATGCTGTAAGTGGATTCACCTGTGATTTGTGTATTGAGCTAACGTGTAAATAAACTCGTGAAATGTGCCGCTGGTGTTAACCATTGTTAGACGTTGTGTGACCATGAAGAGGATCATGTCTGCTTGATTGAGTTGTGACCCTCTAGATATCAGAGCCAGTGTTAACTCTGCACCATAGATAGCCAGTGTGGAGGAGACACAAAAGGGCAGTTATTACAATATCTTTACAATAAAAACACATCCGAGGATACAAATAAAGGCAGAAAAAAAAGTAAAAAAAACATACAGAGAAAGGAGCCAGAAAGTGAAGTTCAAAAGATGGAGATGATATGGGGGTGAACTGCATACATTCGCAATAAATAGGCTAACTTGACATGTGTTGGCTGAGGGCATATGCTACAATGGGGGATATGGGTCAGAAGCTGAAGAAGTGGTTGATATGAGATCTTAAAATGACCTCTAATTCTAGACCAACAAGAAGTGGTCAACAGTAAATAAACATCTAGACTGGGGGACATTCACCTCCTCTGTAGCAGACTGCCCTACATCTTTGTCTTTCTTACTGGAGGCTTGGGCACGGGGTTTCTTCTGTTGGAGAAGCATAAACTCCTGCATCCTGGGAAAATAAAGATAAAGAACAGTGAAGTATATGATCTTAACCTCTTCTTTTGAGTTGACCTGAGGATGTAAATGCATTGTGCATGTTTACAGCATGGCTGTGAAACTTGCGCCGTTTTGGCAGACACATCCAAATTCATCAGATAGCCTTCCCGTTTTTTTCCTTCTGGCATATAGCATGGCCTCATTATTATGTCTTCATCTTTGCTAACTAGGTGTCTGTAAGTTTTACTGTTTTCTTTCTTCCTCCGTAATTTTATTTCTGTCTCTGAAAGTTTTACTGTTGCCTCATTACCTCAAAGTTTTAACACTGCCTTAATATCAATCTATTTAAGGTTCACACACCATATTCTTCAAACAGGGGGCTGCGTGGTCTCGAGGTATGGTGTCCATCTCGTGTGCTAGAGGTCCCGGGTTCAGGCCCCGGTGAGGGCTGGGATTTTTTAACGTAGACTTCTAGTAATGTTCCCTGGTCTCTGAGTAGTGAGATCGGACTCCCATGTGTATTGTTGGGCACATACAAAATCCCTTGTTCTGTGTACTGCGCTGAGCTTCTTCAGACTCAGACTTGAGTTAGATGAAGAACAGAGCATTTACGGGTTATTACTCGTGTGCCATGATGTTAATCCGTGGTTCAAACTTCAAGCTTCAATTCTTGAAACTGCAGGAAGTGACCATCCCCCACTACCGATTTCTCACCTGGTGTTCCACTTGCTGACATCCTCACATATTTTCCTCTTGAGGAGTTCAATGTTGTCAAATATGGCATAGAGGTGAAAGGTCATGTCACAGTCTGCACAGATGAAACAAAGACAATGAAGCTTTTCAATGACTAAAATTAAACTTTTCTAACAAATGCACTGACAAGTCAGAATTCGGACTTTCTATCATAAATCAAAAACATTATGAAATTTTTCTATTAAACATTCAATACTGTCATTCCATTCTTGCTACTGCAACCTGTATATTTGTGGCTCCAGTAAACATGCAAACATTTCACCTGGTTTGTCCTCTTTTACATCTTCGCATAAAACACTTCGGCGTTCCCTATGTGGGTTCTGTGGCCCCATATGGGGGGAAAATAACAGATCCATAGTCCAACAGTAAGCATGTTGTAAAAGGCGTAAACTCTGAGTTTGGTGACATTAGATGTATTAGGCAGAAAGGTAAAGATACAGCAGGCAACCCGTAAATCGCAACATTACATGCCAACTACCCTTTTAAGGGCAAGTGTAGAAGAACTGTGTATTCGATCTTCTTTTGCCTTTTATTTCCAGCTGGACCATAGACCCTTCACCAACTCAAGCCAAGCCTAAGCCATCTGTGTTGGTAAGCCAGTATACTAACCACTACACCACTTTGACTCCACTATCAAGCATTAAAATCAGCAATTATCAACCATATAATACAATCAATCATCAATCTTGCTAATGCCATTAGTTATTTGTGACTCTTGTAGACTGGTCTCTCTCCTTTTTATCTTCTTACAGTTGACTTCTGTGTATTTTATCTTCTCCTGCCTTCTATCTCCAGCTGGATCCCAGACTCTCATACACCTCATGACACACTTAACCCCATAACCCACATAACTTTTAGGTCATAGATCTATGTGTGATCAACTCTCAAATATTAGGAATTAAAATTCAAATATTCTTTGCTAGCTTTGCGCTACATATTTCTGCAGTAGTGGCACATTGGATCTACTGTGTAATAGCTTTGCGCTACATATTTCTGCAGCAATGGCACATTGGATCTACTGTGTAATAGCTTTGCGCTACATATTTCTGCAGTAGTGGCACATTGGATCTACTGTGTAATAGCTTTGCGCTACATATTTCTGCAGCAGTGGCACATTGGATCTACTGTGTAATAGCTTTGCGCTACATATTTCTGCAGCAGTGGCACATTGGATCTACTGTGTAATAGCTTTGCGCTACATATTTCTGCAGCAGTGGCACATTGGATCTACTGTGTAATAGCTTTGCGCTACATATTTCTGCAGTAGTGGCACATTGGTTCTACTGTGTAATAGCTTTGCGCTACATATTTCTGCAGTAGTGGCACATTGGATCTACTGTGTAATAGCTTTGCGCTACATATTTCTGCAGCAGTGGCACATTGGATCTACTGTGTAATAGCTTTGCGCTACATATTTCTGCAGCAGTGGCACATTGGATCTACTGTGTAATAGCTTTGCGCTACATATTTCTGCAGTAGTGGCACATTGGTTCTACTGTGTAATATACAGACATAAATTTGGCAGACTGGTTCCATTATGTAAAACAAATATGATTGGTAGATTGGTTTCATCATGTAAAACAGAAATGTAATTGGGAAAACTGTTCCACTGTGTAATACACAGAAATATTGTTTACACAAACAGACACTCACACACATATGTTAATTAGTTTGTTGACAAATTATCCTTATTGCACATAAAACTGTTCAGTCCATTAGTGTTCGGATTCCCTCATTAGTAAATTCTGCAGTGTGTAGCGGCTGATGATACCCCCCCCCCCCCCCCCCCCTGTGTTGGTTTCTTTTTCTACTTTGGTTTCCTGCATAGTGTTCTTGTCTGGCCACACTTCTTTTAAAATGTTCTTTTCGCAGTCTGGTCATGGTTGCAGATTTACAGTCATCACTTGGTTCTTGCATATGTCTTATTTCTTTGTGTCACTGGGTGATTATGGCTCGGTGTGATGTCTTGGTGGGGTGAAATGTCAATCAATCATTGTGTATCAGATATAAATATGAATAATAGATTGGTTTGCACCATATTGTATAATGAATAAATTTTATTGATAGATTAGTTCCACTGTGTAACAAACAGAAATACTGATCACTAGTAAAGCCTCTGAGGCCACAGAAACTTATGGGTTCTCCTGTAACAAATACTATACCACCATTCTGGCACAGACCTGTCTGTCCATTGTGGGCTACTTTTGTCACAGAATGAATGAGCTCACTGATCTTCATCTGAATGTTGGTGGCCGCATCTCGGAAACTCTTCTTGTCATTCTAACAAATCAGATGCATGGTGACGTTAGGCTAATCCCAGGGGCAATAAATGTAATTGATTCTAAAATGAATTAATTAATAAAGTAATCAGGAACTGACATCACTGCACTGGGACATTCCCACATGTGCTCCGTCCCCTTCTTCAGTAACCAATAAAGAGTTGACATGCTAATGGTACTAGTTGCAATCGGATTAAAAGTCGATTTCTGTTTTAGTGTTGAATACCTCCAAGCACCTCCACTCACCCTCTGTTGAATTAGCCTTTCAGTGTATGGATTCCCTATCTGTTGTTTTGCACTGTCCAGTTTGATCCCATAGAGCCTTTACTGTATCTGCTTTATCATATAATAGCACACCGCCCAGACGAGCGGCAGCAGCTAATCTGTCAGCCTGCTTGTTACTATGCACATCAGAATGTCCTGGTCAGAAAATCCATGATATGCTCTTGAACTTGGTTTTATCAAGTGATGAAAGCCACTCTGATTGCAAGACACCAGTTTAAATTTTCCAAAACAAGCTCTGTGAGTCTGTTACAATCACAACATGTCGGGCTGTGTAGTTCTCAAGCCATCAGAAAGCTGCCATTACTGCGTCCACCTCTGTTCTCATAATGGATGTAGTGACGTTGTACGTGAGGCTCTCTGGTTTTAAGCAGTGTTTTTTCACCTTTACAATAAAACCCCACTTACTCTTTTTAGCTCTCCCCGAATATTCATCTGTATGTATTATGATGTCACTTAGGCATGAATTTTCATAGATCAGCTCTTGCACCACTGACCCTGTTTTACCAGCTATCCATTCATGGCACCCTATGTCCAACATAACTATCAGTCTGTGCAAGTCTCTATTTCTAGAACCCATTCTTCACCATACGCTATCTTGTCGGTAGCACAAACTGTTCTAATCGTGACTTCCGCCTGTGTCATAAAAAAGCCATCTCTTTTCAGCAGCTGTCCCTTGCTATCCCCGAAGGCTTTATGCAGAAGGTGTTCCCTGTCCATTGCGAATTTAAGGTATCTTTTCACCTATAAAACCTTGTATCTCTCATAAATGGATAGTAATGCAAGTATGTGCCGCATGCACACAATTCTTGTGTCTTGTGTACACCCCAAAATGACTGGCATGGCTTCATTTTGTATGCGTTCCAACTTCTCTTTTTAGGTATAAGATCATGTTAGCAGTCCCAAACCATACTCCATCATCAAAATAATCAGTGGCTGGTAGAGTGTATACAGCATTTTCTGTTCCACGTCGGCCGATGCCATCGTCTTCAAAGCATTGAGTCATATACCTTTCTTTAAGACTACCTCTTCCTCAAAGTATTTGAAAGATGTTTTTAAAATTAAAAAAACTGTTCATTAAACAACGTTATAGGACAATAAAGGGCATTACAGGATACAAGCATTGGAAATGTGATCATTTAGAAATATTCTTAGCGCATCATAGGGACCACATCACAAATAACAAGGTTCACTGTATAATTTATCCAGCACACTGGCAACTTAAACATAATTACAGTTAAAAGGTGGAAAATGCAGTGCAATGGTAGGGATATGTAGTAAGATCTAATGGCTTCTCAAAAACAATACTACAGAGGCAGAGGAGAAGAGGCGGACCTAGAAAGACTGGATACAGAACTTCTTGACTGACTGAACAGGCCTTAGGCATGCAACTATTAATTCCATCACATCTGACCGCCAGTGGTAGAGGGAGCAGATCAAATGATCAACAGCAACAAGTAGTGTTATGGGATGATGATAGGACAACTTTTTAATAAATGAACTACTGATAACTAAACAATGTTTAGAAGAGCTTTGAATTAAATTAATTTTCAATTAAAAGATTATAAAGGTGACAGCTGATGAACTGGTACATGCTGTTAAAGATTAACCAATGTGATGAAGCATCATCATTGCCAGTCGGACATGTCCACTAGGTGATCAGATCCTGACAGCCTCTCTGATGAACCTCTGAGATGTGATGGCTAATAGTACCAGTTCTTGTTGATTAACAAGTCCCTCTGATGTGTCCGGTATCTCTGTTTTTTGCTGTGCCGATCTTAATTCCCAAGTCTGCCATTATGGCGAGTGATGTGGATTCACTGCCACCAAAGTCCTCTATCCTTCCCATTTCTCTGAGGGCATTGATAATATCAGCATGATCCATAGGCCGACTCTGATAGCAGATCCAGCCAACCTGTCAGCTCTAATCGATCGACGCCTGAGTATCCGGAACAAAAATAAAGGTGACTCCACGCACAGTGGACTTCTGAATTGATTCAAGCCATTGTCTTCGCACTGAACCTGCCTGAACCCTCCGGATCATACTCATTTATCACTGAGTATACATATGCGGGTGTATTTTTGTGTTTCAAGCCAGGCAAATTGCGTCACTGACATCACCTCCATCGTGATGCTGCTGGTTGTCAAGAAGTATGGCTTCTTTGACTGTTCTGCTCTAAGCGTGCTGTGACAGTATGCACTGATATACGGATCCGTAATGTGTAGATTAGTATCACTGATACATTAAAGAAATTAGAATGTGATGAAGCATGACCACCCAAGCCAGTCGGCAAGGCACTTGATGATTATGATGATGACAGCCTCTCTGATTAAGCTCTGAGATGTGATAGTACCTTTTATATAGCCCGCATTTCTTCACTAATACAGCTCTAATGTGTGACAGTATCTCTGTTATAGCTCTCATCTGTGATAATATCTCTTATATGTTTGTAACAAGTGATAGTATCTCTGATATTGTTCTAATAAGTGATATGCCTCTGAGATATCTCTAATGTGTGATAGTATCTCTGATATAGCTCTGAGCTCTAATGTGTAGCAGTAACTCTGATACAGCTCCAGTGTGTGACAATATTTATTAAAGAAATTAGATGAAAACTACACGCCTGCTGCTCCAAGAGTATCTGTGATACAGCTCTAATGTTTGACAGTATCACTGATATACAGCAATAATGTGTGACAGTATCAATGATACATTAAAGAAATTAGATGACACAACAGACCTGCTGCTCCAAAAGTATCTCTGATATAGCTCTAATGTGTGACAGTATCACTGATATACAGCAATAATGTGTGACAGTATCAATGATACATTAAAGAAATTAGATGACACAACAGACCTGCTGCTCCAAAAGTATCTCTGATATAGCTCTAATGTGTGACAGTATCACTGATATACAGCAATAATGTGTGACAGTATCAATGATATATTAAAGAAATTAGATGACACAACAGACCTGCTGCTCCAAAAGTATCTCTGATATAGCTCTAATGTGAGTATCACTTGTCAACTCCTGCTTCAGCTTCATTGTGTTCTCCAGCATGAGGCTGTAGCGATCTGTGGCCCTTGGGTGTGGAGGAAGGACAAAATATCACTGATTCTGACAATCTACAGATCTAAACAAACAACTTATGTGGGTACTGGGACCTCATTTTGGAAGGGCGGAAAGGGGTTGGGGGGGGGGGGGGTCTACTGCCTCTAATATGCATGTCATTATATGGACTAATCATTATATGGACTGAAGTCAAATGTGTTGGGTCAAAAGGCACAGATATCACTGCCTAGCTGTAAACCACAACACAATGTGACAACTGCCCTTTCTAGGGTAAAAACAGAAGATGAAACAAACAAAACAATGCTCTTGAATTCACACTGGTTGGTACTGTTTATAAGGAATCACTTTCAGTGCACAGGTATAACTCCCAGCGTGACCCAGCAGCCTCTTATATCTTATAGTTCATGAGCAGAATCACAGCACAGTGCACAAACTCTGTAGCACTGGTGAGTAGGCAAAATGAGTGTATACCAGAATGTGCAGCTCCGTGGCTTAGAGGTTAGTGAATGTGTTTAACAATTTCACAATTCTTGGTTCGAAGTCAGCGGAGGACGATTCATTCTTCTTCTTCTTCACATTTGAAGGCTGTAAACTCCAGAGGAAAGTTCTGGTTGTTTATCCATTTCTTGACTTTTGTCGATTGTACGCAGACTGTTGGTTCCTTGCCTTTCAGGTAGATACTCTCACACTTCAAGGGAAATCCCTAATGAGTCAAATTTTACAAGATGCTTGTTAGGGAGGCAGTGGGTCTGTCACCAACCGCATAACCCACACGGAAGGATGATTTATTTAAAAAACTACTGTTGTAGTTTTGGACAGTAGTACGAGAGCTACGCTTGCCTGCAGATTCAAAGACATGGGTTCAGGTCTAAGCTGACCAGCCTTAAATGGTATGGCACCAGGTCCAGTAGTGGGAAGTAAAGGTGAACGGTGTGTTGCCGACCACATCACCACTGAGTGCTCATCATCATCATTATCATGTAGCAGGTCCTTTGCAGAACGTCACTTTCATCACAGTCTGCCTGAAAGAAACTCGATCTCTCGCAAGTTTTCCCGCCTCATGCACTTTCACACTCAAGGAGTCACTTATATACTGTGCCCATCTTCGTGTCGGCCGGCCGCGGCCCCTCCTTCCTTTTACCATGTCTTCTGCTATAATTTTTTCCAATCGGTTGTGGCGCTTGATATGACCAAAATATTTCAGCTTTCGAGAAAGGATGCTGTTTATTAGCCAATCTTCCTTGATGTTCAGATCTTTTTTGATGTAAATATTTCTCATCTTCTTTGTGAGTGCTGATTAAATATAGGCTTAGACCTATATGCCCAATATGTCTAAAGGTGTGGAGAAGAGACTGTAGCCTTACCATATCATGTTCTGTAAGACAGCAGAGTGTACACTGTGGCCAACAATAGATGTGGAGATGGTATACCATTTGTGTTTTTACATACCAGAATCAAACATACTTACTGCAGGCTCAACTACCACATGGATAAAATAAAGACTGTACAGTCCCAACACATGGGCACCATGGTGTAGCAGCTAGATGCTCCCCTGCGGACTGGAAGGTCATGGGTTCAGGTCCTGAAGGGGCCGGACTTTAAAAAAAATTTACCTTGGCTCCCAAGGTAGACCCAGCCTTAAACAGGTACCAGGTCAAGTCCTGGGAAGTAAAGGTGGCTGGAGTGATGTTGATAACATCACCCACCAAGTGCAGAATGGTCTATAAAATATAGGTCTAGCCCTGTACGCCTGAAAGAGGTGGAAAAAAAGGACCTTTACTTCACTTTATAGTCGTCACAGTGTGCCTGTCAGATGGGACCATAAACACCTGAACATAAGGCCTGCCCACAATGCCCACTAACTACAAAGACAAAAGTGGCCTCTAGAGCAAAATGTGAACAGCAAGCTATCGGATAACTATGAAGGAGCTGCAAATGACATGAATATTCATAAAGGAAGCCCAACTGATGATCTGGCCTGAACCTATGAAACCAAACACAAAGAAGACAAAGAAGAAATATACTTACTATAAATTTTAGGGTCCTGTTAAATTGCTATATACTCACTGCCTGAGTTTCACTAATGCTTAAAAACCTTTGTCTGCGTTTGTTTTTTATTATGTCATGCTTGTTTTGTTTTTTCACCCACCATGTCTTTTTTTATTTTGTCTCCTCCTGCCCACTACCACACACAAATAAGGATATATAGTTACAATAAAATATCAAGACTTATTATCAGAGTATCTACATTTAGAGAATAAACTGACAGCTAAATCTAATCTATACGGAACTTACTTGTAGGTGATGCTTTTAACAGTTTCAATCAAGGCAACAGGGTCAAAGGTGGGAGGCTTCAGACACACTGTGGTAGCTGGGAGGGCCACCTCTTTCAGGGAGATATTAGCAAACCTGTAAGAGAAAAAACATTACAAAACTGAAATTTCTTGTGAATCTCCTATAGCAAGGTAGAATGGAAGTGAAGGCAGTCACTGCTGCTTTCCGCTGGCTTCAGAATCAGCTGTACACAAATGCCATAACTGTAACTGATTCACAGAGCATGCTGCGAAAGGTCAAGACAGGCATGCTTCGTGCAGATTGGCAAGCATCACTTCAGAAGCCTGGGTAGTTAGCATCTTTTGAATATTTTCTACAGGTCATACTGGTGACTTAGGAAATGAGCCGGCTGGCTCTGCAACACTTGGTGGGGAATTGATGTATGACAAGCTAGATATTTTGAGGGCCCTTTGGGAACGAGTGAACAGTACAGAGGTGCAGATAGATCATTACGGTCTGAGGAGAAGGGGCAGCAAGGAGTTACCAGGGGATCTGGCAAACACTCAACACTCAGGGGAAGGATGAGACGGATATACAATCAGACTGGTGCCATCGGAACTGGAACTCTTCGTTTGCTGCCAAATATGGGGACAGAGCACTTATGGGAGTCTCCTGAGTGCTGTGATATCGGTTCTCAATTCAACATTCAATGATAGCAAGGTATGTCAAATACATGCAGTTAAGAGTCAACAATATCCATTTACAATTTCTGCAAAAAAAATGTATCTATACAATACTGACAGAGACTGATGTTCAGACATCATAACACACAAGTCTCCCATAGTGAATGTGGTAAAGTGTAGATACTAATTGTTCCAGTAGTACAATGGTAATACAAATTGTTCCAGTAGTACAATGGTAATACTAACTGTTCCAGTAGTACAATGGTGATACTAATTGTTCCAGTAGTACAATGGTAATACTAACTGTTCCAGTAGTACAATGGTAATACTAACTGTTCCAGTAGTACAATGGTAATACTAATTGTTCCAGTAGTACAATGGTAATACTAATTGTTCCAGTAGTACAATCATAATGTATTTAACAATATATAGCCCTTGCAGGACCTACACTTAATTCATACTCGTTTATGCTAGCTCAGCTCAACTACATAACCTGGAGATGAAAACTGGCCAAGTATAAAGATGCTGTCTTTAGGATCGAGACAAGAGATTTAACCACCTTATATAAGAAACAAGAGGAAAAGGTTATTTAGAATAGGTGCTGCGTCAGCACACATGAATACACAAAATTACATAGCAGAGTATAACTGGAAAATACCAGAAGAAGTTAAAATTATGGTAAGGCTGCTGCTGCTGCTGCTGCTGCTGCTGCTGCTGCTGCTGCTGCTGCTTCTTCTTCTTCTTCTTCTTCTTCTTCTTCTTCTTCTTCTTCTTCTTCTTCTTCTTCTTCTTCTTCTTCTTCTTCTTCTTATTCTTCTTCTTCTTCTCAGTGTTCACTGGCGGTAAACTCCAGAGAAACGTTGTTTGTAGTACACGTCTAGACTTTGGTCTTATTTCAGAACTTGAGTTGCACATCCATTTTACAGATCTGGCTTATTTGAATGCAGACTACTGGCTCCTTGACTCTCAGGCAGATGCACTTCGACTCAGAAGGAAACACAAAACTAGTCTCTTTTTAATGACATACTTATTAGGGGGTCGAAAGGTTTACTGTTTTTCCCCCCACAATGGGGCCCCGAACCCACACTGGGATGTGGTAACATAACATAACAAACGTGATTGCTTACTTGAAAGAGGCCACAATGTTCCGATGACCAAAATACTGGAAGTGGTCATGGTGTAGAGAGTGTGGACAGGGTTCTGCCGCCCCGCGTCGTTGAAATGATGATGAGTGAAACCGAAGGTCAAGGTACTTGGCAAAGGAGAGGCTCCAAGTGTCTCCACTGATGGGAACAACTGGGGTTACCTGGTGTGTACATGAATAAGAATGCTTTTTTGTTTTAAATCAAAGATTTAAACAAAACAATTTATCAAAATAATAAGGAACAACTAAATACATGGTCTGATTAGTTGTTATAACTTCTTTTTCTTAAAGTCCATGCCTTGTGGCATTGGTAGTCATGTCTATCCACAAACTTCTGTCTCTCGTACTTTTAATTAACTCTGACACAGATGATCTTCCATGCCATCTGTTATCTTCTATGGCATCTGTTCTCTCTGACTCCCTCTGCCTCTCCTCCTCTGCAACTTTCCCACCGTCACGATGTACTCCAGTTTTCTCTTTCTCATCACATGACCAAAGAATCTCAATTGTCTCTTTCAGATGTTGGCAATCAGTTCTCTTTGTAAGTCAGTTTTTTTTCAAGATGTACTCATTACTCTTTTTATCTGTCCAGGGTATTCTTATCATTCGTCTACAAAACCACATCTCTGCAGCTTCCAAATGTTTTCACTAATTTACTTACTGTCCATGATTCACATCTATATATTGATATAGGATTTATATAAATTTTGAGAATTCTCTTTCTCATATTAACTGACAAAGAAAAATTGCATAAAATATTCTTAATTTTGTAAAATGCAGCCTTTGCTTGAGCTATCCGACATTTAGATCCCTTAATACATCTTCAGTCTGATGTTATCATGGTACCCTAGCACTTAAACTTGTTTGAGGTTTATCCCAATTACTTTGATGTTTGCATTTTGGAGGGTCAGTTTTCATTGTCACTACCATTATTTCTGCTATTCTTCTGTTCAAACTAAGACCTTGTTTTAACTTTCTGTTACAATTATATCCATTTTTTCTTGCAGTTGTGTTTCATTTTCAGCAATCAAAACTATATCGTCAGCATATCCCAGGCTGTTAACAATATACCCACCAACTGCTATTTCCTGGTATACCACGTATGGATCTAATTATTATTTCACTGTAAAAACTGAATAAATCAGGTGATAGTACATATCCCTGTCTAACTCCCTGTTTAATGTTTTGAAAAGTTCCAACTTGGTTGTCCATCAATACGGCTGCTTCTTCTTGCCAGTGTATGCTTTTTAATTATTCTCAGATCTTTACCATCAATGTTTAAGGTTTCCAAAATTCTAATAATTTCTTCACGTTTCACTTTATCAAATGCTTTAGTGTAATCAATAAAACACAAATAAAGATCTCTATTCATGTTAATAATTCTTTCTGAAAGTGTTCTCAAGATAAATATTTTGTTGTTTACGCCTTTATCTTCAACAAAACCACACACACACTGCTCTTCTCCAATTTCTGGTTTATTTTGCATCTAATTCTTCTCATGATAATTCTGATTAATATTTTAGTTACGTGACTCATTAAACTAACTGTTCAGTGTTCTTTCTCCACATTACACTGTACCCGGTGCTTCTAGTAAAGATATGAAAAAAAGATTTTAAAAGGTCATCAGGTACGTGTCCACTGTTATAAATATCACTGAACAATTTTGTCAAAACATCTAAACCCAGATCACCAGCAGCTTTTAATTCTTCAATCGTGATGTTGTCCAGTCCTGGAGATTTACATTTCTTCATGTGGTTTACAGCATATCCTACTTCTACTTTCTTTGTAATGCCAGGGTTCCGGGTTCGATCCCAGCTGCAGATGGTTTGTCTTGCGCTGCTTTTAATAGCGGTACCGAGACCTGACCATACAGCAAGCAATGGCAAACTACTGAATGTAAAACTTGCTTAGAAAAACCACAAAAGCCAGACAGTGCTGGGGTTGGTTCTGCAACGTTCTGTAAGAGGATACATAACTAACTTGACTTTTGCTTTCAGTATTGGCGGTCCTTCCCAAAACTCTGATATTCTATGTCTGGTCTGCTGTTATCATCGTATATAGGCCTACTCTGTTTTATATACTCTGTCCATATTTGAATTACCTTCTCTTTGTCTATAAATATTTCACCTTCTTTTGTTTTCAAGCAACTACTTGTTGTATATTTTCTCAAAGAAATATCCAGTACAAGTAGCATTGTCCCATTTGTACGTAACTAATAAAATTATAAACCTTGAATGTTATACTCTGATCCTAGGGTAGTAGATCAGATGCTTAGCCTTTAAAGATAAGGATGAAAATAATTAGGAAGTTCCAGGCATTTGCTGCTGACATTAAACATTCCTTAGCCGCTGGAAATAAATGAGTAGGCTATCTGTACTGCTGTGCTGCCAAATTTTATTAATCAGAAAAACTCCTCGTAAAGCAATATTTATTTATATTAAGTAAAACTTGTGTGAATGTGGAAGGCATTATAAGAATTTTCCTAGAATGTGTCTTTCTTCAGGCATAAATCTAGAATTATACCCTAAATGTGCTTGATGTACTCCAGTGCTACCACTGTTTGAAAATTAAGATTATATGCCATCTTCCCAATGAAGACCTTAAAAGTGCTTGACATACTCCAGTGCTACCACAAATTAAAATTAAAATTGACGCCGTCTCCCCAGTAAAGACCTTGAATGTGCTTGATGTACTCCAGTGCTACCACTATCTAAAAATTTAAATTGTATGCTGTATCCCCAATGAAGACCTTAAATGTGCTTGACGTACTCCAGTGCTACCACTATTTAAAAATTAAAATTGTATGCTGTATCCCCAATGAAGACCTTAAATGTGCTTGACGTACTCCAATGCTACCACTATCTAAAAATTAAAATTGTATGCTGTATCCCCAATGAAGACCTTAAATGTGCTTGATGTACTCCAGTGCTACCACTATCTAAAAATTAAAATTGTATGCCATATCCCCAATGAAGACCTTAAATGTACTTGACGTACTCCAGTGCTACCACTATCTAACAATTAAAATTGTATGCCATATCCCCAATGAAGACCTTTAAAAGTGCTTGACGTACTCCAGTGCTACCACTATCTAACAATTAAAATTGTATGCCATATCCCCAATGAAGACCTTAAAAGTGCTTGACATACCCTAGTGCTACCACTATCTAACAATTAAAATTGTATGCTGTATCCCCAATGAAGACCTTAAATGTACTTGACGTACTCCAGTGCTACCACTATCTAACAATTAAAATTGTATGCTGTCTCCCCAATGAAGGCTGCCTGTACACACTGCTGACTTTTTTCCCCTGGTGCAACTCTCATTCCAATGTCCAACTATCAGGAGTAAGGTATTGTTTTTTTTTAAACTAACCATCTGGTGCTGAATTCTTTTTTTCTTTGTATCTGCCAAGGTTCATGAAATTGTGAAATGCATTCAATAATCTCTAAGCAACAGACTTTTCATGCAACCTGACAGCATGTTCACAACGCCTAAGCTACAGAAGATGATGCCTAACTGTAAACCACACACAATATGCCAACCGCCATTTTAATGGCAGAAAAAGATGAAGATTTAACTATAAATGTTTTACACGTTTACAACAGTCAATTTCAGAAATATAATTAAAACTATTTCACAGCAAGTGCCAACATTTTATAAAAATGTGTATTCCATCCAAAGTTTAAACACAAGCCCAAATATACATAATATCCAGGCATCTTACCTGTTTACACTTACGACACCAGCTCCACATTAAAATGTTCTCTTTCCCGCCTGGCACTTCATTGTCCAGATTCTTCAGCAAGACGTTGATGCAGGCGTTCCCGTGGACAAAACGACGAACATGGTCTGTCATGGGGGTGTCACATGTTGCCGAAGGACATGAATACTGTTTCCTGATTTACAGACATGACTAGCATTAATTATCCTTGAAATTTCCTGATTTACAAACTTTATTAGTAACAAATTTTTGGGCAACAGGGATCACAATGGAACTACCAGAACCCACCAAAATAACTGTCCACGATCTGAGAGTACTTCCTGGCTAAAATCCTAAGGAAGACTAGTTACAAAATGCAACAAATTATGAACATCTACAAAGGTCTGGGCTTCAGCTGGTTGAGATTAAAGGCAGAAAAAGAAGGTCAGCCATTCAAACATACAGAATATGAAACACTGGCACACAGTAAGGATGACAAGTGAGTTGACAGACCATCCTTTCTATAAACTAAACCATTCAGTCCATTAAGTGCTCACTTAGTGACTGACAATACTTCTATTCTGGATTATAATCTTACTTGCAGGTCTCCTGAATTATCCAAGAAATGAAATCATGCATAAAGGTACAATTAAATTCAAGTCAAAGGTATTAATGTGGGGCAAGTATATAAATTCAGGGGGGAGCAGCTGGTAGAATGGTTACAATACTGGTCTCACGAGAAGACTCAGGTTCAAAACTTGGCAAATTTGTTTACCTGAAGCAAAATCTCTCAGAGATAATGGATGAGATGTTTTACAGGGTGACAAGTAACTTTACATATGTTTACCTGAAGCAAAATCTCTCGGAGACAATGGATGAGATGTTTCATAGGGTGACAAGTAACTCTACAAATGTTTACCTGAAGCAAAATTTCTCCAGAAAACCTCCTAAGGTGATGTCATTACGTCCATAAAACTCCATGGTGACAACCCTAAGATATGAAGAAATGGCAGTCTGACAGAACACATTACTATCTCAGTCAAATTACATCAGTCTCAGTTTGAAATATGCTGATCTCCATACAGTTACAGTGTCATTCATGAATAAAATGTCGTGTATGTTTGTAAGTAAAGTAAAATGACGGCCCCTTTTCCACGCCTTTAGGCGTATTGGGAATATAGGGCTAGACCTATATTTTGTATAGACCAATCGGCACTTGGTGGGTGATGTGGTCAGCATCACGCCAGCAGCCTTTACTTCCCAGAAACAATATCATTGCAGTGAGTAAATGTTTTTCAGCTTTTCTGTTCATACTCCGTATTTCACATGCGCATACAACACAGGTCCAATATAGTAACTTTAAACACTGTTTTTCTCACTGCAACTGACATCTTACAAGCATCTGTTTCTCACTAAAGGCCACTATTACCGTGGTGATTCTTGTTCTGATTTCTACAAGGCATATACATAACTCATATATGATGTTGCTCACATGATGATGATATACATTATAAAGAGACCAAATAAAGTGCAGGGGATCATCAAAATCAACCAGCAGGTCCTTCACAGAACATCGCTCTCATCACGGCACACCTGAAAGCCTTTCTTTCTCTGTCCAGTTCTTCAGCTCTATGTGCTTTCATAGCCACGGCATCTTCAATGTCTTGTATCCATCTCTGCGGAGGTCTGCCTCTGTCTCATTTTCTGGAAACGGTACCCTCCATCACCGTACTCTCTAAGCTACCATGATTTTTATCATGGTGAAAATTTCTCAGCCTAAGAGGTAGGATGCTGTTTATGAGCCAATTCTCCTGGATGTTGAGATTATGCAGGATGTGAAGGAAAGGAGACACAGACAAAAAAATAAAAAATGTGGTACAGAGAAGTATCTTCATGGAATTATCATGCAGTATATGTATGCATGTGTGAGTTTGTACATACAAATACTCACAAATGTGCATACACACAAACTCACATATGTGCACATATGCATGCTCACACATGTGCACACATGCACACATAGAATACTTCTAGTGATGCAAAATTAGAAACTAAGATATGATCTATTGTGCTGATCATTTAGTCTATCTCTACAATGTTCTCATTAGGACATCTGCAACCACAGGGAACTTACCAAGGATAGACACAGGGGTAAGGGTGGTTGGCTGACTTGTAGGAATAGCTGCTGAACAAAACCATCAACTTCTGGTGGTTGGTTGGGTCAAGGCAGTCAATCTAAGATAAAGTCAACAAATAACATGCTAGTAGTTTCTGATTTTCAAAACACTGAAAGTTCCACAGAATCAAATGACTATCATAGCAATTTCAAATATACCACTTGCTGTGGTAATCATGTGTATTTGCGTAAAGGAGTCTGATTTTGTGCTTCATTACAAGCTGATGTAACTCAATGCAACTGATAGTCAATGTCTAAACTTCAAGACATTGCTCTGGGAGACAGAGCATGTACTTGTATCAGTATGCCCAGTGTGCTATGATGTTGATTCTGTCATTAGTAATTTCAAAGAGCATTTCAAGTCTAAAGCCTAAGACCAACAAAAGGAATGACAGTAACAATTTTACGAATTTGCATCATTCCTGTGGCATCATGAAGATATTAGTAGTGGATCATTTCATATTCACCCGCACCTTCCCCTCCAAAATGTCAATCCTTTTGAACTAAACTAGAAACATTTTCTGTAATCCTTTTCTCTCTTAGGTGACCTACTGTTGCGTAACAGCTAGACACTTACCTTTGGCCCAAGGTTACAGGCTCAAATCCAAATCAATGACCTTGGCTCCCAGGTCGACCCTGCCTAAAACTGGTACCAGGTAAAGTCCTGGGAAGTAAAGGTGACCTTGTAATGGTGACCCATTACCCACTGAATGTTGATTTGTCTATAAAACAGTGGTTTAGCACTATATACCTCAAATGCTCTATCCAAGTCTCTAGACTTATGTGCTTTCCTAGCCAATGCATTGTCAATGTCTTGCAGCCACCTTCACAAAGGTCAGCATCTGCGTAGTTTTCCAGAAACTGTAGCCTCCATCACCCTTCTCTCCAGACCACTATGACACCTGATATGGCTAAGATACCTCAACTAACAAGGCAGATGTGGTCAAGGCCCTTTGGGAACAAGCAACTGAATCAGTAGAGATAGAAGATTATTATGACCTGGAGAGAATGAGGCACCTGGGTGTAACCAGAGGGTCTGGCCAGCTCAAAACACTCAGAGAAAAGGCAAGATGGACATATAACCAGATTGCGAACGGTACCATCAGTATTGGAACTCTGCGCTGGCTGCTGAAGATGAGAACGTAGCATGCATGGAAATGCCCTGAGCGCTGTGATATTAATTTTTGACTCACCTCAACTCAACAACCTCAAATATCAGGACAGGATGCTAAAAACCAGTGTAGTACTTAAAGTGTAGTACTTAAAGTGTAGTACTTAAAGTGTAGTACTTAAAGTGTAGTACTTAAAGTGTAGTACTTAAAGTTTAGTACTTAAAGTGTAGTACTTAAAGTGTAGTACTTAATATGACAGAAGTATCTCAGTTTCTAAGAAATGCTGTTTATGAGCCAGTTTTCTGCGTCATTTATGCAATAAGTGGTGTTTTATATTCTCTCGTTGTCTAGGTGGTGTTCATGCGCGTGTGTTGTGAATGTTCTTCTCACACACTCTACGTTACATAACTGATACAAGCCGACACCGACGTAAGCGTACGAGACATAAGTTTATTGGCATATTATCACTCACAGTCGTGTCCAGTTGTTGTCCTAGTTAACAGCTCTCGCACACCAATTCACGCAGCCTTCAAGATGCAGGTTCTTCATGCATTCCCTGACCAGAGTCGGCTTCAATAACTCAGGTTGAGTTTCCTGCCATTACACAGACTGGCTTGGTCGATCTTGGCTTCACACTTTGTCGTCAGGGTCTCCTTTCGCAACAAGCAATCTTACGTTGACATTCTTCCACTCAGTCTCACATTCTCTCGCTCCAACAGGTCGACACAAACTAAAACTTGATCAGAATCAAGTCTGACTTATACCACGGGTTAGTTTCACGTGGCAACATGTGGTGGTCCTTTACTTTCACGTGGCCACCTTTGGTCGCGTCGTCGTGATACCCATGATAACTAATGGTCATCACCTATCTCAAGATCTTCGTTTAATCCGAGTATCTGGAATATCTCGGTGTTTTGGGTTAGCTTTGGGCCTTCCCCACAACCTTCCTAATCTGGATCAAAATATCCCCCATTACAATTTATATCTTGTCATGTCAGTGTTTTTCTTCTTGACACATAGAATTCTGTAATATTTACGTTTAAATACCCTAATTTTTTTCTCTAGCAATAAGACAATTATTTTAAATCAGATTATACAAACTTACTTCATACCACACAAAATGTAAGCATACATTTTACTAGCTTTTCTGAAGCCTACCTTCTTCTCCCACAGTAATCCTGAAATGGAAGGATCAAATCCCTGAGAATCATCTACTTTCTTGCTGCCTGCATCCACCTGTGATTGTCTGCCAGTATCTTCATCCAGCTGGATACGACCACCTCTTGCCCGAAAATCTGCTAGTAAAGTCTGGAGAAAATTAGCAACGAAATGTTGAAGAATCTGGACGTAATGGAGGTGACATTTTTTAGTAGAATATTCATAAATTGTAAAAAGAACTGTAAGCAGAAACTGAAAAAAAAATCCTAAAGTACTGTTGGCTATAAGTGTTATGAGATTACTCATTACAAATGTGAAGGACAGATGATATTTATTAAACACTAGCTGTACCTGGCCACACGTTGCTGTGGCATAGTTTGGCTAAATGGAAAAGAAAGAAAATAGAAATCGCACGTGTCTAATATGGTTACTGTCGCAATCATTGTCTGCGCAGATATAGAAATAGTCTTCGATGGCCCTTCCCCCCCCCCCCCCCCCCCAAATCCACCTACTACTCTCTCCCTCATCAAAGATTGTAGGAAAAGAAAGACAATAGAAATCGCACGTGTCTAATATAGTTAATGTCGCAATCATTGTCTGCACAGATACAGAGATAGTCTAGTTTGCCGACTTCAGAACACGCAACATATAACTGTGTCTTTATATTAGTGGTCATTTAAATGGTATTATTAGTACAGTAAAAACAATTGGTTATTTGGTTATCACATGCTAAAGCTGTTTGTATTTTTTTTTAGGGGACGAAAGTAAAGCTTACTACTGTACTTGTAAATAACCAAGTAAGTCGTAAAATAAAAATGACAATAACGGAGGTGGTGTTAGTAAAATATAAACAAATTAAGAAATGGAAACTTTAAAGTCATGTGTTAAGCTCTTTAACTTAACAATTTCAGTCATCACCCCCTCCCCTCGACCATCCACCAACTACTGCTCTCTCCCTCTTCGAAGGATTTGAAAGTCATCACCTGATAATATTTTTTATAACTGACCTTGATATCCCTGTCCATCTGGACTAAAATGGGGAGCAGGAATTGTAATGAGTAGTAAATGTGGCTGGTGTACAACTACCACCACTATCACCACCACGATAACTAAAATAGTGTCACCACTATCTGTTTTATCATCGGAGTAGACAAGGAGTCATGAGCCAGAAGATATGGCACCGCATGGCTAGTGCTATTGCCATGGACTGTAAATATTGTGTGTGTATATATATATATGTGTGTGTGCAAGTGTGTGTGGGTGTACCTGTGTGTGTTCATACATGTGCATGTATATGTGCATGTGTATGTACATGGGTGTGTGTATGTATGTGTATTTGTGTATGTCTGTTTATGTATGGACATGTGTGCAAGTGTGTGTGTGTATATATGTGAGTATGTGCGTGTGTGCACACATGTACATGAGTGCATGTGTGTGTATGTGTGCATTTGTGTAAAAGCAATAAATTATATTTTAAAATTACCAAATTGTAAATACGTGTAAAATAACTTTTAAATTCATTTTTTTTAAATCAAAGAACTACCTGGGTATTACTGTCCCAGATTGGCTCAGTCAGCTTACAGGTGATCAGAGAATGCGGATCAAGGATCTGTATATTGTTCTTGCTAGCAACTTTTGCCAGCGCCTCTACGTCAGTGGTCTTTGACTTGATCTGCCACTGATTTTCTTCCCCATCAAACAGTTTTGACCAATAGATTTCTTCTGGGAGATATTTTCTCACGGGGCACCGGGAACCCTTGTCTGTCTCGATGAATGGTACAGAATACTTGTGATAGGGTGAAACCGACAGGTGGACACCATCCAGGGCTTTCCTAAAACGTTTGTAATTGGTTTGCTTGATTTCTTTCAGGGCAATCTTCTGAGCACTGGCAGAATTAAAGATGGATTCATCGTGGGTGTTCTGGTATCCGAGCAGCGGATCACTGAAATCTGTGAGTTCTGTAAGTATGGATGTACTTGGGCGTGACTGAAAGGAGAGTATTCCACACCTATCAGGCAGGTTTAAAGTATTTGTGGTATTGGTGGTGGCTAAATTCTCATCTCCAGGCGAAGGCTTCACTGCGGTAATCATCTGCATCTCCCCTTCAACAACATCTGTGGCATGTGTTTCACTGCCTGTATCAACGTTGGCATCTGATGAACTGAAAACATTATCCTCAGGTAAACATATTTCAGTACCATCACCCTCAAGTTGTTCACTGACAGCAGAATCACACACATTCTTACAGTCATTTCTGTCTGCTTCAGCGCAGCTCTCAACATCTATCTGAGATGGCCCCCCAACAATTATTGGCAGAGATGACTTTGGTATGATGCACATGATGCTGCCAATTAGCCTGGGTGATCCATCCCAGTTCGCTTTCTCTGTATTATCATTCCTGAAAGCACAGTCAGGGGTGCTTCTACCTGACACAGTGTCTACTGTGGAAACACCACTGAAGTGTCGAATTTTCTCCTTGTAAGAGAAACCATTCTTCTGCTCTGAGAGTGCATCCATGGCCATTGCCATCTCTGTTGATGTAGAAGTTCTCTCCCCAGGCACACGTGTTGTGCCTGCAGTAGTTAAAGCATAAATCCCTGCTGCTCCATCATCATCATCAAAGTGGTTCTCACAAGGAACTCCTATCTCCATCCTGGTCTGGTCAAGACCAGAGGAAATCTTGTTCTCATTGGAATCCTTCACATTAGTGCTTCCAGCAGTTTCAATGGATTTACCAGTCTCTGGCTGCCCTCTTTCCCCCACTCCTGGTTTTTCAAACCAAGAATCTGCTCGCAATTTTTCATTCTGGCTCAAGGCAGAATAACTTCTAACTCTTCCCTCACTCTCATCCCTACCATCTCCATCAGCCAATTCAGCCAAAGAACTTAGTTCAGAACTTTTTGTGGATTTATCAGCATCTCTGTAATCCAAGGATGAAGCATCAACATCGCTGTATAAGTAGGAAGCCAGGCCTGTCTTGCCTTGGGTTTGGTAGTCCATGAGCTCTACGTTGGAGTCTGTGTCGTCATCAATGTGAAACTCTACTCTACCAGTGCTGTTACTCTCTTCCTCATCATCATCCTGAGACTTATCGTCACAGGATGCATTCTGTTTCTTCATATCCCTGCAAAGCAAAGCAAAGCACTCCTTAGACAATTTTATCATTCATGTCTGAACGCATGCTGATTACAGCTAACATTTTCAGGCTTTCAGTAGAAAAAAATTTACTAGTGCTTTACCATAGGTTCTTCATGCTGTTTAGTCTCTGCATTGCTAATGCAAGTCTTCTTCCGACTTCTTTCGAGCAGTCGCCACTGTTATTCACTAAAGAGCCCAAGTTTTTAAAATCTGTTACACTTTCTATTTCTTCATTTTGGATTGTGATATGTAGTTGGTGTGCTGTATTTACTGAGGATGTAATTTTTTTTTTTTCAATTTATAAAGTTTACTTCTTTGCTGTGCTTTTTCATCGCCAGAATTAATTTTTCTAAACCTTGTACACTGTTGGAAAGGAGAACTGTGTCGTCTGCATATCTGAGTTCTGGTATAGGATTACCTCCAATTTTTAGTGGATCAAAGCTCTCACATGCCTCATCGCTAACTGCATTTCTCATAACATTTTCAGCATATATGTTGAAGAGGGCGGGAAAAAGAATACAGCCCTGCCTCACTCCTTTCTGCACTTTCAACCATTTCGATGTTTCACCAGCTACTCTGAACGCTCCTTGTTGTTCATGGTAAAGACATTAAGTTAAGTGCACCAAATGTTTTGGAAATCCCATGCCTTTCATTATATGCTATAGTTTATGGTGTTGCATACAGTTAAATGCCTTGCTGTAGCCTATGAAACATTGAAGATCTATCTTGAATTCTTTACACTTCTCATATTAAAAATATGGTCTCTTGTTTCTCTACCACGTCTAAAACCTGCTTGTGTTTCTTGTAGTTCATATTAATCATTCAACAACACAAATAAATTCCTCATTCAAGCAAACATATTTCTCATTCTTTCATGCAAACTTTTAATTAAGTTACACAGGTAAATCAGTGTCGCACCTATAAGTATCATCAAGGCTGAGCTCAGTGGAACTCTCCAGACCTTCAAATGGTTGCTCCAGCTCATCAGCGCCCGGTTGGGGCATGGCAAACTCATCCATACAGAAACATAGCTCCAGCAGGGAGTTGTAGGCTGTGTATGTCATGAACTTCAGAATATACTTCACCTGCACCAACAGATGATAGCAACTATTTTAGTTTTACTCTGAAATGCCTATCTCGTTACTGTGCAAATATAAACAGAACACATTTTGACGAACTTAACAGACATTTGTGGTGGACGTGCCGGGTTCGATCCCAGCTGCAGGTGATTGGGCAGCAAACCATTTGCATCAGTTCCAAAAAGTGGTATTAAGAGCCGACTGGTCAAAAAGCTACAGCAAAGTACTAAACGTAAAATTCGCCTTTCAAACCACAACAGCTACAAAATGCTGGGGTTGGTTCTGCAACGCCATGTAAGGGATACGCAACTCACTATCCTAGGAAGAGAAAATGCAATCCAAAAACTTTATTCTATGGCAGGGCAGACCAGGATCTTAGGCTTGGTTGGCAGCTGATTCAAGGTTTGATGTTTAAACAACAGATCAACATCATGGCACAAGGGTAGTAACCCAAAAATGCTCCATTCTACTACTAACTCAAGTCTGAGTCAAAAGAATCTCAGCACAATGCGTGAACTCCGTAGCACCGCAGATGATCCTGAAATCCTTTGGGTAGATTTTTAACTCAAAATTTTGCGCCATTAGGCTACTCTTTTCAATTTCCAACTGCCAAGGGATTTTTTAACATGCGCAAGAGTACACAAGTTCGTCCGATCATACTATCCATAGAACAGAGGAAATTACTAGAAGTCCACGCAAAAAAATTCCAGCCTTCACCGGGGCTTGAACCCGTGACCATGCCTGTATGTATGTAATGTGTGCATGTATGTATGTGTGTGTAAGTGAATGGGTGAGCGTGTGTATGTGGGTGTATGTATGTATATGGGTGTGTGTATGCACGCGCAGGTTTTTGCATGCACTTTACAATTCATGCTTTTGTGTTCTTTTATAATATTCATAATATGATCATAACATGCTTTATTAGTAAAATACAACTGCTGTGCGAAAGATGGTTGACTGGAAGGGTCGAATGTAATACGGGCCTGCGTGCCCAATTTGTGACCCTTTGAAAATAAAGTTTGTTCGACCTTCAGCATTCGAGGCCTTGAGACCATGCAGCTTCCCCAGCTGGTTCAAAAGGGCAGCTGTGATAGGCGGATAGGCAAAGCACTGCTCTTCTGGATGGCTTCATGCAATTGTCCATGTGTATTTGTGTTACCTTTCCTTTGGAGTAAACAAAAGCAGACCAAGTGAGATATCAGGCTTCATGAGCAACATACAATCTCTACAATGCTGGCCAGGCTTTGTGCTAAGGAGATGGGGAAACTTTTTCCTTGGCCTTAATCAGTATTAGCAGGCCTTGCCAGTCACAATCCTCTTCACCACAGGCGGTGATTCCCACACCTCACTAGGACATAATATAACATTTTCATCTGGAAAAAAGAAAAGGGCCAACAGTTTTGATGAAGGCTGGCATGAGGCCGACCCTGTCCCTCAACAGCTGTCTCCCCAGTATATCACATGACGAGAGTCTTAGCAATGTACAATAATTCTTTAGTACAGGCAAAGATTTAGAGGAGTATATTCCAGAATGTTATATGGGGGTAAGTCATTAAGTCATTAAGTGAAGGCAAAAGTTTTTATAAGTCGCCGGAACAAAACTGTTCTGTGTGACATTTCTCGGCATAGTGTCTCTACCTTGCAACACATGTAGTCTACTGATCCACAAAAATATGCATGTCCGCCAGGTAGAAGCTTTTGGGTGTGGCCAGTAACCAAGTTTGCACCACCAACATGACCCCATAGTCATCTGCAAATCTCTGACCCTGAAAATGTTCTTTCAAAGGGCCTAACAAATGAAAGTCCGACGGTGCCAAGTCTGGGCTGGATGCTTCAATACTTCAATTTGCAGATTCAAAGATTTGCAGATGACAATGAGGTGATGTCGGTGGAAACCCAAGATGGGTTTCATAGTTCTCAAACACAGCCATAGTCAGTTACCGATCATGTTCTCATGTCACTTAGAAGCAAACTTTAAACACAATATCTCACCCTCCTGAGTTCACTTGGAGTCCCACCTCGTAGAACAATGGTACAGCCCAGGTGAGTGGCACAGCCATCAAACACTGCCAGTGTTTTAGTCTCTTCTGTATGTGAACATTTATAAACATCTTTACTGGCAATATTACCAAGTTTGTTCATTCAAGTAAAGGTAAAAGGTAAAGTCGGGAGATGTGAACGAGTGTCATTTGCACACGGTTATAAATCATAAGTGCTCTGCCATCAGTATGGACAGCTGATAAGAATAGTCCACCTGTGTCGCCGTTCGTGCGTAGCTCTGTAGCTACAGCGACGTTCCTCCAATTACCCCAGAGTGTCAACTCTGGTACCCATTTCCTAGAGGCAGGATGAACCCCGGGAACCGCCTGGTTTTGAACACTGACTGTGGGCTGTAGCGAGTCGCAGCTGGATTTGAAAGCGAGCCTCTTATCGACTGTGCTAAGGCGGCCCTGATACTTTCATTCAAGGAACATAAGTAAACCATCCTAACTATGCCATGGCACATTCAGTCTATACTGCTAGACACATATATTTTTATAGATTAACTGCTACTCAGTGGGTGGTGTTGTCTACATTTTCCTGGTCACCTTTACTTCTCATGACATTTCCCAGCACCAATTTTAGGCTGGGTCGACCTGAAAGAAAAAATTATACAAATCTACCTCGACATGGATTCAAACCCGACACATTCTGGTTGGCAGGAAGGCATTTAGCCACTGTGCAACCGCTGCTCCGACTGTTTTAATAGACATAAAAATAGTCAACAATGATACTTTCTTTTTATTAATTAGAAATCAAACATCTCAAATGTTTCAGCCATCTAATTCAGCTGCAGTAGTGCAGTGGATAGATCTTCAACTGGTGGCACCAAAGGTCTTGGGTGTGAATCAAGTTGGGAAGCAAATTTTTTCAATCAATCAGGGCTGCTAGGTCGATTCAGTCTAAAAGAGGTACTAGGACAAGTCCTAGGAAACAATGGTGAAAGCTTTACGTTGGTAACATCATCCATCAAGTGCTAACAACTGGTCTTTAAAAATATGGGTCTGGCACCAAAGGTCTGCCATGCCAACAGCATGAAAGACGTCCTTCACTACTTGCTTTCAAAGGATTTCTTCAAGGCAGAACGCTCTCCCCATGGCTAGGTTTTCTTTTCCTATCATTCTGTTAACCTAGTTATTTAGCTGATTCTTCTAATCATTCATTACTGAAGGAAAATGAGCAAACATAACTTGCTGGCATTTACTGTCATGTTCTGTTAACATTTATATGCTACTACAGCCATGGTGGCACAGTAATTGTATGCCTGCTTGCTTGCATGTAAGGGTTCAGGATCAATCTTCAACAGTGGCAGAATTATTTCTTCCAACAAGTATGTCTCTTTGCTTGATCCAGTCTCATTAAAAAAAAACAAAAAAACCACACAACTTTCTGGAAATAAGCTGGAAAAGTAATGAGGAAGAGAGCTGGTCGACCCAAATATTATACTCATCATGTAGCAGGTCCTATGATTAAGGTCACTCTCATCATGGTCTTCCTGAAAGAGACTCAGTCTCTCGCCAGCTCTCCCACCTCACACACTTTCCTACCCAAGGTCTACTTATATGCTGTGCCCATCTTCATGATTGTCAGCCCCTGTTCCTCTTTCCTGGTACCACACCTTCTGTTATTATCGTTTCCAATCCACTGTGGTACTTTATATGGTCAAAATATTTCAGTTTCCAAGATGCAGTTTACTAGCCAATCTTCCTTGATGTTCAGATATTATAGGATGCATTTCTTTTCTTCTTTGTCTATGGTATTCTAAGAATTCTTCCATAGAATTTCAGCACAAAAGCCCCTATGGCAGTAGTTCTCAACCTTCCTCATGCCGCGACCCTTTAATAAAGTTCGCTCATGTTGTGGCGTCACCCAATCAATTATTTTCCTTCGTAACTTCAATATGTGTTTTCCGATGGATTTATGCGACCTTCTGAAATGTTTGTTTGACCCCAAAAAAGGATCAGGACATGCAATTTGAGAACCGCTGCCCTATTGTCTTCCTTAACGACTGTAAGGAAGTTCACAACTCACAACTTTATGCTGCTACAGGGAAGATGCATGCTCTAAAAATTCTGACTTTGATTTCCTTGCTGGTGCTTAACTGTAGACCTTTAATTCTGTATTATACATAATTATAATATGACCTAGAATTTACGAAGGTCTAACAATTAACTTCACACCTGAACTGTAGTATCTGCTTTGAGGCTACCTATTCTATTTTTATACTTTAGATTAGGACAGCTACTATTGCAGATCATTATAAACCAGTGTGAACTTTACCCTCCAAATGTGCCTTGTATAATTCAATTACCTTAACACTGAATGAACAAAATAATCAAGTTAAGAAACAAAAACACATCCCAATAAAACCAAACCAAAAACCAATAACATACTGTTTGGAAGTGTGAAGGTCTGAAGCCTGAAGTCGTGGCAGAATCCCATGTTTGGTTTGCTGACCAAACCATCGATGGAAGGGACAATGTCTGCCTGAGTAAACCTGGCCAGCCTCTCCATGACACTCTGTAGAAGGTCACAGAAAGTTCATCATAATCATTTTATATTTTCTTCTTGTTCTCCACTTTCAGTTACCTCATTGAGGTCTTAAAATCCAAAGTATTTATATTAAATATTTCAGATAAAGACTAGCTGATGCACAATTAAATAGAGAAGGCATGGGACTTTTTTTAGAAATATATATTAGTGTTGCTAACCAAGTTAAGAAAAAAATAAAATAAGGTTAATATAAAATTGCACCAGTAACAAAATCTTCATGTGTCTAAAATCCTTGAATATTGTCTTATCTTAATATATTTTTTGTTGAAATACTGATATTTAAATGTTTCTATATATTCAATATTAAATTCTCTTTAATTTGATATATTTCATGTCACTATACAGCCAATGCTTCTCTTTAGGAAGGTTTTAGCTTTATCATGTGCAGTAAAAACAATCCAGCTCAAAATTAATGCTGTCCAAAACAACCAAAAAAAGTTTTCCTGAAAGAGTTAGGACTGTTCTGGATGCAGTCACTTCCTCTTTTATGTAGTCTGCTCCTCCTTGCTCTGTGATCACTGTATTCAGCATAGCTGTGGCAGTTGGTACCAACAGATTTTCACAACAATGTAGCTGGTTTCAGTTCTAGTCTTCTATCTTAAATACATTGTGTGTGAGGCATGCGTGTGTGTGTGAGGGCGAGTGTGCGTGAGAGTGTCTGAATGAATGTGTGGGAGTGTGTGTGAAGCAGGGTGCGTGAGTGTATGCATGTGAGTGTGTGCATATGAGTGTGTGTGTGTATGAGTGTGTGCATGTGTCGCGCGCCCACATGGGTAAATACACTGATATAGTGAGGGTGTGGGTTTGAACCTTAACAATGCCCACCCACGTGAGAAACTGGACTATTATCTAAGCTATGTTGATCCTAGACAGTCCTGGATAGTCAAGAAAACAGCGAGTGGCTCGTTCCATGACATGAAAGTTGCTGTACTTGTATCCACAGGAGTAGGAGAAGGGATAGATAGATATCAGGATACACCCACTGTGATATTATCTCGATACACAGTTAACCCCTGCGACTATTCTCCTCTCCTGGCATTACTTAAAAGCCCCCATCAAGTGATTTAAATATTTGTTAGCTGAAGTAAACTAATATGCACAAAGACACTTGAACCTAAGTACACAATTTACTCAACTATGTGGTAACAACATCAAACATGATTTATTTGAATAAATCGAAATTAAAATGAACTTGTTTAGGCTAGTAGAGTTGAAATGATATGAATGATGAAATCATAAAGGTATTGGAAAGTAACAACCTTTGGACAGTTCTCGGCTTGAGACCCTGTCTATTCTTTTCCAGTTTGTCGTCCTCACTGCTTTCTGCAGGTCGTTACACTCGACGGTCGGCAAATAATGGATGCCTACTAGTCCCTGCCCAATGTGGGAACTGGAAAAATGAAACCACAATGCCAAAAGTTCTGTCTCAAGCTTAGGTTAAGCTCAACAGATGGCATGTGCTGGACAGGATCTCATTTACCAGACCTAGAGTTCACCCCTTTATAACTTTTATCAAGCTCCTCCTACATTACGCCTAAAACCATTCTCATTCAAGGATGTCACAGCTCCTCCCTTGTGGGTAAGTTTATTCGCTGTCAGTCAGGGCTGTACAACACTTGTTTAAATTCCCACGCTCACATTCTACAGGTTCAATTAAGCTGGTCAAAGCTAATAGGCCAAGTCACACCTCCAGTCTACTTCACCTGTCATCACAATAAAATCAGACTTTGTCAATTCTTCTGCCAACCCTTTCGGCTCACTGTGTCAATATTGACGATCTGACTGGCACTCCAGTTTAGGTAACCTCAGGGGGAGATAATGGCAATTAGCCCTTGTTATCTGTTCCTGAAGGTCTGGCAGGGGGAATAAATATCTGACACCAACAAATGGTGTGCAAATCTCCAGTCAGTAAGTCTGCTTGGTCAGTCTTATCTCTGTACCTTAACACTTAACATCTGGGAAAAAGTTGTAGTGTTTGATATGACCAACGGTCCAGGAGAATTAAAGGTTTGATGTGGTCGTCTTACTTAGATTAAGGATGTATCCAAATCCCTATTTTCCTGTATACTTTCAAAATACAAAGAAATAAAAGTAGGTTGAGGAAAGACATTCTGGAGTCACCGAGCGTATTGTCACAGAGCCTTCTCCTTAAGTTCGGTCACCCTGACCGCACATCAGCACGCTCTGTGGCTTCCAAGAATTTCAAGTCCTCCTTCGCATAACTTCCCATAAGTTTTCTGTTTCCAGTATTCTTTATGGCAGTGGGAATTCCTGCACTCTTCTGCAGACGTCCCGTGTCCTTTCATCCAGGATAATTCAATACTGTCATTGATCCTGGTAATGAGCGGGTATTCCAAGCAGTCGCTCGGTAATGTCCCTTTGTCCGGAGGTTCCTCCTTCCATCGGATAATCAAAGATCCACGCTTTGTCAACGGGACTCCTCTGCGCCGTTGACTGACAACCTCTGTGAATTTCCTCATTTTGCTGCGCCCTATCTGCCTAGGGAGAGCCTGAAGTGTTCTACTAAAAGGATTAGTCGCAGTCAGGTTGGATCCTCTTCTCCTCAGTCTACAGATCTTTGAAAAATCTGTTACAAATCTCCTCGTAAAACGAGGGATATCTTCACTCATCGTGATCCCACGAAGTGAGTGCCACTTACCACTAACAATTTCTCTGAAGAGTGTCCATTTGTTTCCTCTTCGGTGCATTCTGTCTTTACCTTGCCAAATTGTCAGGGTGGAATTGTCTTTAACAAAGATCAGTCCAGAGTCAGAGCACGAAATCAAGTCAGGGAGTTCAGTCGAATCATAAGAAAACTCAGGGTTTCCTGTAGACTGTAAGGTGGGATTTCTTCGCAATGAAGTTTCCACCACCAGCTGAGATACCCCTGTCACTTCCTTCGAAGCAAAGAGTACTACAAGACCAGAATGTTGGGGTTCCCTACTATTCATGGCTTGTTCTGCTTCAGGGTCCTTCATCAGAAGTATCTCTGTCGCCCCAGCTGTACAGGGCAGCAGAGACAAGTTGTCTCCCTGCTCACGAAAAGTATTTTCATCTTCGATAATGGCAAACACTTCTATCTGTCCATTATCGACGTGCACTGGCCTAGCAGAAGTGTCCTGTTTATGTCGAGTCTCTAAGATCGTCAAGACGTCCAGAGAACTCTCCTCCTCATCTGCTATTCTCACCTTGGTCTGGCTTTCATATGCACAGTCCAGTGAAAGCAAATCAGGAGGTGTGTTGCCGCCATCGCAGTCAACTCCTTTGGGTGTAAAGTCAGAACTAACACATTCCATTAGGCATGCGGCCGCATCCAAGGAAATAGGGGACACAGGTTCAGCGTTATTTCCTACATCAGTCTGCTTTAATTCCTCTTCTTGCATGAAGGGACCAAAGGGGATATGAGAGTTGGGTAAGTCTTTGCCCTCGTCGTCATTAATGTCTGGTGTGCCAGTCGAACCGCTATGTATACGGTTACAACCGTCATCACGCTTGTGACTACTGTCAGGTTCGCTCTCATTTATCTCAACTGGGATAATGGGAGTAAGGGGTTCCAGCAATGTAGATCTGGTCCCTTTAGAAGATTTCTGCTTCTTGTTCCATCTTTTCCTTTTAGGCTTAAGAATGGAAGTAAAGGGGTCCAGCAATGTAGATCTGGTTATCCCTAAAGAAGAGTTCTCCTTGTTGCCTCTTTTCTCTGTAGGAATAAGAGGTGTGAGATACTGTCCTCCGGTTTTTATGTTTTCTTCCTTAGCTGTTGAGGTTGGCCAAGGAGTGCACACCACAGTGTCTAGATAGTGGGCCCCCACCATATCTGCTTGAGTTTCAGCCTGAGGTAATGGTTTTTCCTCGCATATACTCGCAGTTTCCTCAACGCTAATGTTTTCTGCTTGCTGTTTTATCCTATCTTTTTCTGCCCTCTCAAGTAGCAGTTTTCGATGAATTTCTTCACTTTTACGCCGCATCCTTTCAGCAAATCCTTCCTGAATACACTCTATCTCTCTTTCTAATTCTTCTCTTATAAGCTGTACATCTCTTTCATACTCTACTTTCCTTAGCTGTTCCTCTCTTTCATACTCTTCTTTCCTAAGCTGTTCCTGCCTATTATATTCTTCTATCTCCAACTGGGGCTTTTTCTCTGCAGCATTACGGGCAACCATATAATCAAAAGTATCCATCTGGCATTTAATATATGTTTCTAACTGTGCCCCTACTCTACCATCAGCTATCCCGAATTTCCTTACATCTTTTTGGTACTCGGTACGTAAGTCCATTCTATCTATCAGGTCTATCCAGAGATAAATATGATACTTCCTCGAGTCAGGATAAGAAGGATATGTCAGAGCAATGTACAGTGAACTGGGCACCAGCGTAGACTATGACAGCCGCACAAAGATGTATATGATGCAAAGCAGCCTACCAGAATAACAGCCTATAGAATACTATAGCAGCAAAAAGACAAGCCTATCAATGATCAAAGCGATGTTACACTCAGTCACTAATTATTAATCTCAATGATATGATGTCAGCATGTAATATGTTCTACAATCTATATCAAATGAAATATGCAAGCAAAAAAAATCATCAATTCATAAACTCTAACTAAGCACTATAGATTAAACATTGATCAATGTTCATGAAATGTTCAATGATAGACAGTTAACTCATATGATTTCATCAATTAATTACTTGTACAGTTATTATAATTCTAATCTTTCCAGTTACCAATTACTAAGTATGATTTTAGTCTAAGAACTGGGTGAAGATTTAAAATGAAATCTATGAAATTAAAAATTTTGTTCATTAGTCTAGGGTCTGCCGGGTTTGATCGCTGGCGGGACGCCACTTGTGTCAGGTTTTAATTCTAGAGAGCGACACAACGGTTACATGATGTTATAAACCCCGAGACGAGATACCCAATTGTCGCGCGCCCACATGGGTAAATACACTGATATAGTGAGGGTGTGGGTTTGAACCTTAACAATGCCCACCCACGTGAGAAACTGGACTATTATCTAAGCTATGTTGATCCTAGACAGTCCTGGATAGTCAAGAAAACAGCGAGTGGCTCGTTCTATGACATGAAAGTTGCTGTACTTGTATCCACAGGAGTAGGAGAAGGGATAGATAGATATCAGGATACACCCACTGTGATATTATCTCGATACACAGTTAACCCCTGCGACTATTCTCCTCTCCTGGCATTACTTAAAAGCCCCCATCAAGTGATTTAAATATTTGTTAGCTGAAGTAAACTAATATGCACAAAGACACTTGAACCTAAGTACACAATTTACTCAACTATGTGGTAACAACATCAAACATGATTTATTTGAATAAATCGAAATTAAAATGAACTTGTTTAGGCTAGTAGAGTTGAAATGATGTGAATGATGAAATCATAAAGGTATTGGAAAGTAACAACCTTTGGACAGTTCTCGGCTAGAGACCCTGTCTATTTTTTTCCAGTTTGTCGTCCTCACTACTTTCTGCAGGTCGTTACACTCGACGGTCGGCAAATAATGGATGCCTACTAGTCCCTGCCCAATGTGGGAACTGGAAAAATGAAACCACAATGCCAAAATTTCTGTCTCAAGCTTAGGTTAAGCCCAACAGGTGGCATGTGCTGGACAGGATCTCATTTACCAGACCTAGAGTTCACCCCTTTATAACTTTTATCAAGCTCCTCCTACATTACGCCTAAAACCATTCTCATTCAAGGATGTCACAGCTCCTCCCTTGTGGGTAAGTTTATTCGCTGTCAGTCAGGGCTGTACAACACTTGTTTAAATTCCCACGCTCACATTCTACAGGTTCAATTAAGCTGGTCAAAGCTAATAGGCCAAGTCACACCTCCAGTCTACTTCACCTGTCATCACAATAAAATCAGACTTTGTCAATTCTTCTGCCAACCCTTTCGGCTCACTGTGTCAATATTGACGATCTGACTGGCACTCCAGTTTAGGTAACCTCAGGGGGAGATAATGGCAATTAGCCCTTGTTATCTGTTCCTGAAGGTCTGGCAGGGGGAATAAATATCTGACACCAACAAATGGTGTGCAAATCTCCAGTCAGTAAGTCTGCTTGGTCAGTCTTATCTCTGTACCTTAACACTTAACATCTGGGAAAAAGTTGTAGTGTTTGATATGACCAACGGTCCAGGAGAATTAAAGGTTTGATGTGGTCGTCTTACTTAGATTAAGGATGTATCCAAATCCCTATTTTCCTGTATACTTTCAAAATACAAAGAAATAAAAGTAGGTTGAGGAAAGACATTCTGGAGTCACCGAGCGTATTGTCACAGCATGTGTGTGAGTGTGTGAGTGTGTATGTGAGAGAGAGAGTGTGTGTGTGTGTGTGTGTGTGTGTGTGTGAAAGAGTGTGTTTAAGTGTGTGTGTTTGAGTGTGTGAGTGTGTATGTGAGATAGAGTGTGAGTGAGTGAGAGTATATATGTGTGTGTGTGAGTGTGAGTATATGTGTGTGTGTGAGTGTGTATACATGAGTGTGTGCATGTGTGTAAGTGTGTGTGTGAGAGAGTTTGTGTGAGTATGTGAGAGAATGTGTGTGTCAGTATGTGTGCGAGAGTTTGTTAGTGTGTGTGTGTGTGAGAGAGAGAGTGATTGTGTGTGAGTGTGTGTGCATGCGAGAGTTCGCGTGTGAGTGCCCGTTTTCTAGACTTATTATTCATAATCTGTTGTTTATCCCCCGATTAAAGCATAGAACCTCTAACTCACGCTAAACCATTCTATGCTTTGCTATCTCTGTCTTGTGCAGCTTCGCCGATCTCAGTCATCTTATCTCTAATCATCTTGTATATGAATGTCGACCTTTATCCTTTCTACCTTGTGAAAACATTCTACTTACACCATTATCAAGTATACCCAATGTGTGCCCTCTCCAGTGTCAGCGCCTTTTCCTCGCCTCCTCATTTTCCAGAATGTGTAGTTCTTCATTTAGCTAACCTTCTCTTGACTTTTGCAGAGAGTTGCATTCTGCATAAAAACTGACTCCATAACTCTGTCAGTCCCAAGAAATGTACCACGTGGCACGTGGCAGCAGCTAAAGCCCATGTGTTTTAAACATTATTCTGAATTTTATAGTCTTTACGCTTCATCTGAATATATAAAAGAAAATATTTTAACGTGTCTAATTTAGTGTCTGTTCCATCATTGAAACTAATGCTGAAAAAACTCTTGTTTTTCTCATGTTTCTCTTTTGTCATCTTTGAAATCTGTTGTTAATACTCCTGGAATTAAAAGAGTTGACTGGATATAGACTGGCTAAGCAAGATCATGGATTCACATAGTGAGATAGACAGTCAAAAAAGGTTTGCACTTTAGTACAAAGAAGTCAAGGCAAGTATCTGGACATAGGTGTCAAATTTAGTTCTTCTCTACATTTTCACCTTTCAAGGTGATGGACATCTCACACTTCTTCTTCACCTCTCCAATACCCTAATTGTAGAATTTTTCCAACTGGGGCCAGAACCAGATCTCTAGCTCAATCATCAAGTCCTAACTCCTTCATTAGTCAATTAATCAGGTGTCTTCTCCATAATGAAGGTTGGCTGCAATGAATTTTTAATTTCACATTTTTCTCAGCAACTTTTTTTTCATTCCCAGACAGCAGCTGAAAGACTATGTTAAAATGCAAAACATTTTTATCACCATTTGCAAGTGTGCTAACAGCTCACAGATGACCTCACTTTTGTTTTCAAGGAATCAATCAAACCAAGCTCAGATAACAAGTCTATGTACAGCACGACAATGACAACACTGAGCTCCTTACAGGTTTCACATTGTACAGGAGAGTGATGCCGGCCTCGAGGAGGTACTCCTGAGCCAGCCGTGAGACAGACTTCTCCACAACTACCACATTAGGCCTGTATGCCACCATTTTCATCACACAGTTTCTCATGAACTCTCTCTCCTATTATGGTAGGAGAAAGAGAAACAGTAAAAAGGTAAATAAAGTCAAGGATACTATTATAAATGACACTTCATTAGCAACATTTCCAGTTATTGGCGAGTACGTGAAAAATGTGATTATTATATATATACCATTATACCATTATATACCATTATACCATTATATACCATTATACCATTATATACCATTATGAACCATGAAAGTAAAATTATTACAAAATGATTATGACATAATTTGTTTCTTGCTGTAAACCATATTGAACCGTGATAGTCAAATGATTATTATATAAACTGTTTCTTACAGTAAATCTTTATGAACCATGATAATCCAATAATTACGACATGATCTGATTTTCACAGTTAACTTTTATGAGCCATATGAGTCAAATGATTATGATATTGTTTACTTAGGATGGCAAACCTTTACCAGCCATGAAAGTCAAAAATAGCTAACATATTTTTAAAAAGACCACTTCTTCTTCTTGTAAACTCTTGCAGAATGTTCTGGTTGTCTGTACACTTCTCTACTGTAGTCTCGTTCTAGAACTTGATCCATTTTACAGATCTGGTTTATCTATATGCAGACTGTTGGTTCCATGCCTATTTACTTTCCAGCATTTTTAATTTTGGTCACAAGGTTTGCCTTAATGTGTTATACTGGATGCAGTCTTGAAGTATGTGTTTTGCTGTCTGCTGCCAAAGATATAAAGAGTTAACATGCAGCAACAAGTAACATCCAAGGACAGAAACTCATAGGTAACCTGTAAAATCTGGGGCTCTAGAGAGGAGAATTTATTCTCCACTCTCTGAAACTCAATGGTGCCCTTGAGGAGGAGGATGAGAGGATTTGCAATCTTAGTCTTCATCTTCTTGTGTGCTACATTCTTGGTGAAGATAACTCCATGGAACAAAGATGTGTCACTCTTGTTACCACCTGGTACCTGTGAAACACATGGTGTATGTGCATTTATGTATTAGTATATATAACTCATGTCAACAATACTGCAGAACAAACATGTAACAACTGACACCAAACGAGGACTATTCAATATATTTTTGTTTACTAATACTGCAGTACCAGTGCCAAATATGTTGCATTAATAACAACAGGAAAATGAAAATTTGAAACAACAGAAACGAAATGTCTACAATAAATTCTAAATGTTTCAACATAAGACAGAATCAGACATGACAATATCAGGAAACAAACTCAGACAGAGTCAGAGCTAAACTACATCAAGAGACAACAGAAGAAATGGTTAAAATGTGTGTCAAGACTACCACGCGATAGTACACCACAAATAGAATTGACACTAAGACACAATGGAAGCACCTCTAGAGGTGGACCACACAAGTTATGGATAGAGGAATATCTGAGGCTGTGATTACCAGCACCTATGTAAGACACACTGCAGCTTCGATACAAAATCCTTGTATATAATGAAGAAGAAAAACTGCATAATGTACATCAAAGTCAGGCTGCCAACATAAATGAGAAAATATCTGAACCACTGTTATAAGTCACATATGTACACTCCCAAGATATTCATTAACATTCTGTAGAACATTTATTTTCATATTATAGATATCATTGATACTGACTGCATAATAACACTATTATGTTTGGTTTTTTTACAACAAAAGGCTATTTGAATTTGGAATAAAATTGCATTAAGTGCTGACATAACAGATAAGTTAAATAATGTATCATCAAAATGCAGATATCTTATATGAAAATATACACATTTCAAATTGAAACAACAGCCAAGTCAAATATGTACCTTTTTTATATGCACATAATTGCGTATGTCCATATCATCTCCCTCTAGTCTCACATCTGGGTGCACAAAGTGGCTGATCTGAAGAACAGAAATAAAACACAGTAAAAAATACCACAATTTCATTTCTTTTTCTTCAAAATGGTTTCCCTTTTACCCCGAGTGTCTGAAGGAAGTACATAAGAAGGTGCAGAATTAGTAACTGAGCAACTGATTTATGAAAATTCTTGCCCAGGTGACATGATCATTTATGCAGACAGATCAGTGTTGAGTATTTATTTGAAAAAAGGGATTTTTTCCACGCCTTTAGGCGTATAGGGCATATAGGGTTAGACCTATATTTTTATAGACCAATCGGCACAAGATGGGTGATGTGGTCAGCATCACGCCGGTCGCCTTTACTTCCCGGGACTGCACCCGGTATCCACTCAAGGCTGGGTTGACCTGGCAGCCAAGGTCATTATTGAAGAAAAAAAAAGTCCGGCTCCGCCAGGGAGCAAACCCACAACCATCCGATCCATGGCGAGTGGCTAGTCGCTCCACCACGGTGACTCCCAATCTGTGTTGAGAGGCAGACAAAAATGAAAATTTTTTTCTCCATTGCAAATAGATGTTGCTAATTATAACAAGGCCTAGGATAATTTACTACAGCTCTCTAGTTTAAGAATAGAGGTGGAGGCAGTCACAGTATCTTTTTGCTGGTTCGAAAACTAGCTGCACACAACACATGTTGTGATCCTACAGACTCACAAGGCATGCTGATAAAGCTGGACAACTGACTGCTTCATTCATAGTGGCAAGCGTTGCTTCAGAGCTTCCTTCAGATATTTTTTCCACATGGCTACATGGGGGAAAAAAAAAATTTTTATGGCCAAAGGAAAGGAGAACAATTCTTTGCTCTTTTCATATTTCTCCTGATGAAGGTAAGTATAAAACAGCAGTAACTAACTCTACCCTCACTCTTCTCATAACAGCTGTTGGAGTCTCAAAGATTCCACTTTGTTTTCATGGTAACTTCACTTCAACCCTACCATATAAAAACATAAGGTAGGACACAACGAAATCACCAGGACAAACACTGAAAGAAGTACCTGTGTGATGCAACTGTAGATAATCATCTCCCAGCTGGACAACAAACACTGCTCACTCAACATCTGCCGAGTCAAAGCATGCCACAGACCACTGTGAGCTCTTCTATGAAGGAGACAGTATTTTATGTAATCAAACGTAGGCTCAAAAAACAATGACCTTAATCCTAAATGAATCACATTTATAAGAAACAATGTAAACACCAAAGCTCAGTGGTCACAGGGTTGAACTCCCTGGACATTTATTACAATTGATTAAGACGTCTAGTTTCTTCTGCTTCTTTCTCTCGTCATCTAGTTTCTTAGGAATTAATCAAGTAACAGAAAGTGTATTGATTGGCACTCATAGAAAGAAGCAGAAAGATAGAAGAACACACTAGACAACATAAAAATCGAAAGCTATAGTTACCGTGCCGGGAATTGAACCTGTCACCTCCAGACGGTGTCTGCGCCTCGCCATGGATACAAGTGCACTAAGAACATGGTCAACCAGGCACCCCCTAATATTTATTTATAGTTTCTTAGGGCAGAGTTTTAGAGCCAGAATACAAAAGCAAATGCTGTCACCTAACAGTTAACCCCACTGCTTAGATGCCCAAATTTCTCCTTTTCAGCAAAACAGCAAATAATCAATAGCATCTTTACCCTACTTTATGTTATCAGTGCCAAACACAGACAATGAACAGGGAACTAGAACAGAAAAAAAACTACATGTGAAATGTGCTGTCTCCGCAAGGGCACTAACAACACAAGAAGAGACAGGGTTATGAATACCAGCATTAAAGACAGAATAAGACCATGTCTGAAATATTACAGACAGACAAAGAATTAAATAGTTCAGCCATCTATTGAGAATGCAGCCAGATCAAATATCATATGAGAATTTTTACAGCAGAAAATCTGGGAGGCAGGCAAGAGGAAGATGAAGAAAGAAATGGATAAATGGTATAGCAGAACTGCAAAAAGATGAACAAATAAATCACTCGAAAAGCGCAAGACAAATTCAGAAAACCATGACACTGGGTAAAAACCTGGTATCGGTGAGATGACAAAAGAAAGAAGAAAAAGAAGTTTTAGAGAATTATAAGCATATGTTTCTTTCTAACGTGCTTTTTGAAAAAGTACATTTTTAAGATGGGGTCAAAGAGTCAGGCTGTTATTTCATCATCTGTGTGGTCTTCTCTGTGTTAATTATAAAACTTCAGCATGGCTCACTGTGGTAGCAAGGCATTCTTATCAGTTAGTCAAACCAACCCATCTGTTGCTATTTAAACCCTTTTGCCCCGTAAATACTGGAAAAATGGGCCAAGAAACCATGGCAATTCCTGAAAAAAATCCCCAAAAAACAATATTTGTACACAGATAACTAATAACATGTTTTAAAATGTATTTATAAATGTAAAAAATATATAAAGATATATAAAAGAGGTAACTAGAAACATGAATAGAGTGAAGCAGCAAATGGAATACATTCCTTGTGCCTAAAACAAATATGGACTGGATGACTAATGTAACATCCTTTAAAACTAAGGCTTACAGAAACATTTTACGTCAACATAACTTTAAAAAAGCTGGATTCACAAGACCCCCCCATGCTATTTTTAGTTAATCTATTCATATCGGGTCTCCCTGCCACTACATTAACAGATGGTGTTCTTGCATATAGGCAGGGGGATGGCAGGCAAGAGACAGCTCAGAGTTACAGAACTTACTTCAGCCTTTCATATGCCAGCTTCTCTCCATTCTCCTCCCTGAGCTGGTCCACGGATCTCCAGCCATGAGGACAAGTTACCAGATCTGAGCTTGGCACTGGAGGGTTGCGTAGAAACAGTGCGCCTAGAGGATGTCACAAACATTTGTTTAGGTTTCAAATTTCACTGAGGTAACTTAAACTTACTATCTGATCTGACCAAAGAGAAAGGGGCGGGGGAGGGGGATATGTGTGTGCAGATGTGTGAACTTACACCTACTGTCTGTCTAGAGATCTGTGTCTGTTTGTGAACTTACGCCTACTGTCTGTCCAGAGATAGATAGATAGATAGATATATATATATATATATATATATATATATATATATATATATATATATATATATATATATATATATATATATATAGAGAGAGAGAGAGAGAGAGACAGACAGACAGACAGACAGACAGACAGACAGACAGACAGACAGACAGAGACAGAGAGGTGCGTGTGTGCACGCGCATAGATGTGTTTGTCCACAGAGAGCACCACACAGAGCAGGAAACTCCGTAGCTTCAGGACACTACCACAGATATCTTAAATGACAAATGATTTGCAATGTTTCAAAAAATAACAAAATAAGGAGCCTTTAAAATCCCACATTTTTGGGGGGATCAACTGACACTCAACCACAGATGTAATCATTATCAATTTTGCTGCTTTTACTTCCCATTTTAGGGTGGGTTGTCCTAAAGTTTTAAAATCTGTCATGATTGAGACTCTGAATCTATACTACCAGCCCAGTAAGCAAGTCTGCTGACCACTGAATTAGTATCCATTTGGAATCTTTTATTGTTAATAATTCTAGCAGTGAAATGAAAATGTTATCAGAACAGGTGATTTGTGGATTATATGGCAAATTTATAATCTCTGATGGTATGTACCTTTCCATGCCATGACAAAAGAGTGTAAACAAACTTATAATCTCTGATGGTATGTACCATCCCACGCCATGACAAAAGAGTGTAAACAAACTTATAATCTCTGACAGTATGCACCATCCCATGCCATGACAAAAGAGTATAAACAAACTTATAATCTCTGATGGTATGTACCTTCCCATGCCATGACAAAAGAGTGTAAACAAACTTATAATCTCTGACAGTATGCACCTTCCCATCCCATTACAAAAGAGTGTAAACAAACTTTAATCTCTGACAGTATGTACCTTTCCATGCATGCATGTCAAACAAGTGTAAACAAACCTAATCTCTGACAGTATGTACCTTTCCATGCCATGACAAACGAGTGTAAACAAACTTATAATCTCTGACAGTATGTACCTTCCCATGCCATGACAAAAAAGTGTAAAGAAACTTATAATCTCTGACAGTATGTACCTTCCCATGCCATGACAAAAGAGTGTAAACAAACTTATAATCTCTGACAGTATGTACCTTCCCATGCCATGACAAAAGAGTGTAAACAAACTTATAATCTCTGACAGTATGTACTTTCCATGCATGCATGACAATCAAGTGTAAACAAACTTATAATCTCTGACAGTATTTACCTTTCCATGCCATGACAAAAGAGTGTAAACAAACTTATAATCTCTGACAGTATGTACCTTTCCATGCCATGACAAAAGAGTGTAAACAAACTTATAATCTCTGACAGTATGTACCTTTCCATGCATGCATGACAAAAGAGTGTAAACAAACTTATAATCTCTGACAGTATGTACCTTTCCATGCATGCATGACAGAAGAATGTAAACAATCTTCAAATATTGTCCTCCTTAGTGCCCAGTTTTTAAACCTTCGAAAAAAAAGTTTGTTTATTTGTTCCCTTTGTAAGTCTTTCGAGTTGTTATGACATGCTTCTCAAGTAAAATGTATCCATCCTAAATAACAAACATTTTGCAATGTAAGTGACAATGTCAGATTTACCCCAGTCAGACTTGAAACCACATTAACTTGAATATTTATGTTTATTTCCTCAATATGTGCTACAAATGAAGCATATGTGAACAAAGACAGCGTACCTTTCAGAAATTCGTCTCCAAGTCCATGAACTGAGGAGTCTTGTCTCGGAAGGGGCTCGTCAATGATGTCTCGGGATATCATTGTCATAACTGACATATTTTAAAAATGCATTCAATACTACTTAGTGCAACTCATACATAGTATGTAGATAAGTATTTATAAGACACTAATATACTGAACTCTGTTGTTAAATTCATCCTGATGAATGAACGTTCAAACAAAAAAAGTTGAAACTTCATTGCATCAGACTTTATCCCAAATGGCTTGGTCTCTCTCCACAGAATGGCTAGCCACCCCTCGAGTGTTGTACATCACGCTCTAGTGATGATCCCCCGGGGTTTAATCCCAGCTATTGGTGATTTGGCAGCAGACCGCCTTGTATCAGTTTCAAAAATGGTATTGAGAGCTGACCATTCAGTAAGCAGTGGCAAGCTATTGAGTGTAAATTTTCCTAGAAAAACCACAACTAAAAAATGTTGGGGTTGGTTCTGCAACGTCCTGTAAAGGATACGCAACTGACTTTGATATTTATAAAATGATTATGTTCATATAAGACAACTAAATATCTTACAATATATTCACACAAGTTATATTAAATACATAAAATAATGTTCATATTTATCACAATAACTATATTTGTTCCCGTAAATCTCATTAAATACATTAAATGATTTTATATTAGACTAAATATGCATACAGAAAGTCACACAAATATGTTAGTCAACTGAGGACTCAGAATTTCTTAAGTAATTTGTTTAGGGATGAAATTGCACAATTTATTTATAAAGTTAGATAACAACTCTTTAGACACATAGCTACAAAATAATTGCATGTTCAGTTGTCATGCTGTGAAACAACTGTTTCATGATGAGAAATAATAACTAGCTTTTGGAAGCAAATGAACAATGTGGAAAAGTAAACAGATAATCATGACTGAAAAGAATGGTGCAGCAAGACGTGACTAGGGAATCTGGCTGACACTCAGTGTTCATGATAAAGACTTCCTAATGCTACTGGAAATTTGCCCTGGTGCTGAAGATGAAAACAGAGTGTTTATGGGAATGCCCTAAATGCTGTGATATCAAGTTAAGAACCACCCTCATGTGGAAGACTCAGGTTCAGTCCTCTGTAAGATGATATAATTTTTGTTTTTTGTTTGCTGTAGGCACACACAAAAACCTTAGCCTACACAGTTCATGGCTACGGCACTAGACATTCAGCCTTAAATCCTAAGGCTGACCTAAAACTGCAATAAAAAATGGTAATTAAGGCAGTAAGACAGTTAGATATAACACAATAAAGCAACTATTGTTTGAATAAATTACTAAATATTCATACTGGAAGTCACAAAACAAGTGTGGAACCTGTATCTGGTTAAATAGACAATACTATTTATACTTACTTTTGGGCATTTCAGAGAAGCTTCCACTCCTTGATGTCTCATTAGTGTAAAACAAAGTCTTTGAGTCAGATTCAGAAGAATTGCTCTTCTGTCCTTCAGAATCCACCATAGTCGAATGATGGTCATCAGAAGGGCTTGAGTGGGTTAAGTTAGGGCCATCTGTGAGAGGTAGCAAGATCAAGAAAATAAGGGTACCTGCATTCAAGTGGGTATCAATGAGATAAATGAATACAAACTACAAATAAGCAGCTTAATGAGGGGGCAAGGAAATACAAACAGAAACCAAAGAATATTTCAGCTGAAGCCTTTACTGATGAGTAGTCTCTACATCAAGAGATAACAGATTTGATTATTCAGACACTAGATTTAATTGCCCGGCTTTGCCCTGGATATATAAAGAAAGTTTTTGTCTCATCTTGGTCTTTACCGCTGCCGTATATGTAGTGAAAATTCCACGGAGGAGCGAGCACAATATGAGCCTTCCGTTTTAAGTTTCTCTTTTGGACACTCTTATTTCCTAACCCCTCAATGTCTCATCTCAGTGCATGGCAAATGATTCTCTGAATTTTTTGCAGCAAATAAATTTTTACAGGGTGTGAGAGCTGGCCTCTGAGTCACAGCCTGAGGTGGAGTGGTAGGAGCGTCCTAGACCAGTTTTTTTCCATAGTTAGCGCTACAGCCACCTTAGCGCCCCTTTAGGATGACGGAGCAGTGACTAAGGGTTAAAGTTAAGCAAGTTGGCAGTCGCCCAGATCTGACCGAGAAAGCAACAACCTGCTCTAATGCCCATATCTTAGTTTACATTTCAAGGGAGACAACAACAAAACGTAATTTTTCACAAAATAATGTTAGGGGTGTAAAAGGGAAAAAATATTCAAAGGGATATAACTCCAGCAAAAGTTTACTTTTACTGATTGTCACAATAAATAAAAGAAATGCACAATAACCTGGCTGCCAATGTAACTGTTAAACTGAACACTGCAACCATAATGGCAACTGAAAAATGAATCCATGTAATGGTCACGGTTTGGAAGGAGTTAACAGTTCACTTCTAATAAACACACAAACTACAGAAATGGTTGATGATTTATAGTACAGATGTTTAACGACTACTACCAGATAGCTCATCACAGTCTGCTCTCTCACTGAGACACAGTGAAAGCAGAGCTAGACCATAACCATGCAAGCGATGGACAGATGGCATATCTGGAGCTGTGAATACCAACCAAACCATTCAATGAGTGCTAACTGGTCTATACAAATGTGTGGATAGCACCATATGCATCTGAAGGCATGAAAATGGTCCTTTACATTTACTTATATCAGTTTGGCATATCAACTTACATTTCTGTGTTTATGTCCCATTTGTACAGTCTCAGTGTTGTATTTTTCGCAATGCCTTAAGACAGAAGAAGTATGTCAGAGAAAAAATATAAACAGAAAGAGAATCAGGCAGGAAGAAAGAAACAAGCAGAACAAAGAGTAATAAGAATGAGTGAAGAGTAAGAGAGAGACAGAGTGAACTGAGAAAGTGAGAATAGGTCACAGAGATGTACAGAAGCAAACAATGAGAGAGTGAACAGAATAGGAGCAAGAGAGGGTCAGGAGAAAAGTAGAGGAGCGAGGTGGAGGAGAGACAGAACAAATAAATAATAAACAATCTTTCAGAAACAAAAAAAAAAACAGATAATGACGGACAAAAGAAAACAAACAATGAGAGAGTAAACAGCAGGAGAGAGAGGGGGGGGGGTGTGTGTGTGGAAGACAGAAGAAAATAAAGACAGAAAAAAAAGACCATGGCAGACAAAAACCAACAAATAATGAGACAGAGAGTAAACAGGTAGAGAGAGACAGAAAGAAAAAGAATGAGCGGTTGTGGTGAGAGAAAATATCCATCATACCAACACCATCATCCCCAGTTCGGCCAATCTCCTGGAACCACAGTGGTTCATTCTTCTCCATTTCCTCGGTGATGGTGGACATGGTCTCAGGCTGCCCCAGGATATCCAAGGCTGAGGCCGTCTGTGTAACAAACAAACAAAATCTTGGCTCTCCTGTCAAATCCGGACGAAGAATAAAAAGCCTTGGACGACTTAGTCAGAGTTCTCTCCCTTGGCCGCACTGCAAACAGTGATCGGAAAAGCCAACGAAACAAACCACACACTTACCTATCATCATACGGTTGCGTGTAGGGCTGCGTACGGTTGCGTGAGGCATCGTGAAGGGATGCGTGGTCATCATATGGTTGCGTGCAGGGTTGCGTACGGTTGCTTGAGGCATCGTGAATGGTTGTGTAGTCATCATGCGGTTGTTGGGTTAGAGTTAGGGGTAGGGTTAGGGTTAGGGGTAGGGTTAGGGTTAGGGTTAGGGGTAGGGTTAGGGTTAGGGTTAGGGTTAGATGTGAAAATTTTGACGTAGGGTTTCGAAATACTGGCCGACAATCTGATGTTTGTGGGCGTGGCGCCACTGAAATTCTGCTAAATATGACGCCAATAGTGTGCGGCTGGTGCCCAATCGTTGGCGAATTGTGCGTTTGACCAGCATCCAGAGGCCCTCAATTGTTTGTGTGTGTATATGTGACTGTGTACGGCGTTGTCGATTGTTTCGTTGGCTTTTCCGATCACTGTTTGCAGTGCGGCCAAGGGAGAGAACTCTGACTAAGTCGTCCAAGGCTTTTTATTCTTCGTCCGGATTTGACAGGAGTACCAAAATCTTTGTCATACAAGCTAAAACACACACACAATTTGACAAGAGCCAACATTTAACCCATTAGACCTTAGTCTACTGTGGAGCTACTGAGGAGTAGATCAGAGCACCTATGGATCTTTCTGGTGTTCTGTAAAGATAGTCCTCATTATTCACTAAAAAATGTATACAAAGAAGGTTTGGTTATAGAACATCCACTGCTGTCTTGAAGAATATTATGTCATGAGGCCCCAATCTCTTCTCACTAATCACTAACAAATGAAGACTGTCATCACACACTGATCTTAATATAACAAATGAAATGTTTCTTCTTCTTCTTTCGTTCGCCTGAAATAAGTTATCTATATCAGCAGTTTTGTCTCTTGTATAAATTTCACTGTCGTTGTTAGTTCATTCAGTGGTCCATAGAGTTTACGTTCCACTGTTGTTCTTTCTGGCCAAAAGGTTTGCCTTAATGTGTCAAAATCGGTGCAGTCCTGGAGTACATGCTCTGCGGTCTGGGGCACATTTCCACAGGTGCACATGGCTGATACACCTATCTTGAATTTTGTGTACATGTGGTTACGTAATCGGTTGTGCCCTGTTCTGAGGCGGAAGATATGAAATGTTTTCTTTCTATCCTTTTCTTCATCTGAAAAACTAAGACACCTCTCTACAACTTTAATCTAACAAGTGCAGATTGTGTTTCTTCTTCCTTCTCTCCCTCCTCTCTTCTCCTTCCTTCTCTCCCTCCTCTCACTTTACATCCTCTGTGACAGCCAAAGTAATGACAATGTATACATTCTGCTTCCTGTATAAGCGTTCATTTAAAGCCAGATATAAAGCAAGTGATATTAACACAATACCTACCTCTCCTGGTCTATACAGAGTAAAATCATCTTTAAAAATAATGGACTGGTGCCCCACACAGTCGAGGTAGCCAGCATACAACAGAGCTTGACCAATGGCTAAAGCCTGATCCCTGTAAAAAAAAAGTGAATTTTATCAATTATGATCAACCATGTAATTAACCTGTTTCCTAGGAAACTAACACGTAATTTACCAGTTTCTACAAAACTACCATGCACCTACCAATTTTCTAGCAAAATAGGTTTTTTTAGGAAACTTCTAAGTAATCTTATCAGTTTTCTAGGAAACTACCATATAATCTACCATTTCACTAGGATACTATCTGCCATGTAATTTATTAGTTTCCTAGGAAACTGTCTACCATGTAATCTACCGGTTTCCTAGAAACTATCTACCATGTAATCTACCAGTCACCTAAGAAACTATCATATAACTACCAGTTTTCTAGGAATTCTACGAATCTGCCATTTAATCTACCATTTTCATTGGGAACTATCTACCATGCAATCTATGCTCTCTCCCACCCACCCGCCCTCTCCTCTCTCTCTACTCTCTCTCTCTCTCCTCGTCTCTCCTCTCTCTCTCTCTCTCTCTCTCTCTCTCTCTCTCTCTCTCTCTCTCTCTCTCTCTCTCTCTTCTCTCTCTCTCTCTCTCTCTCTCTCTCTCTCTCTCTCTCTCTCTCTCTCTCTCTCTCTCTCTCTCTCTCTCTCTCTCTCTCTCTCTCTCTCTCTCTCTCTCTCTCTCTCTCTCTCTCTCTCTCTCTCTCTCTCTCTCTCTCTCTCTCTCTCTCTCTCTCTCTCTCTCTCTCTCTCTCTCTCTCTCTCTCTCTCTCTCTCTCTCTCTCTCTCTCTCTCTCTCTCTCTCTCTCTCTCTCTCTCTCTCTCTCTCTCTCTCTCTCTCTCTCTCTCTCTCTCTCTCTCTCTCTCTCTCTCTCTCTCTCTCTCTCTCTCTCTCTCTCTCTCTCTCTCTCTCTCTCTCTCTCTCTCTCTCTCTCTCTCTCTCTCTCTCTCTCTCTCTCTCTCTCTCTCTCTCTCTCTCTCTCTCTCTCTCTCTCTCTCTCTCTCTCTCTCTCTCTCTCTCTCTCTCTCTCTCTCTCTCTCTCTCTCTCTCTCTCTCTCTCTCTCTCTCTCTCTCTCTCTCTCTCTCTCTCTCTCTCTCTCTCTCTCTCTCTCTCTCTCTCTCTCTCTCTCTCTCTCTCTCTCTCTCTCTCTCTCTCTCTCTCTCTCTCTCTCTCTCTCTCTCTCTCTCTCTCTCTCTCTCTCTCTCTCTCTCTCTCTCTCTCTCTCTCATGCTGCTTCAAACCTCAGAAAGTAAACTGTATTTTGCCTGCCAATAGCAAACAATAAATTCCTAACCTGGACATTCCATAGGCAACTGCACTTAACCATGCAGCCCTAAATCAAGACTGGCTCCAGCTGATGGGCCATGCTGCTGACGTCACCAAACCGGGCTAATGATTCGTTAGCGCAGCGATTCTCAAACTGGGTTCCGCGAGCGTATGTCAGTGGTGCCGTGGCAATAAGCAAGAATTTTTTTCCCACATCCGCTTGACATTAAATTTGCACTGTTTTTTTTTCTTCTTTTCTTAAGTATTCAAACCGCATTAAGGGCATGTGTGTAGAAAAAAAAATTTACCAGACGAAAAAAGTTTCAGAAACACTGCGTTAGCGTATTGTTAGCCCGATTTGGTGATGTCAGCAGCATGGCCCGCCAGCTGGAGGGGGTCTTGCCCAAATCCTCAGATTATAAATTTCTGATGATGGGAGAAGGAAGGAAATATAGGACAGAGCCTAAAATATTACAGTCTCTTACAAGATTATCTTTATTTCAATCTTCCTCCTCATATGTTTCATTTTTGCCTGTAATTCTCTTCTCCGTGTGTTTTAGGGCTCCCCCTATTTTTTTTATAGCCCTGTTGGTTCAGTGACAGGATAGTCATCCGTTTGTTGCTACAGGCAAGATGCATGCTCTCAAAATTTTAACTTTGAATTCCTTGCTGGTGCTTAACAAGACTTTTAATGCTGTTTAATCTTTGTATTGCTATGGCCATTCTCGTTTTGACTTCTGTCGCAGTCTTCATTGCTATTTATTATAGAGACTAGATATTCAAAGTCTAACATTTTCAATTTCTTCAGTATTAATTATTTTTTGGTGACAGCCAGTTTTGTCTGTGGACATTACTTTTGTTTTCTTTAAATTCAAGAATAGGTTTTGATCTTCACAGTATTTTTGGACAGACATAATTAAATGCTCTACTCCCTTTACATTGTTCGAAAGGAGGACTGTGTCATCTGCACAGTGAAGTTCGAGAATAGAGTTGCCACCAACTATGAGCGGATCATCACTGTCAATAGCCTGAAATTTGTGACACTTCTCATTATGTTTTCTGTGTATATATTGAACAGGTATGGTCCGAGAATGCACCCCTGCCTAACTTCCCTTTGCACCCCAAATCAATCCGATGTTTCACCAGCTGCTCAAAAAATATACTACAGCTTATTTTTGGGCATCTCATATTTTCTACTTTTTTTTCCCCCAAAACAAAAATCTACACTGATTCAAATGTAGTCACATCATCTTCTTCTGGAATATCATCATAACTCTTCAATCCTGATTCCGGCCTGAATTTCTTGCGACTCCATTTTCTGCAGAAAAAGTTGCCCCATTCGCCATCATTATCAAGCATTCACCAGTAGCATCTGTTTTCTGACAACAAATCTCTCATTCTAGTCGATGATCTTAACTAGGTCTTATTTTTGGAGTAGGGCTAGCATTGAGAGCATCCTAAAAAACTGTGCTAGGGTTTAGTTTTAGGGTAGTTTCTTATTTTTGAGGAAACACTGTATAATTTCATTCCTTCTATTCACCCAAGCACCAGTTCATGAATATTTATAACTTATTAGTAATCATCACAGCATTTCATTGTTCTTAATTTAAAGCTAGCACACAAAATAGTGCTGACTCACCGAGAAGCAGCTTTATCTCTCTTGATCAACCAGTCGACCAACTCCTTACCCACAATGCAATTCTGGTGGGTGCGAAGCCGAACCCTCATTGTCTGGATCTCAACTCCAGCCTCTATATCACAGACTTGACGCCACAGCTCTCGCAGCTGCACAGAGTCCTGAACACACAAACAAACAAAAACATACTATGAAAAGTTATTTCTATCATTCTTATCCAGTTTTGTGTAGACTTTTTCTTCCTTGCATTTAATGGATGTAAACTCCAGCAGAAAGTTTTAATTGTTTGTCTATTTTCGGGACTCTAGTCTTTTTCCAGAGCTTGAGTGTTGTGTGCACATCCACCTTATACTCTGGCTTATTTGTATGCAGACTTCTGGTTTCTTGCCTCTCACATAAATGCCCTCTGACTTCAAAAGGAAATACTGATTCTGTCCATGCTGGCCACAACCTATTAAAAAAAAACTGTTTCTAGGATGGCCTCAGAGAGGGGGAGATGGGTCTTGACCAGTATGAGCCCTAGCCCTGGTGCACCACCATGTGCGGTTCAGTATTTCTGCATCCCTTTGTGTAAACAAAAGGGCATGGTTGTGAATTTGTGTTTACACTTATAAAATAAGCAGTTACATTTGAGTGTGGTGGATATTTGTAGTTCATTTGAAAGGTTTGCTTCACCTTATTTAATTTCCTATCGTAGTATGCACCTGATGAGGCGCAGCAAAACATGCCTGGTAATATCGAGGAATATAGTCAAAAAAACACATAGGACCAAGATCTGTGCAGACATGAACAGTTATGCCATCTGGTATGGCACATGATGATGATCTGATAATACTTTCTCCATCTTGTCTATATTGAAAGAAAAATACCCAAGTGTGTCATATATTCTGTCATATTTTAACTACAAAGTTTTTACTTCAGTCATTTATTCTAATAAATTTGTTCTGTCCCTCGCAGTATATGTGAGCCTAGAGTTCATGTTAGCCACTAGTTAGTCGAGGTTACAACTTCACTGCAGAATGGTCACCCCATAACTGCTCCTTGCCTGTGCCTGAGGAAATCACACAAAATCTTCTGCACTGTGCCATTTGAAAACTAGTTTAAAAAAACTTGTCAGAACCAGCAAAATCTTGCAGCATGCACATGCAAAGTAAAAGTATACAAAGCTGCTGTCAGATGTGCCAATGCTAATGGACCCACACCATAACTGCAGCTCACTGTTGGCGCAGATGGTCAGTCACGAAAGCCGGCATTCTACCCAAAGTAGCACAAGCCATTCTGAATTTACTCAGTCAATGTTATTTTAATGTAGTCAAAAACATGCCCCAGGCACAATTGGATCCCCCCAAAAAATTGCATGAAATCTGCAGCTCACAGTGTAGCAATTCGCACTCAGCTCAGTAGCTGGGTGACGAATAGAAGACAGCATTATACCATATTCTCTATGGACCAAAGAAATGTGTACAGTCAGCTGTTTAGTACTGAAAGATATACAGTTTAAAAAAAGAGTTTAAGAACTGCCTGGAAGAGAAAGAATTATATGTCTTTCACTGTTCACTAAGTGAACGATTCTGCTTCCACATTATCAAAATGAAAGAATGCCTGACCTAAAACTCAACTGATGAAACCAAATGTACCATAAGAAAATAATTTTCAAATATCCTGTCACTTCGACTTGTATCCAGAGTTAATAAAATGTTCACAATGGTAAATAATAGTTTTCCAAACTGTTTAAAACACATAATGTTCCCAAAGTCCATTTGTTTCTCCCAAAGCTACTTCAACAACATTTATATTTAAAATAGGAGGAAGAAAATTAAATAGTGCTTTGCATATCAATATCACTGTTACCTCATTTACTGAGGAAGAGAGATAAATATCACCAATGTCTGCAGTTTTTATTATAGGAAACAATGTCTGCAGTTTTTATTGTAGGAAACAATGTCTGCAGTTTTTATTATAGGAAACAATGTCTGCAGTTTTTATTATAGGAAACAATGTCTGCAGTTTTTATTATAGGAAACAATGTCTGCAGTTTTTATTGTAGGAAACAATGTCTGCAGTTTTTATTATAGGAAACAATGTCTGCAGTTTTTATTGTAGGAAACAATGTCTGCAGTTTTTATTGTAGGAAACAATGTCTGCAGTTTTTATTGTAGGAAACAATGTCTGCAGTTTTTATTGTAGGAAACAATGTCTGCAGTTTTTATTATAGGAAACAATGTCTGCTCTTTGTATCTAAGAAAACAATGTCTGCACTTTTTATTATAGGAAACAATGTCTGCACTTTTTATTATAGGAAACAATGTCTGCACTTTTTATTTTAGGAAACAATGTCTGCACTTTTTATTTTAGGAAACAATGTCTGCACTTTTTATTTTAGGAAACAATGTCTGCACTTTTTATTATAGGAAACAATGTCTGCACTTTTTATTATAGGAAACAATGTCTGCACTTTTTATTATAGGAAACAATGTCTGCACTTTTTATTATAGGAAACAATGTCTGCAGTTTTTATTATAGGAAACAATGTCTGCAGTTTTTATTATAGGAAACAATGTCTGCAGTTTTTATTATAGGAAACAATGTCTGCAGTTTTTATTATAGGAAACAATGTCTGCAGTTTTTATTATAGGAAACAATGTCTGCACTTTTTATTATAGGAAACAATGTCTGCAGTTTTTATTATAGGAAACAATGTCTGCAGTTTTTATTATAGGAAACAATGTCTGCACTTTTTATTGTAGGAAACAATGTCTGCAGTTTTTATTGTAGGAAACAATGTCTGCAGTTTTTATTGTAGGAAACAATGTCTGCACTTTTTATTGTAGGAAACAATGTCTGCTCTTTGTATCTAAGAAAACAATGTCTGCACTTTTTATTATATGAAACAAGACTGCATTTATTATTACGGGAAGCAATGTTTGCCAAACAGCTGAGGGATGATTCAAAGCTGGTTCTTGTATAAAATAACTGTATCCTATATTCTTATTTTATGTCATTAAAAATGGTTAACTTTAATGGCTGCTAGCATTTTGTCCAACATTCACATATTATACAGAGTAGCAAGATGTGACCATAATGTTAACCAAACATTGACAACTGGTAATACAAAAATGTCCAAATGTAACCACAGTCTCAACACTACCTGAATGAGCAGTTTGCTTTCCAACAAGAGGTTCTCCTGACTGGAGAACTCTGACTGAGGAGTCAAGTCAAAAGGTGTGTGCATATCTGAGGTAATCATTCCTTGTAGATCAGGTAGTGAATCAACTCTGAGGGCAGACAACATAAGTGAGTTATTCAGTATGACATCATTAATTACAGTACTCCAAAAGCAGATGTATCAATAAGTGAACTATGAATGGCAGACATCAGTATGAGACTTCAGTAAGACATAAATACAATGGAACCTAGGTTCTGAAAAGGTCATCAGAAACTGAACTGTTGGAAAATTAAAATCACTTCCTTTATCAGAATTAACTGAGACTGTTAAGCATTGGCTTTTGTGGTTTTTCTAGGCAAATTTACCTCCAGTAGTTTGCCATTGCTTTCTGGACTATCGGCTTCTCGATACCACTGTCGAAACCAACGCAGGGCACAAGGCCCAAAGCTGGGATCAAACCTGGCACCCTAGCATTACAAAGCGCGTGTGCAATGCCTAAACCACAGACACAGACAATTCATACATACAACTGTGTAAAAGAACAATTATTATACACTATTATTACCACACATACAAAAAAAAAAAAAAAAAAACATTTTTGCAGGATAAACACAACGAATAGATAGATTATAGATACAAATATAATCTTCTTGTTCATCTTCTTTGCATTCAGCTGCTGTAACTCCCGCAGAAAGTTCTGGTTTCAACCACTTCTGGACTTTAGTCTTGTTTCAGATCTTGAGTTTTGCATGCACATCCGTTTTACAAATCTGGCTTAAATGTAGCAGACTACTGTTTCCTGGCCTCTCAGGCCCAACACACCCAATTACAGCGAACCCCTAATTAGCTGCCTTGTATGACACGCTTGCTTAGGAATGTCTATTTTTCTCCCCCAAAACAAAGCAGTGCAACCCATACAATGAAAATAATAACAGAAAATATAAGAATAATTAATTTTGAATCTCCACGGGGAGACAAGGAAATAAAGTAAATAAGGGATCTGGGTCAGTTCCATGATAATCTCCCCACTTTACACACTAGCTCACTTCTGATTCGTCGACCTCCAGTCATCCGACCTTCGCACACTGCAAGGGGGGTGTTCGGCTATGCCCTTGATACCGCGTGTTGTATATTTGAGTACGCCATCGCTTTCAACACTACAGAAACATTTAGAAACTGGGTCTAACCCACAACCCTCCTAGAGAGTGCTGCAACCTATGTCGCAGGTATTCTCTTTCTCGGAAGAAAAACGTAAATGCAAGACAAGCCAGAAAGGAAACAACATAGCCGTAACTCCCGGATAGCAAACCAGTCTAAAAAAATTATCAATGGAAGGTGACCTGGTTTGGCTCAGGAGATTATTGTGGAACTAACTGGGATCTGCAACATGTTCACAATAATACTGAACACATCTCACCTGATCTGTGAAGTGACATCCTCCATACCCAGAGACAGTTTTGGTGAAATTGACCTGCGGCCAAAGTCAAAACTTCCAGAGTCATTACACAACTGAGAAAATGCCCGTAAGTCTTCTAGGCCCTTGTAGTCACCAGTAGACGCATATCTCTGAACCACTCTGCAGCAGTATGTACAAACTCGTATACCGCCTGCAAGTTAGTACAACAGAACATATGTATGTGGCAGTCTGTACTTTCAATCAATCAGTTAATCAGGTTATGCCTCCACAAGAAAGGCTGGCTGCAGTGGATCTTAAATACACTCTGTCTTTCACCCAAGATGTACACTCTCAGACTGTTGTTTGTCCATCTCTTTATGTTATCTTTCCACTTGTATCACTGTCTGCCTCTTGTTCACTTGCCTTAAACTTTTCTTTTCAGTATGGTTTTTTTTTTATATAAGACTGTTATCTCTTTTAATCACTGGCAGCTGGAATCGAATGCAGCACTCAGGCATTACAAAGCGTGTTCATAATGCCTAAGTCCCAACAGCTTCACAATGCTGGGATGCCGGGTTCGATCCCAGCTGTGGACGATTAGTCTTGATTTGGTTTCGACAGTGGTACTGAGAGCTGACCGTCCAGAAGGCATTGGCAAACTGCTGAACATAAAATTTGCCTAGAAAAACTACAACAGAAAAAAAAATGCTGTGGTTGGTTCTGCAATGTCCCATACAGGATATGCAACTAACTTTTATGTCTTTTAATATGGCCAAAATAGATCACTTCTATCTTTTATTCCTCCAGCAACTCTTTTCATTCAGTCTTTTCAGAACCTCTGTATTTGTTTCTTTTTGTTTCCATGAGATGTGAACCATTCTTATATATAAGAGTAACATATAACTTGTTCTAATTTCACTCTGTTTACTGTGATGTTCATTGTTGGCTGCTTCTTTTCATTTGCTAGTTATCGGTTGTTTTTTTTAAAACTATTAATATCTAATCCAAACTCTACACTCCACCGATTTACATGTTCCACTAGGTCCTTTAAAGCCTGCTTGCTTTCTGCTAGAAGTACTGTCTCATCAGCATACCTTAGACTGTTTACAGTTTGTTATTCATTCTAGACAATTCTCAGCCCTGTTTAAAAATACTTTCTGTATATGATCTGAAAAGGTTAAATAGTATACATCCATGCTGTACTTGCCCTCTCTTAATCTCTATGAGTGATGAGCAGAGGTTGTCATGGCTAATTGCTGCTGCATTTTCCCAGCATATGTGCTACGACACAAGGCTGGGTGAAGAATATCCTCTCACCGCCTGCCTTTATTTCTCCTTCCATAACTTTAACCAGCTGTCTGTCATTACGTTCCAGATGTTCTTGTCTCATAATATGATCAAATAAATGATCTCATTTCTCTTAGTACTGTGATAGGTCATCTTCATATCGTTGATTTTTCCAACCATTTGTTACTTGTTTTTATTAATCTCCAATGATCGTGATTTATGGCATAGTGTGTAAATTTTATAAAACGAAGTTTCGCTTGTCTCAATCTGTTCGTATTTCATTTAACATCTGATGTTATCCAAGTGGCAAGATATGTGAACTTTTGTTCTTGCCCAAATCAATACACAATTAGTAAGAAGAATGATGTCTAATCAGCTTCTTCTTCTTCTTCTTCTTCTTAGTGTTCTTGGGCTTAGCGTTCTTGGGCTGCAAACTGATCGAAAATTCTGGTTGTTTGTCCATCTCTGGACTTCAAACTTGTTTTAGAACTCAAGTTTTATGTGCACATCCATTTAACAGGCCTGGCTTACCTGTATGAAAACTGTTGGTCCTGTGCCTTTCAAGTAGATGCACTGCAACTTCAAAGAACGCAGCACCTGTTACATTCTTTTCTTCCTACTTGTACATGTTTTCTGTGGGTGGGAGGAGGGAGGTCGCAGACAATATGCAAATGGGGCACCAGAACCTACCCAAGGATGTTGTCTAATAAGGATTTAGATAAAAAAATTTAGTGTTGGTCTAAGCGGGGTAACATCACTTTAGAGCATTTCATGGACCATAGCATATAAGTGCAAAGGCTGTGATCTCCCAATGTGAACAAAAACCATTCTTGAAGAAGATATACGTGCTCTTTTATATTTCTAAAATGTCAGTACCTTTGTAGCCAATGATTTTTCCCGGCAGTTCTTGATTACAACATTTACTACAGAAAATCTGGCCACAGATTCGACAATGGTGCCGTCGCCGAAATGTTGTAAACTTATCACCACAATCATAGCACTCCCTGCAACTGCTGTCAGGCATCCAGTACTGCTTGAAGTCACTGTCTTTGTATGTCTGAGGGGTCTGGAGAGCAAGAATATACAGATCAAATATTCTTCTACAGCCAATCATGATCGCCTATGTTTACTAACATAACATACTGGAGAAAATCCAGGCTAGGTTCATCAGACAAAAATGGATTGTAACACTAAGCACTTCATGAATGGTTGGACAAACCTTCATCTCTGTGTTGCAACGGGTCATTTCAGGTGTTCGAAGCAACTAATATGCAGATTATCTTGTAGACACTGTGGCTGCTATGGCTGGTCTGGTACTGAAGAGAAGCAATGTAATAAATGCCATGTGTAGCACTTACCATGAAGATGAATACAACAAAGCGCACTATTTTGTATCCTGTCTAGGCTGAAGAATGCGGGGGTAAAACATGGAGCTGCAAGAAGGGGCAGGATACTTGATTATTCAACAAAGAATAGGCGTCATCAGTTGTTTTACACTTGCGGAGCTTTTGAGGAGGAGATTGAAGCACCTATGGATCTGTCCGGATATAATCCTCACTAATCATTATACCCTTTTGTGATGATGATCATCATCATACCAGGACCTGAAATTTCTTCGGGCAGTTAAATTAAAAAGGGGGATAAAGGATTTAGATAACATAAAACATCACTACATCAGAGGCAACATGAAATCAGACAATTCAAGAACACCACATTCAAGCAATATCTATGTCATTAATGCTAACTTACACAAAAGCTGCGGGGAGTTAAAAGGGAATGTGGCCGATGCTCAGCACTCAAGGGAAGAGCAAGACGGATATACAACCAGACAGTTACTGGCACCAACGGAATGGGAACTCTTTGTCTACTGCTGAAGATGAGGACAGAGCGCTTATCAGAATGTCCTAAGCGCTGTGATGTCAATGCTTAATTCAACAGGGCTGTCAAATTGACTGTTACAGGGCTGTCAAGCTCAGACTGTGACAGGGCTGTCAAGCTCGGGCTGTGACTGGGCTGTCAAGCTCGGACTGTGACGGGGCTGTCAAGCTCGGACTGTGACAAAGCTGTGAAGCTCAGACTGTGACAGTGCTGTGAAGCTCAGACTGTGACAGTGCTGTGAAGCTCAGACTCTGACAGGGCTGTCAAGCTCAGACTGTGACAGGGCTGTGAAGCTCAGACTATGACAGGGCTGTCAAGCTCATTCCATAAAACAGACTGCCACATAAAATGTAATTATGTCATTGCTTCGTGTGTTCTGGTGCAGGTGTCTTTAGGGGCATCCAAATGAACTGATGGCTCCACACTCCTTAATCAGCCTAGAGGCAATTTATAATTATTCACTGACAGACATACATTTATGCATGTGCTACCAGGGCCCATGGGGAAAGCAAAGATTAGCAGCAATGAAACCTACCAAGCATGTCATAAGAGGCAACAATACTGGCATAAGAATGGCTAATGGCAGCCTCATCTAGTTTAGAACTTTAGCTGCAAAATTTAACAAACTATGAACAACACTAAAAAGAGTTTAGCATCCGTTGGGGTCCTAGGACTGTTTCCATTGGGAGACAAAAGGCATAAGAATTTTAAAAAAAAAAAAAATTTCAAAATAAAAGTCGAAAAATGATCAAAAAGCCAGGATGTACTTACTGCACTGCGGTGATCTAGGATGCTCCCCAGTCTGTTTAACACACTGGACAGTGTCCGGTGTGGAACACGGCTTGTGCTGGCCTGAGTTTCTGGCACCTCTTCGGACAGGTCATTTTTGCTGGAAGCCACTGCAGAGTTAAATGTAATCTGTTAAATATGTGTATTGGAATCACAGACAGCTCAAAGTTATTACATGGTCACAGAAGTTGTGAAATGGGGGAGACAACAACATAAACAACAATTATATGACCTCGGAGTGAAGCCTGTCGTAGCATGCTGGTGCTGTCTTTGAGGTCATGATAGGAGACATTGCAACCATCTTTTCATAGTACAAAAAGTACAGGTACCTTAGGGTGGCTGCTGCATCACAGGACTGAGCATATATGGGAATGCCAATGACTGTGACAACATAACATAAGATAAAGAATAAACTAGCTTAATTTTTCAACAGCTGAAAATTGGGTATGCAAGCCCATGTAACATTCTAGCCATAACTCTCACCATCTACACATCGTTTAATTTTACATCTCTTATTAAGTTAAACTTAAACCCAAAAAAATAATAGCAACTCAAGCAAAGAATGTATCCACAAGGTTTGTGGGATCTTCATGCACTTAGATGAATGTTTGCAACGAGCAATTACTGGCAGTTAGTCTAGGAGAAGTAAATGTAGTGAACAGTCAACATAGAATAAGAACAAATATAAAGTATGTTAACCAAATAAAGCACTTTACCAACATAAATCACAAAAACAATACAATGACATTTGACAAATCACAAAGCATTCAAAACCAGAAGCATACAGAACAGTAAAATGGAATGCAAAGCATATACAACAACAGAACACATATGAAACAAAACAAAGAATATAAATCATCAACAACAAAAATTATAAGAATCAATATAAAGGTCACACAATAAACAATTCAAAGTATCTAAAGCATGCCAAACAATACAAAGCAAACAAAACAAAGTATAAAAAAACAATACAAAATAGGAGAACACATATGACCCCCCCCCCCCCCCCCCCCCCTTCCTTTTTCCAAAGTATATAAAAAACATAAAGTACCAGGACAACATAAATCATACCTTATCAATACAAAGTATATACAACAACAGTTCAACGTATCTAAAGCATACAACACAACACAAAACCTGTAACAAGACAATGCCCAGAAAACACAGGAAACAATGCAAAGCACAAAGGAAGACCCCTCATTAGTGGACTCTTACAACTTGCTAGTTAGTAAGGCAGCAGGTATATTCTCCTCCCCCCTCCCCCCACAATGGAAACCACAAAGCATATAAAACAATATAAATCATATGAAACAACATAAAGCATATGAGAGAAATAAAGCATATGAAACAATATAAAGCATATGAAACAAAATAAAGCATATGAAACAATTTAAAGCAAATGAAACAATATAAAGCATATGAAACAATATAAGGCATATGAAGCAATATAAAGCATATGAAACAAAATAAAGCATATGAAATAATATAAAGCATATGAAACAACATAAAGCATATGAGAGAAATAAAGCATATGAAACAATATAAAGCATATGAAACAACATAAAGCATATGAGAGAAATAAAGCATATGAAACAATATAAAGCGTATGAAACAAAATAAAGCATGTGAGAGAAATAAAGCATATGAAACAATATAAAGCAAATGAAACAATTTAAAGCATATGAAACAACATAAAGCATATGAAGCAATTTAAAGCATATGGGACAAAATAAAGCACATGAAACAATATAAAGCATATGAAACAACATAAAGCATTAGAAGCAAGATACACAACTCACCACTGGCATCAGCATCACTTGTAATACTAGCAAATGTATTCTGACGAGACATGGCTGCAATACTTGATGGTGGCGTGGCCCCTCTGCTGCCACTTGGTGCCCCCACCGAAGCATCACTGTCAGACTGACTACCGGCAGATTTTTCCAGTGCTGGGTCTTCATTCAGTGAAGAGTTAGAAGATACCAAAGACTGGCTTGGGTCGTCTGTTTAAAAACAAAAACATATCTGAGAAATTACAATCGTTTTGAGTATATACTGTGACGTCTGTGGCTTAAGCGTTGCAAACACACTTTGTGATTTTGTGATGCCAGATTCTATCCCAGCTGCAGACGATTTGGCAGCAGACCACCTTGCATTGTTTTCAACAGTGGTATCAAGAGCCGACCATTAAAAAAGCAACGGCAAACTACTGAAGGCATAACTGCCTAGTGACTAATATTGTTAAACTGGTATAGTGCTGGAGTCAACTTGTCCTCATACAAGTAAGTTCCAAGTTTCAGAATTGTCTGGGAAGTTAAGGAGATGAGCAAGTAAACTGAACCCCCCCCCCCCCCCTTTTCCTCCCCCAACTCTCCATGTTGTATGTCATAGACTAGAATATGTGAAGATCTAACATTTCACAGGAGAGTCTGCATATAAATAAAAATAAACTAGATGTTTTAAATGGATGTGTACGCAACATTCAGGTTCTGAAACTAGACTAAAGTTCAGAGGTGGATGAACACCCAGAACCTTTCACCAGAGTTGACATGTCAATTTTCTCCATGGCATTCAAGTGTGATGGGAAAAGAACAAACTGACAGACTCACTGGTTCTGCACAACTTAGTCATAAACAATACATGATTGAGACATCAAGGTCCTCTGGTATCAAGCATTCTGGAGCACAAACAGATCATCATGGTCTAAAGAGAATGGTGCAACAAGGAGTGACTAAGGGACCCGTTCAACACTCAATGCTGAGAGGAAAGGGAATAGGACACACAGGACTGCTACTGGTACCCCTGGAATTGTAACTCTGCACTTGCTGCTGAAGATGACAAGACAGTACTTACTGGGAATGTGTCAGTTTTCTTTCACAAGAAACAGCGATGGGCATTCTGTAGTTTTAACTGGCATGGGAATGGAACAACTATGGGTTATCCCATTTGCTGTGAAGTTGGAACTATGACTACCGGATTACTTGGTTAGCAATTTTTGTAATGGTTACAAATAATTTCTTTCTCAACTACATAGCAGCTTGCAGCCCCATCTAACTGTAGGCTGAAGCACCATAGCAGCAGGAACCTCAAAGCAGGCATTATTTTCAACTAAACATTACACTTACATGTACGCGCTCATGCATGCACACACAAAATATCAAAATGACATCTTTTTCATCCTGTGTTCTTCATCTCCAATGGCATATGGGCCTCAAACCAACTCCCATCAGTACTGGATTGTGCATAGTTGACTATTTAGCCAGTTTTTAACATGATGAGGTAACCAACCCAAGCCAGCTCAATTCCTAGTCATCTCAGTTAATCAGGTGTCATCTCCACAATGAAGGTTGACTGCAATGGATCTATAATCCCTGTGTGGCTTCCAGGACCCCATATTGG